ATTATCAACTATCTACAGTGGGATAGGCCTTTGTACCATTAGAAATATTTGAGCCACCTCTCTAACTAGGTTCAAAGGTCTTATAGGATTGTCCATAGCCATGGATTGAGAGAATAGTCTTAGATGACAACACTTCTATTTTTTGTTATTGATCGTCCATCCACTTCGGTCGTCCATCGACTTCAGTCTGTGTAAATCGCAATTGTTGTATGTAATATCGTCAGGTTGTCAAAACAACATGTCTATTATTTTGTTATTGACCCTAATTTTGGATGGCACCTTAGATTGAAAGTTGATGATCTCATCAATCCACTTTTGATAGTGTTAGAAAATATGTTTTTGATCAAGAATGTATTTGAGACTCTTTTGGTCAATGAAAATAACAAACTTGGCACTGAGTAAATAATACTTTCATTTGAGGATGACCAAGATGATAACAATGAGTTCTCACTAATAGACCATCTCAATTAGTGCAGAATTGAGAGGGCCCTATTGAAGTAAGTGATGGGCTTTTGGCATTCTATGAGGAAAGCCTCGATGCCACAACTTGAAGCATCGACTTCCATCCCAAAAAGAACGAAGTAATTAGGGAGAGGGAGTATCATAGTGGTCATGAGGGCCTCCTTGAGTTGTCAGAAAGTCATGTCTGCTTTAGGTTCTCAATTTAATATGTCCTCAAGTTGTTGGGTAAGTAAACAAGCTATCATTCCATAATGTGTGATGAAGTGCCTATAATAACTCATTAGATTAAGGAAGCCCTAGTGCTGGTGGGTCCTTGTTGGCAAAAACCACTAGATGACAACCTCGATCTTTTCAGAGCCGACATGCACAGCCTCCACTGAGAACCTATGGCCTAAGTATGATGCCTTTTGAGCTTACCCAAAAGAACACTTTTTCAAGTTGAGGTGCATGGTCTTGGTGTGGAGAATGGCTAGCATACATCTTAGGTATTCATCATGTTCCTCGGGGCTTGAGTTGTAAACCAAGATATCATCAAAGAAGATGAATAAAAACCTACATAGCTGGGAAGATCTATGGTTCATTAGTGCCTAGAAGGTGGCCAGTGCATTGAAGAGCCCAAATAATATGACTAGAAACTTGTAGTGTCCCTCGTGTGTGGGGAAGGCTTGGGATGTCTTTGCTCTGAACTCTTATCTAATGGTAGCCCGAGCCGATCAAGCTTACAAAAGATTTAGACATCACTGAGCTTGTCTATAAGTTCCTCGATGATGAGAGTCGAGAATTGTTCGGGCATGATGATGTAGATGAGGGTATGATAGTCCATGTAAAAATGCCACAAACTATTCTTCTTCCTCACCAATAGCATGGGGCTGGAGTATGGGCTTGTTGAGTGTTGGATGACCTTGGAGGTAAACATTCGTAGACCATCCTCTTCAGTTCCATCTTTCAAAAATGAGGGTATTAGAAATGACAATTGTTGATGGATTTTGCATTAGCCTCTAGTGGGATCATGTGATCCACTTCACAGGCCAATGGTAAGTTGTTGACAGATTCAAAAATGATTGGAAAGGTTTGTTGGAGGCTGGTTTCAAGCTCTGTATCAGAGGCTGCCTCAAGTAGATGCTCTATCTAGAAGAGCTCTATGATCAGATCGTAGGTACAAAGGACCTTGGACAGCTCCTTGAAAGTACTGTTTACTGGGGTTGTGGGTAAGTCTGCTTAGAGCGTAATGCACTCCAACCCTACCATGAACGAATCCGTCCACTAGTCAAAGTCTACCTCAATCTTCCACAGGGTTTTCATCCACTTAAGCCTCAAGACTACATCTACATTGGCTGGAGGGATAACCAAGAGATCCTTTTATATCATCAATGCTTGAAGCTCGATTGTGGTAGCTTGATAGAGGATGGAGCCAACCAACTTCTCACATGTCCTTGTGATCACCTAAAACTGAGATATCTGGATTATTGACAGGTTGAGATCGATTACTACCTACTTGGATATAAAAGTGTGGGTGTTGCCAGTATCAACCAAGATAGAAATTTCCCTATTCTAGATCATTATCTTGAATTTGAGAGTTCCAGTTGGCTCAATATCGTCGAGATAATGGAGAGAGACTTCCAAATTTTCTTTTGGTCAGCCACTATGTCGGCTGACATGTCTGCATCGGTGTCTAACGAATTCACCTCCTCTTCTACGACCATGATCTGGAGCCCCTAAGTGCACTAGTTCCTCGAGGCATACTTCACATTACAAGAAAAGCACATGCCCAATGCTCATTGGACTTGTATCTTCACAGAAGTAAGTTGCATGCCTTAATACTGCGATGCTTCAGCCGGTTTAAGAATAGGCGCTCTGGTTCTAGGGACCTTGCTCTCAATGGGCTTGCAACGAGTGAGCGACAATTTGGGATCCTTATGTTGCCGAAAGTTATGGTCCATTCTCGATTACCCCCAAGAAACTTCCTCGAGCTTCCGAAGTCACCCTCAAAGGTGCACATGATAGCCCCCAACCCCATTGGCTCAAGGAGTGAGACTTCGGCCTAGATATCCTTCTATAAGTCTTTGAGGAATGTGCTTTTAAGGATGTTTTCCAGAAGGTTGCCAAGGGCCACCACCTTCAACTTGAACTCTTCTCGATATTTTGCAACTATGCCTAGCCGTTTGATGTTGAGGAAGCCTTGGCAAAGAGCTCCGATGTGGTTGGGACTGAAACACTCCAGAAGGAACCAACAGAAGTTATCCAATCTTTGGAAGTGTTCGCGAGCGTCCATCCACTTGAACCATGCCAATGCCCTCCCTTCAAGACTCAAGCTAGTTGTGATGAGTTTATCACGAGAGGACAGTCAACACATGCTGAGTTCTGAGTGGAACACCCAGTCTTCTAGGTCATTTCCATAGAACAACGTCATTTCTAGCTTGCGACTGTGCAGTCCGAGTTCCCCTTGGTGTGGTGGGGGGTTAAAGCGTCTGCCCAATTGCTAGGTTCAGCTAATTGCGGAGATCCTTATACTTTGAGATACGAACGTGACCAAACTCTCCTTGTCGCCTGTGGAGTGAGAGAACACCTGTGTAGCTGGTTGGGCAAATAACCTCTGACTGTGGTGAAGGCCGATGTAGCCCATCAAGGCTTTTGATAATATACCTGAGTTGTTGTTTGATGGCAGCCAAATTCACCACGCGTTGAAGTGTCATTGTTGATGAGGTCTGTAATCTCTTTTTGGAGTGTGGAGAGGGCCAAGTTCCTCCTGTTACTTCTCAATGAGCTCGAGTCATGAGTTGTTGATGAGGTATGGTGAGGCCTCTGATACCAAATGGATAGGTCCCCTTTTCTTATTTATTTACCGAAAGGAGTCCCGTGGGTGTGAGGGATAGGGTCAAGGGTATATAGAAGTAGTTAAGATGGAGGAGAGGAAGACATACTAGTTGGGTGTCTAGACAAAACTATAAGATAACTGAGAAGGGGTGCACCTCGATATGACTCCCGAGGAAAGTACAAGAGTCAGAAAATAAGAAGATCAAAAGGAGCTGGTCAGTCACTTTGATGAGGCAAACCTCTACTTCACTACTCTTCTTGAGACTGATGCCGCGGATCCTTTGCGTCCTGTCAGAGTCAAGTAGCACCGCCTTGCTTCCCTCAGGTCCTACTGTGAGGATGTGATGGACCCGCCAGTAGCCTTCGAACTGCAGGCTGAATGAACTCGAGCAAATCATCAGCTGTAATACCGATTACAGCCTCGACGATTTCCGTCTGAAACTGAAGTACAAGTTTCCCAGCGAGGAACTAATATCTGTGAGCGTGTATGTCGAGAAGGAAGCAATGGCCCCTGTTCACTACGACTCCAACAATGGCGCGCGGATTCATAGGTCCTCCACCGTCAATGAGGTGACCGATCTCCTCCAGATGCGAGAAGCAACGCGGGCGTTGAGGATGAAGTCAGCTCCTCTGGAAAGCACACCGAAGGCTGCTGCGTGGAAGATCCGGCGGCGAGCGAGGAACATTCGACCTTCACCACCATGTCCGAGTTCAGCTTCGGAGATCTGTTCTCGACGAAGGAGGACCTCATCTCCACTGTCTCCCTGTGCTTCATGGGGAAGAACCACCAGTTTAGAACGCAGAGATCTTCCTCGAACAGGCTGACTCTGATCCGCCTGCAGCGGGAGCAGTGCAGGTGGAAGATGGGGGGCATGGCGGCGAAAGAGAGCAGGAGCCTGGATGATCACCAGCTACCATGGAACTCACAGCTGCCATGGCTCCTTGCCATGGAGAGACCATAAGCAGTGCTCCTCTGCCTTCATCTGCAACCTGGTCTTGCCCCCACATTCGAGAAAGAAGGGACATGATTCCCAGGGAGATCCAGGAGAGGATCGAGGGGGAGTACGGCATCAAGATCGCGCAAAGCAGTTGTGAAGATCCAGGGGAGCGAGTTCTTGGTTGCAGGTGCGTAGATCATCTTCCTTTTCTTCACGCTTTATTATATTCTTGCCGAGTTCTACGCATTGATTATTTGGATTGTATTAGAAGATGCTGTTCTTGCCGAGTTCTTGAAGGAAGGAAACCTCTTTCTGGTTTCTGGGCATCATCGATTAGATTCTTTCCACATATGAACTAGATGGTGGCTGTGAACTAGCCAACTGGATGGATTATCAATTTTCATCATAGTCTAAAAGAAGTCATACACTTTGAGAAACTATTGCTTCTTGTGATATTATATTCTGTTGATCCAAAGTTTCCCAGATGGATTTGGAAAGAATGTAGTGCAGGGAAGTGATCGTTGACCACAGAAATGGGCCCTCATCTCCAAGAAATTCGATCAAAACATGCAGCTTGTCCGCTGTGGTCAACCCAAAATAGCCCTGATTCTACAAATATACAGTTCATCTCTACACAAAACAAGAGAGAGAGAGAGAGAGAGAGAGAGAGAGAGAGAGAGAGTGGAACCAGGATCTTCAGCGTGATCTCAGAAACCTTAGAACCTCGTCATCGGGTTTGCCGATCCAAAAATGGCCCGACTGAATTCTGCTTCACTGGAGGGGCTTCTACTGCACCTTTCTTCTACTTCTTCTCCCTTTGACTATCACCACCGTTTCCTCTTTCGCTGCTCCCTTCTCAACTTCTTTCCTCTCCTGGTCTCCCACATCGTCCGTGGTTCCCACAGACTTGGTTCTCTTCTCTGTGGGAGCCTTTTTGGAAGCCTTGATTGCCCTCTGAGCCTTCTTCCTGGTGGGGCCCCTTTCCCCGCTGTCCAACTCTCCGCCTTCTTCTCCCTCACTGACCAGCTCTTCCCCCTCATCCGGGTCCACTCTCACACTCTTTCTAGCTGCTCTGGTCGTTGACCTTGACTTCCTGGACACAGTGGAGGAAGCATCTCCAGATTTGGCATGATCCAGCTTCTGCAGCTCCGGCACATAAGCAGTAGTCTGAGCCAAAACAGAAGGCGAAAAGTGTCAGATCAGGGAATCTTTTATCCACCCTACCAGAAAAGGGTTTCTTTTAGCATGGAACACTTACCCTTCCAGCTGCCGAGATGAACTCGATCTTCTTACCTGAAAAAGACACCCAAAACCTCAGGAATACTACTACTATCTGGTTGGAGGAAATCATTCAAGAAAGAAGATCCTCCTCCATCTCCTTTACCCAGCTTGCCCACAACATCACCCTTCATAGGAGTTCAATGCCGAGATTGAGAAAAAAAATATTCTAGAGAGAGAGAGAGAGAGAGAGAGAGAGAGAGAAGATATAAACAAAGTTACTACGTTTCATGTCAACCCCTTTCAGACTACCGATGCAAACATTACACTAGATTTTGCCGCATTAGGAAAGCAGACCACTCGGCAGAATCATATCAAGAACCCTCTCTGGGTTGAGAAACCAGACCGTCGACGAATGCCTCCCCGGGCTTCTTGTCGCGGGAATGGAAAACCCAATCACTAGGAAATCGACTACTATCTGCTCCAACTTCCACTGCCTTCTCAAGAACCTGTAGAGGCAGGCAATATATGTCAGTCGATACTGCTACGATCTTTACATTGCCCCTTACCGTTGACTTTCCCAGGCTTCTTCCCCCATCGAAAATGAAACAGCCATTCAACTGGAAAACGGCCACAGTCGGCATCAACTCCAACCGCATAATGAACAACCTACATGTGGTAATATCTCTCCAATTGCTTCAATAATCATGACAAATATCCCATCTTTCAGAGAACTAGGACGGCCACACCGCAAGAACATCTTCGTCAGAATGCATGACTGACCTCTTTGATGCATTTGAGCAACTCCTCACATTTGTCCCGCGTCAGGCTTGCGGCCATTTGGAGAGGATGAATTCTCGCCTGTCAGCAAGTACAAGTAGGTCGCATGAAATACTGAATCATGAGGTAAGCTGCATGCATTGATCCATGTCACATCAGTTCAACATACTAGTGTCATTCATCGCAGGTTATCTAATCATTCTGATTGCTGAAAATAAAAGAAACCATGTTTGAAAAGGAGTCATGAGAAAACTAGAGGCAAATTGACCACAGCGATCACTGGGCACTAAAGGAGGTTTTTTTTTTTCATGGTTTGATGGTAGGTCGCACTGAATATTGAATCATGAGGTAAACTGCATGCATTGTTCCATGACACATCAATTCAACATACTCCATGTTCGAAAAGGAGTCATGAGAAAAATAAAGGTGGCAAATTGCCCACAGTGATCACCGGGTGCTAAAGGAGGTCCTTTTTTTTTCTCGTGGTTTGATAATAGACATGAGATGAGCCATACGATTCTAAACTTAGGAGATGACCGATTCCACACAACAAAAATATAAATAGCTAGTGTTGTGAAACCCAAGCAAATGAGGGAGGCTAAGTTTCAACAAAAAGGGAATTGCAGACTAACTTGATAAAGCACTTCATCTGCGATCCAATTCCCAATGCCTGCGATGTAACTCTGCAGAAAGAAGCCTTCATCAGGAAAGTCGACAAAAAATTATCTACATTATGCAGTAAAATCAGACATTAAATAGGCTAGAAGATTCCCCAGAGAACTCAGTGTCAAGGTGTCTGTCAATAGTTTGAAAAGTGGAGGAGGCAATTCATAGCTCTCTAATAAGGCAATTATCAGTACAATGCGACAGTGACCATGTTTCTCGGCAAACCATGTGTGCTTGCCAGTTATAATCAAATGGCTTGGTGATAAGAATGAGGAACCTTCATAGTGAGCCATCTTATTAAATCAGTTCCAACGGCTTATGCTGTGAGAGGCTAGAATATTTTTTCCCATATTATTTTAGGAAAGAACCATTTGATGGAAAATTACAGCAGGCCGGCAAATAAAGAAATTTTGAAATCCAGCAAACCCAGATTGTAAGGTCAAAGAGGTTGGATCACTATAACTGTGAAGGACTCTCCCTCCTCTTACCAGCAGATGAATGGAGAAGTGCCCACGGCTATGCCGTATGTTTAGGGGAAAGAAACCATTGGGAGAGAGAATGAACTCAAAAATGATCAATTGATGAGTTTGAAAATGACAGGAGAAGAAGAAATCCACCAAGGAAATGAACAGCTCCAAATGCCAGCCAATTCTTTGATGTCGAATATTGCTTAAAGATTTATTATACTGTTCCAATCACTTTCCTCATCTGATCATAATTAACATAGTCCACGAAGTTGCATTACTTTTTTTTCTTTTTTCTTTTTTCAGAAAGTGAACTCCAGACACAGGATTACCCAGATAATAGCAGAAAAGTGAGGTAATGAACTCCCAGATAAAGATAACCCAAATAAGAAAGTTCAGTGAAGGTACCATATATTTTTTTCAAATGCTAGGCTAAATCAATGGCGCTTCTTTACAACATTGTCAAAAGCTCACCACATTTTCTTCTCTTGAAAAGCAGAAATTACGATCAAATGATCACATCCAAGCTGTGATTGGTGCAGATAAGAAACCATGAAAGTCAACGGAGCATCATGGAGGAGGGTTAAATAAACTTGCAGCACCATGATTCACAGACATAAGAGACATATTAGGTAGGTCCGGGGGTATCTCCATATTGGGTAGGAACTGGAAGCTGGCACACATACACAGTAGGCAAAGGTAATGACACTGACTTGATAAGCTGGTAGACGTTTTGAAAACCCTTATTCCTAAAATCCAGAGCCCTCGAATAAATAACACACTATATTCACCATATATCCAATTGGCACCATCAAAATCGAATTAGTCAAGATAATCTGTAAAAGGAGATCCCTTCTCAAGAGCAGTGCATCATATGGTGATGATAATGATGATGATGGAGCATTCTCGTCTCAGGTGTATGTCCTCCAAACCCTAAATTATGAACCCTTGTGCCTAAAGTTCATGGAAATTATTCCGGAAAAAATAAAAAAATGTACGTACTTCGATATGATCCGAATTTCCCATCTGTAGGCGTTACAAGGAGGAAAGTTAATTTGCACCCTTTTTTGGGTAGAAAAGAAATAATTGAATTTTCATGGATCCAACCTTCTGGGGGGAAATTAAGATAAAGAAAAATGGAATTTCACGAGTATGAAACAATATTTCTTTAAGATGAAATTTGTCAAATAAATGAACACTTCTGACCTGGTCAAGCAATAGAGCCTTAATTGAAACCTTCTTACTGCTCAAGGACTCTATAAATTCATTCAACTTCATGGGCTCCAGAAAAGCATCTGGACCAAGCTCAGAAATTGGAGGCGAAGATTCAGGCTATGAGATTAAAAACAAAAAAAAAAAACCATTAACACTCAATACTCTCGAAAGACAAAAGAACAGACAAAATGAAAGCAATGAGAAGCAAGATTAGAGAGAGAAAGAGAGAGAGAGAGAGAGAGAGAGAGCAACATTTTGAAGCAGGCGAACTCTGGCAAAACGCCTCTTGTCAGTGAAGGATAGCTCCAGTCCGTCATCAAGCTGCACTTGAAGTAACTCTTCACTTAGAAATCAAACACTTGATAGTTTTCCATTAAGTTTCGGAGGGTATGTATTCTAAATAAAGATTAAATCAGCATTGTATTCCACTTGAAGGGATTAATTCTTGAAGACTATCAAGAGCCATGGCAGTCACCATGGTCAGAGGTACATTGCAAGTTCACCAAAGCACGCCGATCATCATCCCCAATCCTTCGCATTTCATGGTATCCAAGATGACAGAAATAGGAAAAAAAAACTAGGGTTGCAGAAACCAGGAAGAAGAGAAAATGAACAGAGGAGAGATGCTGCAGGAAGGAGTAGAGAAATTTCATGGTATTCAAGACGACAAAACGAGAAAAAGAACTAGGGTTACAGAAACCAGGGAGAACAGAAAACAATGAGAGGAGATGCTGCAGATGCAGTAGAGGATTTCATGATATTTCAAGACGACAGAAAGAGAAAAAAAACAAGTAGTGTTGCAGAAACCGAGAACAGAAAACGGAGAGAAGACATACTAGAGAAACAGAAGAGAAGAACCCTTACTTCTAGGAAAACTTTGCTGTACTTTGAGGGCCACTCGTCCTCAGCAGATACTACGGACCTGCAAAACCCTAGTATCAGCAGCAGTAGAACGCCTAGAACAAGATAGAGCGAGCGTATACAACCTCTTGTATTTCGTGACCTGCACGCCTTTGATGTGAATAGCCCCCGTCATCCCTGGAGAAGTTCATATTCCTTCAGAGAGAGATAGAGAAAGAGATAGATAGATAGATAGATAGAGAGAGAGAGAGAGAGAGAGAGAGGAAGCGCTGACCGAATTGGAATGAAGGGAAGGGAGGGGAATCGAGGCGGAACCAGAGGTTCTTCCCTTTGCGGAGAGCGAAGAGGATGGTCTTCCCGGTGAGGGAAGCCTCGAAGTCACCGGGGGCCACCCCGTCCACAACCTTCGGGTCATCGGCCACCATCGCACGCCGGATCTTCTTCCCCACGCAGTGCTCTTCAACCGCCCTCCGTGCCGCCTCAACCTCCGGTAGCTCCGGCATTCTCCTTTTTTCTCTCTCTCGCTACTGCACAAGGTTGGGACGCTGCCTGAACTTCAAAGCAAAGGCTTATCGAATTACTGTGTATTTATTCTCTCTCTCTCTCTCTCTCTCTCTCTCTTATGCTGGAAACCGTTAAATGTTTCTCATGCAAACTCCTGTGTGGTGTCAATGGCCAGGGATCCTCCCTAGAGCGAGCGAGAGAGAGAGAGAGAGAGAGAGAGAGGGCGCTGACTTCCCTACCTGACACAGCCGGCAATTTTCTCACATAAAAAAATCCATTAAAACAGCAGAATCTCAGCAGTCCATACTATCAAAGTAGCTAATACACATAAGACGGGGTCCCCCCAGGCATGAGAGAGAGAGAGAGAGAGAGAGAAGAGAGAGAGGAGAAAGAAGGCAAAAGTGCGAGTCACAGCTCTGCCTCCACACCCAGGCAAATAATATACAGAGAGCGCCAGCCCCTCAAACCAGGAGCAAGCAGACGACAACAAACAGCATCCCCCCAGAGAGAGAGAGAGCTGATCAGGGGAAGAACTGGCCAAGCTGGCTGGACACGGAGTCCTTAAGGTTGGAGTAGAGGGCGTAGAGGGAGTACTGCCGGAGCTTGGAGACCTCGTACCAGGAATTGAGGGCGGTGTAGTGCTTGTCGGTGCCGGAGAAGGCCAACTGGATGCTGATGGTGCAGTCCGTGTCGCGCTCAGAACTGGTAATGTTACTCTTGCAGCGGGACCTACGGATGCCACAGCCTAAGCTGCCGAGGCAGACGACGCGGCTCTGGGAGGACCTGCTGGAGCACCTGGAGCACCCATCCCTCTTCCAGAACAAGTTCTGCAGCCTGCCCTTCTCGAACTCCAGCACCTGGATCATACAGAGACGATTCAAATTGGAGCAGCATCCAAGGGCCCTATCCGATACGATCAGATCCCAGTCTTCATAATCGGAAAAACCCCAGAAGCCTGATTCATCCGAGTCTTCATCCATCAGAAAAAATTGCATTCTTGGCGCTCAGCAGCCCAATCCAGTCTCAGTTTTCAGTCATTTTACTATTATTATCCAAGCCCAGAACCCTGCAATGATCTAGTTTTCAGCCATTTGACGATTACTATCCAAGCCCAGAACCCTGTAATGATCTAGTTTTCAACCATTCGATGATTAGAATCCAAGCCCAGAACCCTGTAATGATCTAGTTTTCAACCATTCGATGATTAGAATCCAAGCCCAGAACCCTGTAATGATCTAGATTTCAGGCATTTGGCAATTATTATCCGAGCCCAGAACCCTGTAGTGACCTAGTTTTCAGCCATTGGACGATTATTATCCGAGTCCAGAACCCTGTAAGGAGCTAGGTTTCAGCCTTTTGAACATTATAATCCAAGCCCAGAACACTGTAATGATCCATTTTTCAGGCATTTGGCAACTATAATCCGAGCCCAGAACCCTGTAATGATCTAGTCTTCAGCCATTCGACTACTATTATCCGAGCCCAGAAGTCTGTAACGATCTAGTTTTCAGCCATTCGACCATTACTATCCGAGCCCGGACCCTTCAATGATCTAGTTATCAGCCATTTTACGATCATTATCCGAGCCCAGAATCCAGTAACGATCTAGTTTTCAGCCATTGGACAATTATTATCAAAAATCCAGAGACCCAACTTGAGCTAATCTAGTGGTCAGGCATTTGATGATTGTAATCCAAGCCCTGAAACCCGATTAAGCTAGTCTAGTTTTCAACCATTCAACGAGTATGATCCGGACCCGGAAGCCCAATTGCACAAGTTCATAGATAAATTGAAAAGTCAGAGGTCAAGAACTCACCAAGGTGAAGCTGGTTATGACGAAAGACACGTTTCCAATAAACTCAGTGGGGGATCTCGCAGCGTACTTCCGACCAGCAAAGGCAACCATGTACCAGCCACTACTGACCTGAAATCACACCAACGGCCTCCCCAGGATCAACAGTTTGAAGGAGGAACCTTACAGAAAAAAAAAAAATCTTATCCAGTTTTGATTTAGAATTATGATCCACAGTGAATCAATCCCGTTTAGTAGAGAACATGAGGTGTCGAATAATAAGGACAGATAAAGTGATGCGCCATTCACAATGATAATGGAGTTCGATGTGTTCAGGAGGCTGACTAATGGAAAAAAAAATCGTCAAACGGAGTAAATCCTTCAGAATTCATCACCATGTGAAGTATCAGAATGGAAATCTTGTCAATAAAAGTCAAGAACAGTTATTTTCCTGAAGCATGCGATCTGCTACAAAAGGTGATGGATCTGCAACTCAAGTGACAAAGACAACCAAGAACAATCAAAATTACAAAACTAGTTCATGAGTCCAGGATTGATTATCAGAGGATCGAGAGGTGACAGCCTGGTGACAGCAGGAGCCAAAATCTCCGGAGATGAACTTGAGCTCAGATATTTGAACGGAATGTGAAGCATGAAAAGGAACTCGAGGTGAAAAAGTTCGCAAATTTATTATAGAATGATCTCCAAGAAGAGTGCTTCTCTAAAGATGAAAATTAGATGAGAATTATATATCGCTTGAAGTTCATACTTCCAAATTAGAACACCCATAGGTCAAACGTAGGATAAAGAAAGGCACAAAAGAGTAAATTATTGTCCCGTTTTGTCCTGTTAGAATAATGGAAGGTAGAAAATGTGTCAATCGTCCAAGTACTTCTGATCTTCCCGAGTCTGTGTAAGATCAAGAAGGGATTGAGGGAAAAAAGGAGCAGATGTTCGTAAATAAATCAGAGCATCTGTTGATTGACAGCAAAGGTGCTTTCGTGAGAAAATATTAAAACAATTGAATGCAGCAATGAAATGGAGGTCCAATATAATCAGGGGCCATCATGGCCGGTGAAGAACATATGTGGTTTCTTAGATCTCAGTGAAAGTGGCACGGAGAGACATTAAGGAAGGATAAAAAGAATATCTGGAAATGTTGCCAGATGATAGGGCTTCTAGGATTTCTAGCCTAGAAGCGTCCACGACCTTGAGTTGTTCATGTATTGTCATTAAATACAAGAAAAAAAAATGACTGTAACACGAACAAAAATGATGGTTTAACTAAACCTTTAATCAATAGGAGAAAATGACAAACGTAGCTCTGGCGTTGGTGACAAAGCTATTCCATCAAATCTTTAGGTCAAGAATCGTAGCAGAGATGAACGCTAAAGTCATTATGCAAAAATGTGTGAAATATTGAATGTAGCTTCAATTGGAAACTCAAGAGTTTATGTGATAAGGTAGGGGAAATATCAATAATGGACCGATGCAGAGGACAATAGGGACAATGAAGTAACTTAGTTTTATAACAGGAAACTCAACCATGAGGTAATTGTTCTACCTTGGTTAACAATAAAACGATTCAAACAGGACAACGAATGATATCCATCTGATACATAAAATCATGCAAATCACAATATAGATTATCCAAGGATGCTATCTGGTAATATTTGAAAAAAAAAATTCTAAAGATAGCCTGAAAATCGCTGCATTCTTATTATTGAATATTTTACGAAAAAAAATCAAGCCTGTTGATTAGAAAATTTGTTGAGCCACTAGAAAAGCATGTTGCCAAGATGAGGTCGCTAAAGAATCTGTTTAGTTTAATATGTGGAAAGATCAACAGAGAGCATAATTTGTTAGAAAGATAGTAATTCTAGTGGTATTAGGATATGCAATGTGTAAGAACAACGCGAAAAATTACTGATAATCGCACCCGCTAAGAAATATAATCAGCACTAATGTGAGAGTATGAAGAGGAGAAAAAATGAGATAAAAAAAAACCTTGAGTCTATGAAGAAAGATATGGGTTTGACCAGTCCCTAATGTAGACGAAAATGACAATAGTACTTGGGATACAGTGAATGTAAGATACATACGAGGGAATCTAAGTCCTCCAGTGCCAAAACTGTATTAGTTCAGGAGGAAGATATCAAAGTATACATTTAAACAGATGGTGCAAATGATAAAAGCAAAAAAAAATATGACGCAAAGAAACCATTTCACTCTTCAGTATCTAAAAAAAAATATAAGCAGTTTAGCGACATCATCCCAGAACAGGTGATCACAGTAATTTCCATGATAATCTTCCAGACATGTTAACTAGATGACAACACAGGCATTTAGTAGAATTCATACACTCCAATTCTTTCCAGATGATAATAAAACTTTCCAGCTGTCTTCTAGGATCCACCCTGTATGCAGTGAGCCACAACAAATATGGCATAGAAAAACATCTTTACAGTGGTACTGAGACAATCCGAAGGTCACATTGTCTAACATCCGAGAACAACGTTTCACTGGCATATTTTTTATTGCTGAAAATCCCTTTGGCATGCACATAGAACCCCAATACCTCTCCTCAGTCCTCTTCAAAATAATACATTTCCTCCAAAACATTTTTTTTATTTAAACTATCATAAATAAGTTTTGCGAAACGTCTCATTCTATGCACCTTACCTAACAGAAACCCATATGCTCCTTCCATCTCTATTTTCATTAGAATACACTCCCCCAAACAACTGAACATGTTTCCTCATGCCTCCCAAGTCATCCTTGTTTTATTGATCTAATTCATCAATGTGTCTTCATATATTCCTAGCATTTTCCCAAAAACACATATTTGGCCGGCAATGTGACTTCACACAAGATACATAATAAAGCCTTCTAAAAAGAGACGTTTCTGTCGACTGATTGAATGGAGAAGCTGTTCAACCCAAATAAAGGGGCATTATTAGCCCTTCTACTGCTACCACCCAAATATGTGAGATGTACTGGTATGGTCTAAGCGAGATGTTTGTTCATCGGATTGCACAGCATAATTTCTCCAAAAAGGTAATAACAACCAGCTTCAGAGACGTTCTCCACTCAATTAGGGTGTCATTGTACACTGATGGTGAGTGATGAAATAACAAACATGAATCCAACGAGAGAACAAATGTTAAAGTTGTCAATTTCTGTTCTATGAGCAAGGTTAAAAAAATACAAGAATTATCGTCCAGCCCCTGATTTTACACCAGAAGACCTTCGCGACTCTCTTGGAGAAGGATCTAGGAGCAAAATTTTCGTTGAAAGGATTATTCAACGAGAGAAAAAAATGATAACGTTTTCAATTTCTATTATGTAAGAAAGGTTAAAAAACTGAACCAGAACGACGCACATCGGATTCATTTTCCCGGTGAAACCTAGGTACACTGATGAGGCAAACGAAGAAATCCACGCAGTATCCGTGAAGTTGAGAATAAATAGAGAAATGAGAGAGAGAAAGAGAGGGAGAGAAGTATCTTACGCTGGGGACGACAGTATCAATCCCATTGTTGTTGCTGATGGTGAGGAGGGAGATCTCGTCGACCTTGGGGCGGAACACTGCCAGCTTGGCGCCCACGCTTGACAGAGCCAGCCTGCGATCGCAGGGGGAGAGCATCGTCCTATTGAATACGAATTCCGTTTGAGGGGCGGAGGCGATCCCCAAGGTGAACCCGTCGAGCCTTCGGACTGTCGTGTCCCCGCAGGGCTGGTACAAGTTGTTCGTGTCCTTCGCCCCCGCCGTCCCCGAGAAGACTCCCAGAACGAGCACGGTAAGGAGCACGGCAAGGGATCCCTTCGTCGCGCCGCTCGCCGCCGCTACGGCCACCGCCACCGCCACCGCCATCGCCGGCGATCTTCTTCTGAGACCGGTCGTCTTCCCCCCTCTTTCTCTTTCCTCTCTCTCCCCTCTTTCTCTCTGTCTGAAAGCAGCGGCGTTGGGCGGGCGGACGGAAGACTGCCAACTCACGAATTCCCTTCTCCAGCTCACCCTGTAAGGCCCACCGTTCTCCACCGTCAGATCAGTGGTACTCCCCGTGGGCACATCTCAACCCTACATGGTGACTTTGGTATTTTGCTCTATAAGGAATAAGGAGACTGTAACGAAACATTTATGGTTGCATATTGATATTTTATGTAAGTACTCATGCTATATTTTTCTATTACTGAATGTTGTGCCACCATCATTTGGCTTGCTTTAAGGTACTTGACATTCTTGCCATTTGGTTTGACTCTTACTCCCCCTATGTATTTCTTTTGTGCTCTTGTTATTTAAAGGGATATCTAGAAGTAGGTCAGCCAATTTTGGGCCAGATTCATTTGATTATGAGATAATCATCCTTGAATCATCTACTGTAACGCGGATTGTCCAATTCTTCTCACATGCACCTTGTCAAGCCAACTCAATTGACATGTTGGACCAAGGTTACTATTACTAGAATGGCATAGTTTGGTTGACTGACCTAAATTAGAAAGGACTTGACCATTCTGCCCACTAGATATGATCTTTAATATGTTAAAATATATAGTCTCCATCAATGGTTTATGATAGATCTAATTTCTAGGAATTTTTGCCTCACCTTAATAAGGGTCATTGAAAGTTTACATAAGGTGAAAAGAAAGGAGATTGATTTGACTTCTTCCACTTGGACTACGAATATAAATTTCTCTTCTTATACAATTTAAATCACTTAAAACATTAAATATTTGTTGAATCCCTCCAGTGAAAATCTTAGTGGATCAAGTATTAATGTTAGATAATCTGTGCATAAAATATATTTTTTAGTTTAGTTTTTCATTGTGTTCATTATTTTGGATCGGAACCTTGGTGCATGCTATAATTAGTTGATTGTTTTACAAATTATGCATGTCTTGTCCATCACATTTGCTCTTAATCTACTACAGCATAATCTCTCTCAAGTTGTTCGCATTACAACATCCAAAGTGTTTCTTAGAAATGTTCAATTGTTATTTGTATTAGAACTATTTTACCAAACAATCATTTATGTTTCTTGTGAAATGAACTTTATAATTGTCTAATAATTTTGATTTATTTTGTACATCTTGACAATAATAAAAATAGTTTATTTACAATTCATGTGATGTGTGAGTACTTTTTTTCTCCAACTCTTTAGTATCTTGTTCTTCTCCCTTGGTGAGGCTAAGGGTTCTTCCAAATATATATACAATGTAGTCAATGTTTCTCATATTACTTATACATGAAGTGTATATAGGAATCAAATTATTTTTTTTCCCCATCTTTGTATTTGAGTAAGAGTTCTCACCATAACAACAATCTAGTTGATGTGCATATATTATAGTCCAAGTCAAATGACACCAAATTGTACTGCATGAGATTCTAGGATTATGCTAGAACATGATATGACTCTTTCAAGATATTGTTGTTATTGTTGCTTCCTAGCATGTCCCTATTAATGTCCTCAATCTTTGTGGCCACATCGCTCTTGCTTCAAAGTAAGAAAATTACAACATGGGATTGCCACCCAAAAAATTTAAGCTAATGTTTCTCCAACCTCAAAATAAGAAGGTGATTCTATAGCTATCCATGATACAATTATCTCCCCTCTTTCATCCTAGCGTCATTATGTTTCTTGTCTTCTATGCTTGATAGCTGCATGCTAGTGTATAATGTCAAATGAGATGGTGTGGAATCTTCTATTTTGAATGATAATTAAAATATGATTTTTTTAATTCAATATTTAATATTCATAGCCTTATGATTTTCAAAAGATTTGAGTATCAATCAAACCCAATTTTTAGGATTACCTAGTTAGACCATGACTCACACTCTTTATACCCTAGTTCTTCCTTAATCTCTTAGGTATGTCCATAGCAATCTTCATTTGTCTAATTGACTATGAGAAAACAAAAGGTTAATTATATCAAAATCAAGAAGAGCCAACTTTGAGGTTGAAAGTTAGTTGTTTTTTATTGTTTTTTCTAATTATTTGTGTTGGATTTTAGACTGTCCATAAATCAAGAAGGCAGGTTGAACTAATCAAGTTATAATCCTTGACTTAGGTCAACTATTTCTAAAATCTCTAATCTCATTTCTTTGAACTTAATCCTAAAATTTTCAAAGTTCACTCTCTTAGCTATATCCATTGTGTAAGAACATCTTAATTCTTGTGGTCCACTAGATCAATCATTTACCACAACTATTGATTTATCATGCTCAACTATTGCAGAATTTTCCCAACACCAAGATGCCAACAAGTGATTATAGCTCCTTCTGACTGATTAAATAAGAATTGAATCATATGTTTACCCACATAAAATAAATAAATATTTCACAGAGTTATTTTTGGATGATGACATTGACCTTGAGTACATCTATAAATTCAATAAAGAGTACAATGATTTACAAATTGATTCTTGTTATCTTCTTCATGTTATGAAGATGGTTGAATGTAGAAGGTATTGCCAATTTTATTTAATCAAAGAAAATCTCATATTACTTAAATTTTGTTCCTCAACTTGTTGACTTCTTATCATTGTTAAGATATAATAATTTACCTATTCATATTTCTCAAGGCACTTCTAGAATATATTATGCTGGAGATGATGAGAACATGATTACAAGTTCTATTTAAGTCAAGATACTTGATTCTATTTCCTTTGGCAATGTATATCTTATAAAAGATAAATAGCTTAGATATAGTACAAGAGTCTTCCAACAAAAATGATTGCTTGTAAATTAGAGTTATAATTTGCTGAACATATTTTATTGACTCAGTTTTTTTTTTTCATTCCATAAACCATCATCTTGCAACTATTGAGTTAGCAAACCATAGATCATTTTGTGTAGGGGGCTTATATTTATATCAAAAATATATTGTGGTAAGTAAATAAATAATTATTTTCTGGTAATCTGAAAAATTAGAATTTTATTTTATTCTTTTAACTATTATGAAGGGCTCAATAGTATATTTCACATTGCATTTGATATTGAAATCTACATTCAGAACTTTAGTAAAACATTTTGTGAGCATTGTACCTCTCTCCTTCCAATGAATTTTCTTTTTGGATTGTATTTTCATTCATATGTTATATTTATTTATTTTAAATATCATTTTTTAGAAAAGCTATTTGCAACACTCAGAATTTAACTTGATAACCATATTTAATGATCATTTCGCTATTTTTTATTTGGTCTATTCTTTGATTTGAAAAGAAGCATTGGTATCTCTTAGATAAACTTAACTAAAAGGGTGAATATCTCTTTTCTATGAGTTTGGTTTATAATTATTGTCTTGTAAAATTTGACATTATCATTGAATCAATGGATTTAAGTCAATATGATCAGTTTCCATATTGGACCTAATTTATCTAAGATGCAATCTAGTTTCTAACAAGCTCACTTAATACCACAACTTACTGTTCAGATTTCTCATGCAATCCAACTTGGTTTTGAAACTTATCACATTGAGTCATTTCATATTAGCTTTGATAATAGAACTACACACTTTTCATTCTGATCATACTTTTGAGGGTTAACAACCATAGCCAATTTCTTGATTTGGTTACCTTGGGAAGACCATCATCTAGGCCTATGAAAAACATCAGATTTAGTTAAAATTTACTAGTGTCATTATGAACTCTTATCATGGTTTTAAAATAGGAATGATAGGAAATTTTACCAATTTGCCAATGACTGACCGTAAACAATCTCAAGTTGATGCCTTATCTCAAATTTCAACACTTATGGAGATAAATATTCAATTAATCTGGCTTCTCCTAAAATTATTTTTGACAATTGTACACTTTTTTAATTTTGAAAACTATAAACATCTTTGATTCCTAACATATATTCCATGGAGATGGGTTTCTTTTCCAAAATAGAACAAGGCAAATGAAGTAAGGAAAAGCATGTAATTAGGAGTTAGTTTATGTTGGTAACATTACTAGTTTGTTAATTTTCCAGAAATTATTCTATGATTTGAGAAGTAGAAGAGATTTTTGACAACTATTTATCCTTGAATGGTTCATTTCAAACATAGTGAGAGTTTTTCAATCAAATTGGGTGCAAATTTAGTAATACATTGTAGTTAGAAGTCACAGCTCTCAAGGTTGTAAGCATATATTTGAGTTGGAGGGTTAAAGGAGTCAAAAGGATAAACTCTCACAAAAAAATCATTTCAGCCCTATTAGCTATCATTATCCTTGTCAGAGTTCTCTCATGAAATGGCCAAGCACAATAATAATAACTTTGTTGGAAACTATTTGTTACAAGAACTCCAGAGATGGAGGGATAGCAAGCCCAGTGAACAATGATCATCAGAATATTTAGATCAAACATCCAACGGCTTTTATTGCAAATCCTGACGATCTATGGGAACAGATTGTTTCCCAATCAAAGATAAAGACAGAATCACCCTTCGTGGGCTCAGACTGGGCCCAGATAATTTAGCATGCACACGTATATGCCATCTATATGCTAAATATGCAGAGGAATCTATGTGACCATTTTATCCGCATTTAGAAACTATTTCACAATAAAAAACACCATAATTCAAAAAACCATCGGTTCCACATGTAATCACAAGATTTATTTTATAATTCATAATTTTGACGGTTGGAGAGAGAGAGAGAGAGAAATTTCTACGATCGACAAAAGCCACAAACCCAAAAAATAAAAATAAAATTCAACCCCAACTATGCACCAATTCTTAAAAAGACTATTCAAGACAAGTAAAGCAGTGATTTTTACCAGAGAGGGAAAGATGATCTAGGGTTCTAGAATCGATAAAAAAAGGTGTACTCCCAAGAACAGAGATTTATACCCTGAATGTATAGGAGACCCCTCTTGGTCGCCTTGGCGGTTTTAACCTGGGAGATTCACTTATCTAATTTATAACCAAAACACTGAGGAAATTTCGCTAAATAATGCACTCGCAGGGCAGATTGAGATCAATAAAAACACCAAGCAAAAACAGCGCAGAAGTTTATCAGAGAAGAGCAACGTCTACCTGCTCTTAATCACATTGAAACAGCCCAAACAGTTCACGAATATCAGAAAACAAAAGCTAGTTTCTGGGATTACTTTATTTGGGAGACACCCGATCTTTACCCCGTCAATGTCCGGGACTGGGAAGTTGAGCCGTCCCCAAGTCTTTTATTTGGCATTGATTTTTCCTGGAAGTGGGCTCTGTCAAGAACTTGAAGCTTGTCTGAATTCTTCTACTCCATACAAATCCCTACCTGAGGAATCATCGCCGATACCCCCCCCCAACCTGCTGCTCGCTGACAAGAGTACAACATTGTACTTCTTCATATAGAAAGATAATCCTCCCCTTGGGCCAAGTTTCTCAAGGGAAATTCCGTCTGAACGAAACCTTTGTCTAGATGAATTATGTCTTAATCGAATAAGCTCGGCATGATATGCACAATCCAGCACTAAGTTTTCGAGAATCGAGTATGGGAAATTCATACGATGGGTTTCCAGTCAGAAGGGGCTTGAGAAAAGCACATCCACATACATATATATATATATATATATATATATATCTGGTATCAGAGAAGCATAGTAAGTCAATCTACTATCAGGACCTTTACAGATCGGTATGGATTGTAGGTAAGAGTAATGCCTGTTCCAACCAATGAGCTCATGCAAGAGATCGAATGAGCATGCGTAAATAGTAATAACCAACTTGAAAATTATAGACCCAGACCACATTAAACCCATTTATAACTGCATGGTCTGGATCAATATAATCTTACTTGGTCTGGTGCTAAGATACTGGAGGCCAAATCGTAAGAAGAGTATTTCTTGTTTGGGTCAGAAGGCATGGTAAGATTTTAGAATCATGCAGGCTCAGGAATGGCTGCAAGGATTGGATCTCGATGGGATCAGGCCTGGACTAGTTTCTTTCCCAAAGATGATTTAAACAACTATTCGACCATCTTCTTGGCAAGATCATTACTTATAAAAGCCTCATGCCAAGCAGAATACATTTCACACTCCGATTTCCAAGCAAGGACTGGAGTACTTCCTCTGGTATACCCCCAAAAGAGAAAAATCAAGCGACAGGGAACTACAAGGGGATGAATTACACCTGAGATGAAAGCTACCCCAATTTTTGAAGCGTATTTACTTCTAACAGAAAAAAAAAAAAGAAAAGATTTGAATGTGCCCCAGTTTGATGAGCCATAACTGCCGCATTGTGTTGAAGTACCTCAAAATACAATGTTAAATGCAAGAACATTAATCGAATATAACTTAGTTATATAACAGAGGTGAACAGTAGGTGTTTTGTACCGCAGAATAGAGAGTAAAGGATCGCTCAAAGCTAAAACAGAGGTATAATTAGTCACTTACTGAACCTCTTGAAGACACAGATACTCTGTGCCTAGGGAAAAAGATGGCATGGATGGTTAGTATAACTGTAATAAGCAAGCTATGAAGAGTGAAGTACTACCCATAGAAAGCTACGATGTATCAAAATCAAGCACAAGTTATGAACATAATCAATAGCACTTAACAACTTACCAGTGTCGAACTTTCAATAGCACACAACAATGTATCCCCGATCCCCAACGCATCATGCCTCCAGAACTATTAAAGCATCGATCAGATGTAAAAACAAGTCATAAACAGAGCTTGAATCTATAAAGAATAAATTACGCGGATGTTTTTGTCGAAAATTGCTTTTTTAGGATGCGATCTAAGATGATATCATGTAAATCAATATACGTATAGACCGAAGACCACAGTGGCTCAGGAAAACTAAGCTGTCTCTAGGAATTTAAGCAAGCTCTCAATTGTTTTGAATGGTTTCATTTTAGTTTCAGGGCGAGGAGAAAGACAGATTCAAGATATGTGGTAGTTTCTAGCTTGTCAAACATGGTAAGCCACCCAGCGATCAAACCAGGTACCTTCTTTTTTTTGGATGCCTTCTAGCACCTAAAGCAGAGAATGAGGATACCTTCATAGTCCTGGCAAAAACCCTGAATGAAAGAAAGAATCAGACTCTCCAGCACAAAAAGTATTACTATTAAAAGGACTTTGCAACAGATAATACGGTATGCATAAATAGCCAGAGGACAAGGGAGATAATGCTGAGCGAAACCAAAAGTGAAGAAGGCGATGTCGTTTTATGACTAATGCAAATTACCCCTCGAAAAGGAAAACATAGCACAGGAAAGGTCATAATATTCGCAGCTTTTTAGGGAGGGGTGAAATGCTCAATGCAGTGGATACTGCAATTATAGATCACATTGTGCTTTCAAACAAAGCTTCCCTAATGTGCATCAAATCGATACCACAAGGACTGCTTTCCGGACCATGATGGAAACAAGTTTCGTGTCTGGACCATGATGGAAACCATCTACAAGGGAAATCACTCTTACTGGTCCAAGAATAACAATCCAGATCCTGTGATCCAAGCATTAGATTAACGAAAAAAATTTGAAATCTGTACATCACAACGCAGAGGTCTAGCTCAACAACATTTCTGCGCTCAGAAAATCACCATCTTAATTCACTTGCCCGTTATGAATGGATGGCTCAATGCCTGAGCCACGGTCATCCTCTTTTCTGGGTCCAATATAAATATTCTTTCGAGAAGGTCTTTGAAATGAGATAACATCTTAGGGTCTTCTCCAGGGAAGGTAGTGAGTAGCATGCCAAGGTCTTTCGGCTTAATGTTAAGCAGCAGCCGCTTTACTGCCTGAAAAGTGAGAAGGAGAAAAATGTTCATCAATGTGCACATGCGATTGAAGTGCATGAGCAAGTAGATTAGATACATAGATAAGGAATATATAAGGGGTTTGCCCGGGGAGGGGGGGGGGAAGGTTAGAGAGTGAGAGGGAGATTACCTTCTTTGTCACTGGATCCTCCTCTGTAGCGTGAAAGTTGAGATCCTGATCAAAATGCTGGTCAGCAAATGCACCCTGTGATAAAACAAGAAGAATGTAGCACCAAGTTAGAACAATTACTGAAAATATGGAGGACCACAATTTCTTCAAAGGGTAGAATGAACAAAGAAAAATTACTCCGTTCAAATACCAAACAATAGCATCCACGATAAATTTGTGGCCAACAAAAAATTTCAGTGCCAATATGAGAAATATGCATCAGATGTTCGTTGTCACACCTTTCGTAACATCTTCTTGGGAAATGGGCCCTTCAATTCCATGTGAAGACGAAGCATGTCATTGTTAGTTGGGCCAGGAAATAAAACTTTCCCAGAGTATATCTCGTATAAACAACAACCAACTGACCATATGTCCATGGGGTGATCATATGGCAAACCAAGAACTGCAACAAAAAAAAATCCCAATTATGCACATGGTTGACAGCAAATTTTACCATAAATGAAAACTTCTGCTACTGTCAAGCAAATAAGCAACCACTTCAAACAGTTTACTTACTTATCTCTGGTGCACGATAGAAACGACTGACCAGATAAGGTGTGATTTCATTTTTACCAGCAAACATTGCATTACCGAAGTCACAAAGCTTCAGCACATTCTTTGCTTCGTTAACCTGCATATGTAGTAATATTGATCAATAGGATACTTTCTTCAAAACAACATTCAAAATGTAAGCCATAAATGGAATACCGACCAAACATGTGCACAGAAATCAAGATGACGAGAAGTAACTGCTAAAGGGAACTTACCAACATGTTATCTGGTTTTATATCACAATGCAGAACTCCACAATTCCTGAGATGCTTCAGCGCAATAAAAAGCTGCTTTGCATATGCCCTCACAGCAGTCAGTTTAAGACCAATATTACGACCAAATTTCTTTAGAACCTCACGAAGATTCATATGAAGAGATTCAAAAACTAAGCAAAGATGGTTCCGGTACTTGAAACTTGAAAGAAACCTAACGCAATGGCGTTTGTCATCAGGATCAGCACCCGCCAGTTTCTTCAGTATGGTCAACTCTCCCATACCAGCTTTGTACCTTCAGCACAATACATTAAACGATGTCAAATAAAATATTTACGCAAGACTGAACCTACTTTTACAGTACGTACGATCACACACATTGTTTCATTGTTGCGTATAATCTTTATGGCAACTTCTTCAGGATCATCCTTTCCAGCCTTAAGATCCTTCGCACGAACAACAGTTGAAAAAACGCCTTTCCCATGAGATGCAATTACTTCGTATCGTCCATCAAGAACTTCTCCAAATCTGTAAACTACAAGAGAAAAAACAAGAAAGTTAATGTCAAGGTACAATGGTGCATTAGATGATACAATTCAATATGAACATGATGTGAATCGCCCTTGTTGAAGAATAATGTTTCTTGCTGTCTTCTATTTGATACATTAAATAAAGGAACTACATATTTACAATTGCATTCTTCAAACATATACTAACCATAATATCCTTCAGCATCATCCCAGTTATCATGAAGACCACTTCGAACAATCTTTAACTCATCACCTTTGCCCTGAAGAAAGTAAAAAAGGAACAATGGTAAGACTGCAAGTATTAACTGCCCAAGGTAGATGGTATCTTTTTCTCTTTGTTCTTGGAGAATGACAAAGGAAAAGAAAAAAAACATAGACAAGACATTAAATAGTAAAGCGGACCCTACCAATCTCCGTACACCCGCAGGTGACTCTCCAAAAATATCATCGCAGAACATATCATCGGAGTGCTCACTCTGACCAGATGAATAATAAAAAGAGAATTAGTTAATGTGGAATTCTTTGTAAAAAGTCTGACAACTCTAATGAGAAAGAAATAGTGAATAGAATGAACAGACCTTGGGAGTACCGACCCCAAGTCCACCAGCAGCAGACACAATTTCCTGACATGGAGCACCATTCTGCTGAGGTGATTTTTCAACAGCGAATGATTGCCCAGAAGTGGAGACCTCGGCTGTAGCATGCCTATCCTCAGAAACCTCAGGAAATGTTCCACCATCAACATTAACTAACGATATGGTGTCCTTGGTAGGAGGCTCACTGCCCTCTGCTAACAGTGTCTTCTCCTCTAAACACCAAAATGAAGGAGATGAGACGAAGATAACTATTTCTTGCTCATTATATACGATAACTACATATTTAACACCCGTCACATAAAGAAGATAACGATTCTAATTCAAATAGTTAAAGCTACCTTTCCCAAGATCTTCAAACAGTGGTTCTTTGGGCTGCTCTTGCTGCTGCTGCTGCTGCTGCTGCTGCTGTTGCTGCTTCTGCTTATGTTTTTCTAAAATGGCTAATCTCCTTCGTCTACTCTCCTCAATAATCTTCTCTGGGTCTTCCTCTTCCTGATTGGCAAGTTGCTGCTCAATTTTCTCTTCATAATCTTCTTCATGTTCCTCCCTGTACCAACAGAAGAAAACAATGGAGCAATAACCAACAAACACAAATTTAATAAGCTTATAAACCCAGGTACCCATCTATTTCAATCACAATATTGACGAACATAAATGCAAACCTTTTTGCTGGTTCTTCCACTTGTGCATTTAGTTTTTTATAGCTGGGTTCTTTCATTGATTCTTTAGATCTGGTTATGCCCCTATGGCGCTCCCTATCATCATATCTTGAATGCCTCGAGTCCCCATGCCTTTCTCGACTTCTGGCCCTATCTCTCTCCATCTGCCTAGCTTCATCTCTGTCTCTATCTCTGCGTATATCCAGATCTTTGTCCCTGTCCCGTCCACTATCCCTGTCCTTAGCAACCCCATTCCTTTCCCTTTCTCTACTGCTGTTCCTTATCCTTGCCTTTTCTCTATCCCTTTCTCTCTCTCTTTCAGTTTCCCTGGATTTTTCTTTTTCGCTGTATCTCTCTCTTTCTTTCTCTCTAGTAGTATCCCTTGACTTCTCCCGATCTCTGTCTGTACCCATACCTCTGTCCCTCTCTCTATCTCTCCCCTTGTCAAATGTGCCATACTTGTCTTCCTGTCCATCACGTCTGCTACGACTCCCAGCTCGTTCATTGTCCCTGCCAACCCTTCTATCCCTCTCAATGCCCTTAATTCTGTCAATGGTGTCATGATTTTCCAGCCTATTTCGTCTGCTGCCTCTCTCACGGTCAGGATCAGCTCTCATTGTATCCCTCATGTCAGAGTGCGCATGATCCGTATAATCTACGCCAGATCTTCCAGTCCGGTCATGAGACATCTCTCTTGCATGTTCACCTGGCCTGGAATGCTCCCTTCGATACACATCATCATGGTGTCGGCCGTAAGATGGAGAATGACCACTCGCTTCATATTTTTCCTTAAGAATTTCTGGTGACACTGACTTTCTCCGGTCTTCATCCCTGTGGAAACCTCTGAATTCCGAATGCTTCCTCAATCTGTGACTATCCAATTTTCGGTCCGAAATTGTCGTGCCATCCCTACCTCTTTTTTTTTCCTTCACCGAGCTAAGGCTTTCACCTGATACAGGAGACCTTGACTTGGTTTCTCTTTCCAAATCTTTTGCTCCCAATACCTTATATCCATTTTCCTCCAAATGCAATCCTGATTGAAGATCATTTGTCTGATAACCAGTTCGTCTACGATATTCTTCGTCACTACATGTTAGACTATCATGCTCCACTGCAAAATTCTTCAGATCTTTCTTTTTAGTAAGACCAGAGTTGCTACTATCAACAACAGCATCCAAAAGTTCAACTGAGGCCCCTTCAGGTGTCATCTTTTTAGAGCTTTCTCCAGCTAGGCGATCACTCTGCTCCTGTATCCCAACCTGGTGGCACGAGAAAGCTATTTTATAAGCTATCAGACTGTTTCATTCACTAATTCAAAAAAGGTAAAAGCTACTTGACTGGAGAATGTCAACTCAAAAGAGAGTAAAAACATGGGGCATATAAGACCTCAAAATATCCTCAGCAAAATATAAAACTTTCTCAGACTTCTTCATTAAGGACGACTAAGTGATTTAGTTTTCACATTGACACTTAAAAATGGTGCTCCAAATTATTGCAGCTTAATGAGAAAAGCGTAGAAGAAGAATCCAAACGCCATCAGTATGTCGAAATATACCAGACGATGGTCCACACTGGCATAATCAGGGAGTAATTCTGCGGCTTCAAATGCCTTGTTATCACCGCGAATCGACAAAACCTCCCCATTCCCGCCGGTAGCAACTCCTGCGCCCTCATCCTCAAGAATTTCCCCCTCTTCCCTATCATCAAGGTCGACAGCAGTAGTAACGGTAGTTTCAGGAAGAAGAGGGGGACGAGGGAGCAGCGCAAGGCCGCCTGAGGATTCAGCACCGGGAGAAGAGGGAGGAACCTCGTTCTCTAGTTCCTCGGCCCCTCTTAAATCCCCACCCACCTCCTCTCGTCCGTGCTTATAGCTGCGGCTGCTCCGATGGTGGCGGCTGTGGTGGCGGCCGCTGTGCCGGTGGTGTTTGTGGTGGTGGTGCTTCCGTCGCTTGGATCCCTCCCCCTCCGCCGCCGCCGCCCCTTCGTCCTCCTCGGGCGGGCTCCGGTGCTTCCGCCGCGCCGCCTCCTGTGCCCTAGGAGGCCTGCCATCCCCCTCGCTTCCCATGACGGATGCCGAAGCCCACCGGGCAGATCACAAGCTAGGGTTAGAGCTCCAGACCGCGAAAGGATCGAAAGAGGATACAGCGAGGAAACGGGGATAGAGAGAGAGAGAGAGGGAGAGAGTCACAGACGAAAGAAGAGAGAGAAGACGACGGTGAGGCAACGCCTGGTTAAATATCTACGAAGGCTAGTGACAATGGATCCGAAAGGTCCCTTATCGGTGTCAAGATAACTCAATAAGGAAGGATCCGAAAATTGTTTCGTCTTTTATTGGACCAAAGCTAGAGAAGACCACTAATGAGCTCCGGCCCACACGAGGAAAGCTCGAAGAGAGAGAGCGAGAGAGAGCGAGAGAGAGCCACGTGGATAATTATAGGAGCGCCACGTTGTAGGCCACAAGCTATGACGGCTTAGAACCAGAGAAAGTGAAGGGTGGCACAAGGAATCTTTTTGAAGCATGATAGAACACCAAAGAAGCTCACCTCATTCCGCCATTAGAGAGAGAGAGAGAGAGAGATAGAGGTTTCTGCATTGCTCCGGCCCAAGACTGTTAAAGATTCTGACTCTTAGGGTCTTAGTTTAAACTGACACAAGAAGGAAAGGAGACGAATTCAGCCAGAGAGAGGATTACCATGAAAAGACTTATTTACCCCACAAAAATAAAGGGAAGTAATAGGGAAATCTTCCACAATTATGGAGAAGAGGGGGGCTTTACTGGCCCCATCTGAGACTGTTGACCCAATAAGCAACACTCAACAGGGTCGAAATGTCTTCAACAGGGCAATTATAACTATACGAAAAGACAAAAATGCCCTCACAACAGTAAGTTTCCCTCTCCATAACCCCCCTCCTCTTCTTCTCCATGGTCTTACACCGGATCATCTCCTTCATCTTTCTCCCTCTTCCCCTCACCTTCTGCAGGGCTTTCAGGGGGAGGATCTCCAGTGTCTTCAAGCTTGGCTTTGCTCTCACCTGAGTCTCCAGCATCTTCATCCTCCATGGGAGGGACAGGAGACACAAGATCTTTCTCATCTTTCGATTCATCTGAGGCTTCTCCTCTAGCTTGCCCTTCAGATGATTGAAGCTCTCTCTCTAACACAGGTGATGGGGTGAGTGGACTGATTACTTCATCTCTGCCATCAGTTGCAGGCAAGGATTGAAAGGTGTCCCAATCATCATCATCATCATCATCCGCTCTACCATCACTGAGAATTTCCTCTTTTGGGGGTTCTGGATGAGTACGAGAGGGAGCAGGAACTGGAGCAAGTAGCAGAGGAATCTGTCTGACGGTGGCGTCCGACTGAACTGGCGGTCTGATAGCGAGGGACGGGCTGCTGGGGTTGACATGTGATGGATTCTGATCTTGCGAAATGGAAGAACGGATGATATCCTGAAAATAATATAGGATGGAATTAATATCTTCCCCTCCTCCCCTCTAATTAACCTTTGAAAAATCAAAAAAATCTGATAGTCATCAGAAGAGTAGCACCTGAAGTAGTTGCCTGTGAGCTGTGGGCAATGATAAGAGAACATCTCTGATCTGTGCTGCAGTTGAAGGAGCCTGAATTAGATGAGAAACCAGCTTCATTGCGGTAGTCTTGATTTCCTTGACTTCCTGTAAATAGTATATAGCAAACTATGGTATTAGAGCGGTCAATATTGTTATTATTATTATTATTATTATTATTATCAGGGCATTATATGGTTTATTTCTATAATAATCAACTTGGAATTATCTTTCATGAATGTAGATTACCTCGAAATGGATATCAGAGGATGCAGAGAAGACCATGATTATGGCTTCCAAGAGCAGACCCATTGAAAACTGTGAGCATTCATTCCCTTGAGCGAGGGTGTGAAATAGGAACAGGAATCTCAAGCATTCTTCACATACAACCATAGATTCCTTCCTCGAGCTTTTCTGTGATCAAGCAGAAGAACTGGTCATATATGTGATCCGGGATGGGTAGTACTGGAGCGGCGAGAAACTTGGACCTCATGTTAATACCTTCAAGGTTTCCTGAATAAGAAAGAAAATCTCCTCTAAGAGCTCCCCAGTGAAGAACAGAAGGAAACTACGGGCCTTTGCGTCTGAGCCTTCGGTATGCACCTTCTGGACGACATTTTTCAGGACAAGAAGGCTGATTGCCTGAACCTGTTCATGGGCAGAAGAAATTAAATTCTTTGGAAAAAAACTAATTTTTAGCAGAAAAGAAATAATATGGGCAATTTCTGGAGAGATACCTTCACATTATCGTCACTAAGGGCCATCTTAATGCATTTAATGCACCGGTTATATAGGGAGAAGAGAATGCCCTCCTTAATCTCCTCTTTTCCACTGGCCCATGCTGTCTCGTGAGCCAGTCTGGTCACAGCTATGGCGTCTTCCAGGCAGAAAGAAAGCTTCTTCGCCAGCAGCTTCCACGGATCGCTGGCCTGCTTGTCCAGCATGTGTAGCTTCTTGTTGCAATTCTCGTACAGATCAGAAACCATTGTGGCCCAGACATGAAATATTTTACAGGCATCGTCATCGTTTGGAGCATCACCTGAAGATAATGTGTCCCTAGCTGAGTGTTGTTGATGGGAATTCTGGCAAGTTCTATTCAGAGAAGAGGATGGAATATCCAAATTTCCATAAATGACAGCATAGAATGTCAGAATAATCCCTTAATGTTTACCGCATTAGCCTAATGTGATGTAGATGAGCCTACTCTACTTATCTGGGAATTGACTTCTGGTTAGAGGGCACAAAAGCTTTAGAGTAGTTTTAGGACTGACGTTGACCGAGCTGCACACCCTGTTTATATTGTCCACGTGGCAAAGCTTACAAGAGGGCTTGCACTTGAGGAGAGACTCATATTCAATAGACAAAAAAAAAAAAAAAAAAAAAAAAACTTGCGGTGGTGTAGACTAGTAAATGTAAAATATAAAATTGACTAATGCAGTATCTTATGAATGCAAGTAAATGTGGATCAGCTTGGGTATATTAAAATCAAGGGCTAAATGATTCTCCACACTTAAACGCAATAATATTAGCAATTATGGTAATGATCGGAAACATGACCGATTGTTAAGAAATATTAACCTTCAAACTGTTTGCTGAATAAAGTTGGAATCCTCCTCATAAAAACGATTAATTTTGACAGATATGAGTCAGTTGATGTTCTTGCGACACATTTGTAGCATGTGGACAGCAAGGCGAGCTTCAGCTTCTGGTGTTTCTGTCACCAATCAATGTGAGTACACCCAGAGAATTACATTAATTGGAATACTGAATAAGTTTTGCCTTACTAACAGGTTGGAAAATTAAAATGTATGATACATTAAAGACCACTTCATTAGCCTCTTACCTTAAAACTGGTCTGAGATAGAAGTCTCTCAGTTGCACAGAGAGCTTCAGAAATCATACTTCCCAGGATAGTTTGGTCTTGTGAAACTGAATCGACACTATTTTCAGATGAATAATTAGTAAAATGGAATCATGACGACATTTCATTGGGAAATTTCTCAGCCGCAATCACAATCATTAAGGAAAGAACGATAACACCCAAGATAACATAAATTGAACAGAATGCCGCCCATCTGGGTGGTTAATATTCACTGAGAGAATAACTACCTCAGACATGTTCTACAGAGATATTTGATGCATAATTCTGTCGCTAATGAGATGAAGTCTTCGTCATCAAAAAAAGAACCGGGGCAGAACTGCAGAATCTGTTCAGAAAAATATACATCAGATTTATGGTCTAGTAATGCCTGAATAATCGTCATCGTGCAAGATGTATTCAGACTGATGAGTATCAAATTTGGGAGCAAACGCTTTTAAAGAATTCGTTGTATTTACCTTTGAGAACAGGGGTATGGAAGCTTTGTTCCATTGTTCTGCCATGTTGTCACTGAGCAAAAGTACCTGCATCCATGTGAAATATCTTTATCACGGATGAGAAAAAATCAAGTAAAAACTGTCCTTGAGCGAAGAGATTATGACCAACAAATGGAGATGCTACGTAGTACAATACTCTCTTGTGAATATATGCAACCTAAAGCAGGCTTTGTCAAGCACCTTTCTTGTACTGGGGATAATAGTAAATTATCTCATTGGGGGAACGAAATTCTTGATAGCTAAGCTCTCTAACCTATGTGCTACACTGTTCTTATCATGGTAATTTTGCGTACAGAAAAATCTGAAAACTCCATGTGAACGTAATAGAGAAGAAATTAACTACGTGAAGCCATTGTCTGCCAGGCATGAATTGGGAGAACTGTACTTGTAATTACTAAATCGTATAATTTTTTATGAATTATGTTTTCAAAGGTTGAAATCTGCCAGAAATTCTTTTTTGAAGATGAATATCACCACAACTTGCTTCTATCCTTCCAAACTTCTTTCAAGAATTGGCTTTATGGTGCCTTTCACTCCTAGATCCTCATCTGTTTACGTTCCAATACTAGGAAACTAAGAATGGTTGATTCATAATCAGTCACTTCCTCATATCAACTGAGACCAAAATCAGTGTCTTCAGTCTAGAAACCTCAATCTTTGTTCACGAATGCTTGTAACATATCCATTATCTGTAAAAATGTATAAATTACAATTATGACCCCCCGGCAACAGGGTGATGACATAATAATTGATACAAAACATGCGTTTGGGATGCCGCTACAAGAAAACAGGCAAAGAAAAAAAATCAGATTGGCAATCTAATTAGTTGAAAAATCAAGTTTTCTGGCGAGAAAAATCACGTTAAAAAATCATCCACTTCCACATTATCATTGTAAGACTCAGATAACTTATCCAAATTGAATAGATACCAAATAAAAACCAAATTTGGATCGAAACAATCAAATGACGTGGTCTTTGAATTTTAAACATTTGAAGGTACCAAAAATCAATGGATCTAGCTGATAGAGAAAATTAGGTTTTATAGTAAAGAGATGAGTTTGGCGAAATATAGAAATCCATCAACAAAAGAAAGAGAAAGTACGGATTTACCTGAAGAAGCTCTTTCAAAAGGTCCACTGTAAGGAACTCTGCGTTAAAAAATGTTTCTGAAGATAGAAATTGTAATGTTATCAAGGAAATTTCAAAGAGCTTCATCTTTTCAAGCACTTGTTCACTTTTGCCAAGTAGAACAGTTTCTCTTGAGCCAAGCACAGGTTGCTGCAATTGAAACAGAATAAGCTGTGCCAATCCCCACATATGATCAAATTCCCTTAATTCCAAGTTGACCATGATATGTCCAGACAAAGACGTTTGCTTGGCCAAATCATTAGTTATGTGCTCAGAGGATTTGTCCACCTCAGACTTTACAGGAACTGCATCGAGAGCAACTGCTTGCAGAATGATTGGCCAGATTTCATCAAGACAATTTTTTACTCTGGATGAAACAAGTGGCGACTGTATTCCATCCAAGAACGATTTATGCTGCCCAAAAAAAAAAAAGATGATTCAAGTACAAGAGTGCACATGAAACTTATGCTATATTCTGACCGTGCAACTTACTGTAAATTTTGACTTCAAACCAAGAGAAATATAACTATAATCCTTCAGGAGACTCATCCAGTACTTTCCCAATTTTGACGAGGTATCTGAAAACAGGGGTATCAACTGCAGGTATTCTCCAGGAACACTTTTTCTTTCCCTCAGAAGTGTATATACATAGCATTTTATTGAAGCATGAGCCATCAAAAGTCTTATCTTGATCTATCAACCAAAAAGGAAATTAGTGAAACGTTTTATGAGTTAAAAATATAACTGACATTTACTACTTGAAAGAGATTCTATACAGAAGGGAGGATGACAGATAGGAAACCAACAGCCAAACACCTAAAAGATTCTTGTAGTTTTACCTCGCATGCAACCCATTCCGCGAAGGAAGGATAATACAGGTCATCGAAGTAATCAAGAGGGCGTGAAATTAATGAAAACATGCGCTGTAGAGAAACTTGATCACCACCCAACATGCTACTTGTCAAAATCTGAAATTCACAAAAAGGGATGCATCGAACTCAATATATGTTGGCAACAGCAGGAACATTTTTTTTTCTTTAGAACAGTCCAGACCTTCGTAGCTAGTTGGAGGCCTGCCTCCAAGAGAGAAGGGTCAGAAGAAATGCTTATAGCAGATCGGACAGCAGAAACAAACTGAACCTGCATTCCAATGTTACAAGCTTATGGAACGTACCAAAGACAAACGAATTTTAGCTGAAGAATTTGCTCAAGAGCTTGAGGCACTACATCGTCAAATGGATACGAACAACTAAAAGTGAATGACACGAAATCGACTAGAGAGTAGAGTCGCTGAAGTACGAATTCAAGGAAAACTAACCTGGTACTGTTCGACAAGAAATTGCCCAGGAAGCTCAGGATCTGGAATATTGTCAAACTGAAAGAACGAAGTGAGAGAGTTAAAACTAACATAAGAGGGGGGGAGACAGAGGAGAGAGAGAGCGAGAAAGAGAGAGAGAGAAGACCCCATTAAATGCAAAGAACGAAGAAGAGAAGCAATAGTTGAATAGGTTATGTGAACAAAAAATGGAAGTGCATAGACCTCTTATAAACATTAAACAACTCTGTTGGTTCATTTTTTTTGTTCACATTAACCAAACATCAAATATTACCCAAAGCGAAATAAACATTAATCAACTCTGTTAGGTATCAAAAAGGTGAGAAAAATGCCAATGTTAGCCTCAACAAGTTAAGCCGATCAGAAAATAGCATATACAAATGACTGTATACCTAAAACATCATTTAATCAGTTAATATAACGAGGTTATCACTGCAACTCGATAGCAAAGATAAGAAAGGACGGGAAAGTACTATTCCTTTCTGATCCTCACTTTTCAGACTCCCCACATAAAGCTCCCTAGCTGCTCCCTAGCTGACCTGTGTTTCCCAAGTCTCTTTGAACTGGTCAGCATGGCCATCTGTTTCAATTTATAAAACATTTCATCTTCTGATGACTCTATTTAGCACTCAATGCTCCTGCTGTGAAAATACCTTTGCACCATGCATTCTCTGTACACCCCAACACATTGTGAGCTATTGATGCAAATAGTGAAATATCCATACACTGCCAAGTAGCATACCTTTGGCGAAGGACAACTGATTTATTACTTTGCATCAGATCATACTAAGAAATGGGTCCAATAAACTGTTAACATGCACCAGAGTTGAGGATCTATACCAAAGGAAACCTCATACACCACTTTCACAAATCCCACACATCTTCGTACTTTTCCCCTCAACATTGTTCATAAAATCCCCATTCCAAAAGCTTCCACGAAGCTAAAAGTTTGGGAAGAAACACGTACTGGTGGAGAAACTCAAAAAGCATAGAGCTCCAAGAAAAAAAGAATAACATTCGGACCTAAATACCATTTAGACCAGATGATCAAGATGCCCTCAAACTGTTAAGGGCAATTTGGACCAGTACGATACAAAAAATTAAAACGTGTAAACGGCTACTTCTGGAGAACCCTATGCACTATATAAGGACAGCCAGCCGTACAACATATTATTTCTTAGTCTTTGACTCATCTAATTTCCCAAGATATTTAGGAGAAAAATCCACTTTCAATTATGCCATTTCCCACACAATTCTTGGATATTTATCTAACTATACACTGATAGCACATTTATTATATCCATGAAACTTTTGGATGCCTCATTTCCTTGCAAGTTTGCCAAACCCCTCATTTGAAAGTAGAAGATTGGCTAGCTATTGGTTCAGAACTCTTGACACATTTTCTATAATCTCATTACCACCGGTTTCAATATACCCACCATGTGACATGTGGCACTGACAATGACCTGCTTCATGCATAAGATCTTACAAGTTCATATACTTGAGACCCATTATTTTAATAGAAGCATTCCAGTTCAAAGATCATAAGAAATTTACTTTAGTTTATCACATTTTATGATTGGAAGAGGTAAAACGAGACCGTTTCTACCTTGTCCATTATAGTAAGAAGAAGTTTCACACCAATGGGTTGCATACCCTCGAACTGACTGGTGCTGATCTGTAAAGCATTTTAAAGTAATATTAGCAGACAATCGTAAGAAGACAATTCAGAGAATGATGGAAAATGGCAAAAAATGAAAAAAAAAAAAAGAGTTCGGCTTCTCTGTATCATTGTCATGATTGAACCTGATATGCTAGTGAGATCAGCTCTTGCAAGTGCAAAACTAGCCAATCACTGGATGATGCACGTCTTCTTGCTAATGAAAGGTCAAAGTGGGCAGGTTCTGTTCCAACAGCCAGTGGTAGACAGCTCAAACACCTATACGTTAAGAATAGATGAAACCTTGAGATTGGATAACAGTCTTGGGTAAAGGACCACGGCTACAAAAACAATAGTCTAAATTTAAAAATAATGGTGTTAAAGAGAATGAGACGCAGTGGCGTCAATGAGCACGATTCTTTCATGATAGCTAAAATTTCGACTGGACTCATGTCATCTTGTGCTGGAGCATGAAGCACCTAAAACGTTCTTTAATAGTGCAAAAAATATTACATATACAAGACATAACTTCAGAAAAAATTGAATGACACTGGATAATTGAAATCAGCTGCCAAAAAAATCGCACAAGCCATCCCGTTATCAAGAGTAACAAATAGCTTGCAGGAAAGCTACTGTTACCAAGCATTAACATCGCATAAGATAATCCTCACAGCGTTAACTCAAGGCTTCTTTTACATCCACAAGCGGATAATGACAGTTAATAAGGTTGAAACGATTTCCTGTGAGAGTTTTAGTCCTTTTGACTCCTTTAACCTCCAGCTTCAAATGAGCAGTAGCAACCCAGGGAGTTGTGATTTCTAGATACATGAACTAGTGAATATGCACCCACTCTGATTGAAAGACTCCCACTGTGTCTGACATAAATCATAAAATGATAAACAGTCGAGAAAAATCTCTTCTACAAGTCAAATCATAGAAAACTTGCTGGGTACATTCAATTACCCTGGACACAAGAAAAAAGGAAAACTAAGGTTAATGAAACTGACCAAGCAGGAAAGTAACAAACTAGAAAGTTGCCCAACTAGGAAACTGACCATCAGGAAGTAACTCCTAATCACACATTTTTTCCCCACAGTGTCATAGTTCGTTCAAGTTTGGAAGAGAAACCCATTTCCATGGAACATATACGGGGAATCAGAGATCTTTGTAGTTTTGGGAACAACAAATACTGTACAACTGTAAAACGTCATTTCAGGAGATCTTTTCAAGTGCTGAAAAGGAAATAGAATTTTTTTGAGATAAGGGAATGAATTCGAGATCGTTTTAGGTCGTTCATTGGCAAAATGGCGAAATTTCCCGTCATGCCTGTTCTCAAGTACGATAAGGGTTCACAAGGGACACAAGCAACTTTCAGCCAAAGCTAATGTTCTTCATTAGTCTAGATGATGATCTTCCCAAGGGAACCAAAGAGAGAAATTGTCTATGGTTAACCAAAAAAGCACGACGAAATTCAAAGGCGTGCGGGTTTTATTATCAAAGCAAGTCCGAATGACACCAGTCTCCACTGATATGTGGAGGCTTAATCCTTATACTATCGGATTCTAGCAGGTTATACCCACCTAGATCACAATGTGACAAGTTCCAAAACCAAGCTGGATCCTATGAGCAATCTGAGATGGCAAACAGTGGTGTAAAGTGAGGCTGATTGAACCAGATTGCATCCCAGATCTGTCAGTTACAATCCGGAGACAGATCAAATTGGCTTAAATCAATTAATCCAATGACATCTTGAAATTTTCCAGGGAAATATGTGTCAAATAAAGGAGTCAGTCGTCCTTTAAAGTTTACAAAAACTCCCTTTCCGCTCTTTTGTTCTTCTAGTTAAGCTCATTTAAGAGAAATCAGTGCTTCTTTCCGAATCAAAGAATAGACTAAATAAAAAATAAAGAAAAGGTTATTAAATAAGACTGACAAGCTAAATATCGTCTGTGAGTTAAAAAAAATTATGATACATAAATAAAAATGCAATCCAGAAAAAGAGTCATTGGAAGGAGAGATATAATTCTTGCGAAATGTTTTACAGAAATTCGCAATCTGGATTTCCAAAATCAAATGCAATGTAAAATATACGATTGATTCTTCAAAACAATCAAATGAACAACGAATAAATTCTAATATTTTGGATTACCAAAAAGCAATTTTTTATTTTCTTACCACATGTAAAAAATCGCGGAATCTAAATAAAAGGATCTATGGTTTTCTTTCCCAATAGTCACAGGATAATGGTTTACGGTTTGAAAAAAATTAAATCGGTAAAATGTGTTAAGTGAATTCTCCAATTTACGAACAGTCACTTACTCTGCTGCAAAAAGTCTTGTACGGTATCTGAGATGCTTATCCTTTTTAAGATATGAATTGCCAAAGGAAATAGAATCTTTCGTCTGGGCTTCAGTGGAACTTGCAATCATGTTCTCATCATCTTCAGCATAATATAATCCAGCAGTGCCTTCAGAACTAGCATTTCCATTTGAGGGACCAATTTCCATTCTGCCATGCTCTGCAGAACCATTGCCTCCATTTGAGATTGCAAGAGCCTACAGAGAATTATGAATATCAGAACTATGTTGGGAACAACAAAACAAATTGCGAAATACAACAGAACATATTATATCCACTGATCGAAATATTGAATTCAAGTCACAAATATCAACATTATAGAATTGAAGAGACCTCATAATGATATTACAATGCATTCTAGCATTTCAAGAGAAGAACAAAATGACATCTATTCAACAATTAAATAAAAGACGCAACCTTCATAAGAAAATATATCATAAAAAACATTAGAAAAAAAGTGGATCATGTCCACGAATACTAACTGAAATCAACGCTCAGTCTGAATATTGATATGATAATTGGGCATTACGCAAAAGAAATCTCTTAGATGACATGTGGATACCGAAAAAGGAAAAGAACTACGTGAAAGAGCATCAGAAAATTTTAGAACGGCCACTTAGTGATCCAGCCTGAAAAATAGTAAAAGGGTTCCATCCAGACATGATTGCTCAAAGGAGCCTAGAATACAAAATAAAAACAAAAGGGAAAGGTTACCAAAAAGGAATTAAAAAATGGGCACGAAGATTTTAAAGTTTATGCAAAATGAATATCAGGACCACTGTAACATTTTACGGCTATGATTGACTGCCAATTCAGTACAAACTAGTGTACTCTTTCTTGTTTGAATTTACTCGGAAGAAAACAAGGATGGGGCTATTGAATCAGATATTGGCTTTGTGACACTGTCATGCTGCTGACTGTTAAAAGCACCAAGATGAATAATGATCAGAGGAATGTGGAGAAATAAGCATACCATGACAATTGGTAAGTCAACTACAGTGCTAGCGTGATTATTGTAAGAAGTGCCCCTCTTTATAAAAAGGAACAATAAATTTCATGTTTTTAGCATTAACACATGATGTGGCTCCGACGACATAACAGAAATCTGATGAATACCATATTTTCCATATCAAACCAAATCAGCAATGTAGTGGGACATATTCTTATCTTCAGAGCAGCAATCCTAAAAGAAACAGAGGGAGATACTGAAGCAAACATTAACACACTACAGACAAATAGGACTGTGTACAGATTCACATGTTGGTTGTATGTGATACAATGTCTTCAACAGTCAAAGGGATTAAAAGTTTAAACGTGCATGGGAAAGGTTTCCAGACAACCAGAAAACACGATGGGATTTATTCTTCTCACAATCAGATACTATTAACCTTCCACCTCAAAGTTGGCTCCTCCTTATTTGGATTCCTCCTTTGACTAGCTTTTGCTTTCTCAGGGTCAATAAGACTATGGAGATCATTATGGCCATACTTAGGAGATTGAGGAGGAACCAGGATTTAAAGAGTATGACTCCTGTAAACCTAACAATTGAGTTTGATCGTAGCATTTGAAAATAATATAAAGGAAATTCTACGAATCATAGATTTATAAATATTAAATATTTAATTAAAAGCAAAAAAACGAAATTAATATCAACTCTAACATATCAGTCAATACAGAAGGCTCCCCACCCTCTCATCTGACGTTATTCACCAGGATGCAGCCACCAGGTATGGAAGACAAGAAACATATTAAGGTTGGGACGGAAGGGGCAGCAGGTGGCTAAAATCGTAGGGTGGTATAGCCATGTAATCAGCTTCTTATTTTGAGACCAGACGAACTCTGGCTGAATTTGTAGGGTCACAATCACATGCCATCATTTTCTTATTTAGAAGCAAGAGGGATGTTGTCACAGGGATGGAGGATACTAAAAGAGATGTGCCAGGATACAGCAGCAGTAGTCTTTTTCATTGATCAGAGTAGACAAAGATTTGAGATATCTTGAAAGAGTCGTATTATGTTCTGCCAGAATCCTAGAACCTAATGCAATAGCGTCTGGTATCAATTGATTTCGGCTGAAACATATTGACATCAACTGGATTGCTGCCTCGATGGGAACTCTTACTCGAAGACAAAGATGGGGGAACAAATCTGCCTGATTCCTATGCACTTCATGTCGGGAAGAACTCAGCTGCAATGAGGAAGAAGAGCCTAATGCTAAAGAATTGGACAGAAAAAGTGCTCACACATCGCATGAGTTGCAAATAAACCATTTTTATCATTGTCAAGATGCAGAAAACCAATGAGAAGACATATCAAACAATTACATTTCCCAAGAAACATGAAATGTTGTCAGGTAAAATATTTAGAAGAACTGATCAACTCCAAGAAACACTTGATGTTATAACACAAACAGCTTCCGAGAGAGATAAAGAGGGGGGAGACACAGAGAGAGAGAGAGAGAGAGAGAGAGAGAGAGAGACCATGCTGCGACAGATTGCCAACCAACGTGATGGACAAGACGGGCATGACTTGTAAAGCAACCGACTGATCGTGGCACGCACCAAGTTTCCAATCCTAAACAGTAGACATAATGCAAAAAAAATTAGCGAAAATATATCGTATACAGATACTATCTGATATTAATACTTCACCGGCTAAGATTTTCATGGGAGGGATTAAATAAATATTCAAAATTGTCGATGATTTAAACTACAGTAAAAGAGAAATTTCTATTCGTAATAGTCCAAGTGGAAGAAGTCAAATCAATATCATTTATTTTCACCTTATGTCAACTTTTAAAGAACCTTGTTAAGCTGAGGTGAAGAATTCCTAGAAATTAGATCAATCCAAGAGCACTGATCAAGATTATGCAGATTTTAATTTATTTAGGATCAGATCCACAGGCCCCAGTCTACCTTCACTATTTAAATAAAGACAAGAAATGAGGATATTGAATACCACAAGGTGATTACTGAGTAAGCAATGCCCCCAAACTGGCTTAATACATGAGATCAATCTCTTAGAACATAGATGACAGATACGCGACAGTATAACTTCCTGCAAAAGTTTACTGTAAAGAAAGTGAAACAAATAAGGGATTCCGATATATTGGACAAAACCGTTCTCTCAGCCTTCGGAACATGAGCCTCTACTACATGAAATCTATGAGAACTTTATGCAACACAATAACTGGGGGAGGAAGGCAACTCGGTTAAAGGAAGCAGTGATTGACATGAAGGGAGATTTAGAAACAACAGGCGAAGGCAGGAAGTGAGTAGCAGAGACAGATGTCTACTTTTCCTCTAAAGGAAAGAGAGAGGAACTGAGGGACAGAAAAGGGAAACAGTTGAAGATTTGTGGCAATGATCTTCATCTATACAGGAGCATTGTCAGTGCTGTTCACTGACATAATTGTAGGGCGGCTAAAGGTAGCCTCAAGATTGGCATTAGAAGACGAAAACATAGATTTCTCAGGTCTGAACCATGAAGCTAGCAAAACAAGCAATAACCGAACCCCAAGCGTCAATATTTAGGGCATAACAACGGAAAAGTGCTACCACAGGCAAAATAATAAGCTATAGACACGGGATTAATCCAAGCACAAAGCCTCAACCTCACTGAGATGATGGTGGCAAAAATTGTCCTTGATTTGATAAACCTTGAATCTCGAAGAAATACTCAACATGCACCATAAATACAAGTTCGGCACTACTTAACAAAAGAGACTCTTTTAAACAAGAAAGGTCAATCTTCTTATATTTCTTATGCTGATGACATGAGTGGGAGCAACAGAAGGCATCAATAAATGTCAAAAAAACAAAAGAACTAAACCAAGGAAATGATGACCTTAGAGAGAATATCACAAAATGATTATAGATTGAGAAAGTGATGAATATCAGACAAATTTAAACAGCATTTGAGTTTGTTTAATACTCAGAATCTGTCTCCTCATCAAGCATTCTGAACAGATTTTCTTCAATGCGTTCTTCAATGACTGCCCCCTGAGGAAAAGATGTCTAATGTCATGAGCGACTATTGTGTCTCAATCATTGATACTATGGAAAAAAGTGATTCGTACATGAAGATAAACACATGCAAATAAAGAACATCGTCTTTGTATGCCAGCTACAAAAGCAAATAGCATAATCGTAAAAATGATAAAATACCATAAAAGTAGATAATTTTCTTACCGAGTCCTTTTCAATCAGGTGACGCAGAGTAGAGACAGCAAGATGTCGAAGTGTTGGCTGTGTGTCGGAAGTGTTAACTGGTTGTTATGAAATCAAAGTACTGATATGAATCATTAAATGTTTCCAGAAGCTACCTGTCTGGAGGAGAGGTTTGGAAGAAGAGTTTGAAGATGAGAATGCACGGAAACAGCTTGGGGAGCGAAAAGAACCAGCTGCTGTGTGAATCTAACTGACCTGCAAAATAAATGCATAAGAATTATTCTGTGTCATCTTTAAATCAACAACGAAAATCATATAAGAGCTAGAAAACAAGAAAATAAGCTTCAAGGATATAGCATAGCATTTTTATATCCACGAAAGTATTTAAATAATAGGACAAATTCAAGTTCTGAAAATGATTACTCAAGCAGGGTAGATGTTTCCTGTCCTGAGCTTGTTTCTGCTACAACTGACTGAACAAAGAAAAACGTTGTGTGACTTGAAAATTCTCCAAAAACATAAATCCGTCTGACCAAAAAGTCACAGAAAAGGGAAATCAACACAGAAATATTAACTTCAGTACTCAGAATAACATTGACATACCTTGCAACGGGAGAAAAAGGTACTACCAGGAGAAAGCTCAGGACCAATCACAGCTACAATAGCATTTATAAGACGACCTATTCCCTGGCGAAGGTCAACCAAGCCGTTTTCCTCGGCCAGAAGAACATCAATAGCAAGGGAGAGTGTTGCCTATGAGTAACAAAATTTTAATAAGTCACTTCAACACCAAGGCTTCAAATATGTCTGTTTTGAAGAGAATACAGAGATATCAAAGAAAAAATATGATGTGAAACTTATGCCACCAAGTTCAGAAAAAAAAAATGATCAACCTGAACGCCAAAAACGTTTTAAAAAAATAATTAAAATTTAAAGACAATTAAGTTCAGAAACTGGCAATGAAAACAGGAAATATTAAAAAAATAAAACAGATAATTTATACCAACAATACTAAAACAATGTCTACCAAGGACAAAGATCCTCTACAAAGAAATTTGATAATTTCGATTTTCAAAACAACATAAAAAACGTGCTACATATCACGTGCACTTCAAGTCAATTACCTAAAAATAAAACGAGGCAAAGAAAAAATACACAATACTTTTCCCAACTTACAGTCAAAAGAAAATCAATGAAGGCAAACGAAAGCTAACATATCACCATGATCTCAGTTACGAGAGACAACTATGCAGAGTGGAAAATAAACTGGAAATAGAAGGAGACAAAAAAAGGAACAAAGGAAGGAAAAGGAGGAATAAAGAGTATGACGCCATAAAATATTCCAAACTCTTTGATAATTCAGTTTCATGGAATATATTTGTTCAACTATTCAATTAACATAGAGTGAGTGTGGATTATAAGAATCCTTGATTTTACCAGATTTTTATTTAATTTATTAATCGGAGTATTGGAGTTACTTTCAATAAACTGCAGTTTGGAGGATGTTGAGTCGAAACATGACACCAAATCTCTGAATAATTTTTCGGCAAATTAGTGTTCTATTAGTTTGAATAATAGGCTGAATCTTTCAGACTACACTAACCTTTTCCCTCAAGTAATTCTGTGTTCTTCTATCCATTCCCCTTGGATAATTCTTTTTTCATCCACCTAGCATTTTTATGCGCCTAAATTGGCCCAACTAATCAATTATAGCAGAGAGGATAGCGTATCAAATCAATAAAGCTTTAGTGCATGATCTGTAAGTGTACCATATGCAATCAAAATGCTAAAATGACTTCAGCAAACAAAAGATCCTATATACAATTACCTCATCAGCTATCATGAATTGACTTTACCTGAACTTGAGAAACATAAGACAGTCCAGCAGCTTCAATGATCAAAAGAAGCGAATGCAAGGTCCATCTTTGTATGTCAACATTTGAAAATCTAGCAAGCGATGATATTGAGCTCACAGTCGCAGGGACTAAGGAAGACAAGGCCATTCCTCCTGCACTGCACACAAATTACAATGTGTAATATTGGCAAAGTGAATGAAATTAAGATATCATATTCAAGATAGGCATATTGAAAAAGACTATTATTGTTTGTTATATGACAATTATGGCAAGCTGTAAGAAAGGAAAAATCAGATATTCAAAGGACAAAACTACTTAACAGAGAGGGCAATCGCCCTATACTTGTGTAGATTGAAGTAGCAGGATAGGATTGCCCCACATTGAATGGACTATTTGATTTAAGGAGGATTAATGATTAATGTAGCCTTCACCATCCTGGTAACACTGTAGATATTTTGCAAAGAGAAGTTTTAAGACCAATAGAACTATGCCTGCCCTCGTCCTCTTATTTCTGAAACTTAATGACCCGATAGCACTGCGAATTTCCAAGAAAAAATAACTATCCCACCCCGATTTATATCTCGTTCAAGATAAACAACTCTGTTGCTCTAGCTACTGCTTTTCTCCATTCTATACTCTTTTTTTTGCATTTTTCATCTGACAGACATCTCTATAGTTAGTTATTAACCAAATATAAATGAAAAGAGCACTGGAACAACTCTTAATGGTCGCAGTTTTCCCACGTGTCCATACCATAGGAGAGAAACTTCTAATCATCTGGAATTAGAACAGATTCAACAATCACCTCAATGTCATGAAAAAAGCAACGTTCCAAACAAGGTACACTTCCGTTAATGTCCAACTTTGGCTCCGCATGTTAAACTCTAAAGAAATGAAGTTTCTGACATCGTTTTTTCTGGGTTACTAATCATCTAACCCAGACGTGGTCTAGTGAATTCTGTATCCGAATTGTTGCTACCTCTCATCTCACAGGAACTTACAAGGTTTCTTTTTAATCAATGATTAGGACAGTCCTTTGATTTCAGCAGACGCTGTCAATTGGTTACTAATGTTGGAAGAAGCTTAAATATGCATCATAAGAATCAAATTGTATCCAGGAAATCCTGCCGTCTAAATCCATTTTCCTTACAATCATCGTAATCAACATTGGGCTGAAAGCTATAAAAGAATTCAAGCTGGAAGGCATTACACTTGTTACACTCATGCCAGCACAAATGCAGCCCGCTGCAGAACACCTTTGCCAAGGAGAGATCATAAGATGGGTAAAGCCATGCAAAGTTTCAAACCGCTTAATCAGCACAAGCCACCAAAAACTAGCAATATTCTGCTCACAAGCTCTTCAATGATGCTACTTGGTTTTCTTCATTTATCGCTATATTCTTTTTTTTCAGGACCATCAATATTGCTCATCTCCTTCAGTCCTACTATTCGTTTTCTCTGCTCAAGAAAATTTCACAGTATCACGTCCCTCCCATTTGTTCTGTTCGCTTTTATTATATATCTGATTTGTCACAAACACTGAACAACATATTTCGTTTTATTTAGTCCTGCATTTTCTCCTCCTAGTGGATTATTCACACAGAAACGGAAGGGCCAGATACATTCAGCTTGCTATCTCTAGCTAGATCCACTCGCGTAAAAAGAAGAAAACTGTCATAAATATAATGCTGTGCAAGGGCAACAGTATTTTTTTCTTTGACTTATGCATCAATCATTTTGGGCAGTTCCTGTAGAATTTCAGCTGAGTGGTCACTGCTTTAAATTGTTTGTCAACGATTTTTCAAAGTAACCAAATTATGGAGGACATCAAAAAGGTAAAGATATGGGAAAACATGCTCAAGCATGAAGTATGGTTTTGACGCTACCAGTAAGCAAAAAAAATAATAGATCTACGAGAACTGGGAAACAAGAAAACTTGAGACAGGGGACAATAACGAAACAAACAGTCCACATCCTGACACACTTGAATACTTTACTGAGTATAACTTCGAAGCAAAAAGTTAGCACCAAAGTTTCAAATTTACCTGCGATGAATGCAACCCAATGAGAGGGCAAGAGACCCCACATAACTAGCGTCTATTGCCACAGTAAGATCACTTAACAGGGAACGTGCCTGATCAGCAAAACTCATTAGCTAGTATCCCTTTCATTAAGAACTGATGAATCATAGCAAGAAAAAATCAACCAAAAAGAAGAAACTTGCTGAGTTTATAGAAATCTCTTAGTGGAAAATTTATAGTTTCATTTGTTTACCAAGAACGGGAATTAGAAGGACAAATCGTCACGTTGAAAATGAATTTCGACACTTCTCAATCAGTTGAACTTCCCATTGTTTATTAATTGAGTGATCAGAAGTATTAATTGCCATCTAAAACAGACAGGTTCCATGCCAAGAAAGCTGGATACATTTTTGGTTGCTAAAAGATATGACAGGCTTTCCGATTAATCCACCTGCTAAAGATAAATAGGGATCACATCAGGTTCAGCCTGATGATGTTCAAAGGAGGGGGTGCCTTTTGACTGCAGATATACCAACAACATCATGGACCTAAATAGCAAATCTAAAAGATTTCTAGATTGATGCATAAATACTGATGTTGTTGTACAGCTTCAGATTTCTAGATTTCTAGATTTCTAGATTTCTAGATTTCTAGATTTCTAGATTGATGCATAAATCATGAAGCACAGCTTCATTGATCATTTCTAGATTAATGGACCACCTCCATTATTACAGCTTCGAAATCAACAACATAATGGACCTAAATAGCAAATCTAAAAGAGATCTTTAGCTTAATCGGAACAAGGAAATCAAGGATTAGTACCAAACCTGACATTGGGAACCAAAACTATATCATTGAAAAAACATTCCAAACTTGACCCTTCTCCGGATGAAATGGTTGTCCCAGCAGTTACACCCAAGAATCCATAGATTTGAAAAGATTTCTAGATTCAATTTTTTAAATGTTACTTCAGGACAACAAGAATTCTAAGAGAATCATTAATCTTATCGGTTGGAGAATCAAAATTGTTTTCAAGGATATCAATATGGTATCTGTCAGAAAGAATGTATAATTAGGAGTTTTGTTCTTAATTGTGCCGTTTACTAGTTTCTTGGTTCGTTTCATAGTTTGTCGGCTTCCTAGTTGTTATGTAGTTTCCGTGTGTTGTGGCCCTGGTATATAACAGTCATCTATGATGTGAATACGAGTTGAGTTTTTCCTCTGCATGTCCTCCTTGGGTTTCCACCACTGTTCACAACAGTATCTAAAATTCACTGAATTTCTCAGTTAGCAACACTTGTTGATGTCACATGCATTTTTTGGACGAAAGAGAGACCACAATCTAGTAGGAGTACTAAAACGCACCATCCTTGCAGTGAAGGAATCATTTCCCAGGCGAGCTAATAGACCCAAGCCTTCAGAGGAAGCTCTTCTCTGTGCTGCCGAGATCTCTCCTTCTGCAAGGATGCTCTACAAAAGACACAGTAAAACATAAGATACACATTCTTCCTAATAATAATAAGACAATGTAAAAATATATAAGACATAAGAAAAATACCTGAAATATGTGCTGTATGGAAGTTAATATTTGATTGTCTAATATTTGTGCACGTGAAGCAAGCACAGCCTGCCCAGAGAGAATAAGAATCATTGATGCACAGTATGCAAAGAGAAAACAAAAAATTGTTTTCCAGGGACACCTGTTGATGGAAATAAGCACCTTAATTCCAACAAGCAGCACAACACATGTATTGGTGACATTAGCTCCATGCCAGGATTGCTTCCTTCCAGATTTCAGACACTGATCAATGGCATTCAGAAGGCGAAGTTTCCCTCCAGTGTCCTGGATAACACAGAACCGCAGTCAATATAATCAGCCACTTCTGCCAGCCTCACATATACACCCTAGAAAATTGCCTACTCATGTACTTACCTGACTTGCAAATATGCTACCAAGGCACAAGAGCATCTGATTCACCAACATTTTTCCTGCACTCTCTGACTTTGATGTCGAAAAAAACAAAAGATAAAAATAATACAGAAAAAAGTTATAGAACTAGATAAGTACTTTATTATAATTAACAATGGAATTTCAAGTCGTTTCTCCCGGAATTACATTGAGAACTAAAACAGCTGAATGTTAAGAAACAATATTTAAAAATATATTGGGCATGACACATACCGAATGCCCACAGATACACATCCCCGTGGACAAAGCATTTTTCACGTTAAGATAAAGGCAATGCTTCAATAAAGTCGGCCAGGCTTATTAATGTTTGGAGTTTGTACATTGAAACATCGAGTTATATGAAAATGTAAGAGCATAGAATCCACAGCTAGATAGTGTGATACATTTCAACATGCTTGAAACAAGGTGGAGTACTTATGCGTGCTCACGTTCAATAGAGCTTTTGATAATCTCCATATGTCTTACATAACACGACAGGGCAGAAGAGGGAATTAACGCTGAGGATTGATGCATCCATGATACACAGCAAGACCCCAAAAGTAAGGCATGATACAATGATGCAAGTAGTGTTCAAGTTCATTTTCAGTCTTACATGTCTATGAAAAGTAAAACAGAGCAATACTCCCACAAAATGTATATTATCAATGAGAAACCCAAGAGCACAAACGCCTAGCATATGCCCCCAAGATGGTGAACTTGGATCAGAACATAGTTCTATAGATTTTTAGATCAATCACTAATACTTATTTAGAAAAAACATCGATTATTAGAAAAAAGAACTTCAAACAGAGAAGATATCATGATCTTCCAGAGATGCCTCATTAAGATATTATATACCTGAGGAAGACTAGAACTTTGGTCTTCCCATAAACATGGCAGCACTCCATCATTCCCGTCTTCAAAAGCCCTCAGTTCATCTTCCAAAAAATCTCTAAGCAATCATAACTTATAAGTAAAAGGAAAAATCATTAAATAGCAAGGATAAGTAGAAAAAAGAGGCTTGAATAAAAAAAATAAAAGGTACCTTCCAGGTATCCAAGGTCCTAAGAATGCCTCTCTCTTGTCCAACAGCGACCTCAGGCAAGAACTTTCTTCACATCCAGAAGGATTGCTATGGAGAAACATGCATGAAAGTATGACCAAGATGGATCAGAAAAGTCTGAAGCATTGGAGCAAAGAACCTTCTATCTGCCTAAACCAGAAGCAAATTTAAATTTTATCAAGACAAACAAACAACTATTTTACCTGAATGGAGTGGTACAAATCTCAATAATCTGCTGATGATCATTTTTGTAAGTTAGAGGATCCAGAAGAGACTGGTACGCCATTAATGTCCTAAGGGTGAACATGTCGACTGAATGCTTTATGCTTTGAACTTGTCGTGCTCTTAAAGGTCGTATGTAGGATAAAGCTCTGCTTAATGTAAAATATTCAGTTGTATGATTATAAATAAAAAGCGAAATGCCATTGGGAGAAACTTGCACGTTCAGGTGTGACATGTGTGCTCATGCCTGTGAACGAATTTGTGCACAATAGTAATGGATTTACGCATTTGTAAATGCATGTTTGTGGCATTATTTAATTAAGCACACTTACCCACCAAGGTACACTAGAACAGGCTGCAGGAATATTCCACCGTCGCTAGTGTTTATCTTTGGCGAAACAAAATTCTTTATGAAAGCAGTGAGGGCTTCCAATGCCGCAGATAACACACTACGCATGTAGATATTAAGTGACGTCAGCAGTTAGGTACTCAGAGACAAAAAGAAAAACAAACGAGATTTATAACATGTATATGCAAATAAACCATACCAAAAGAAATCTTATTCATACTGCTTTTATTCCTTTGCTTAATTAACATTAAATGCAACGTTTATATGCAGTCTAATTTATGTAAGATCTGTAGAGAAACCTTAAATTTATAATAAAAATGCTATATATCGTCTAACTACAAAGAAGAGTTCGTAATGACTTGAAATGTGATGCTCTACGATATGGTGACAAAATGTAATCAGATTGTTAGTCATTTTGACTTCATATTGAAGACAATTTTTCATAAAATATTTATAGCAATCAAACAGTGACGTTTTTTGTTTAAATTATTTAATTATGGATAAAGTATTTTTCTAAAATAACCTTTCTGGACATGGTATCTTTAATAAATCTTGGAGTCTGAGTGTGTATGTGAGGAAGTGAGAGAGAGAGAGCGTGGGGGAGGGGGAGTCGGGGAGACCACCTCATGTATAAACATGGGGCAAGGAAAAAAAGATCTTAGCTTTCAGGCTAACATTATCAAAACTCAGATCCACCTAGAATCAGGGACTGGATGGAGACCAATTAACATCTCCACATCAACAAGCATCGACTTAATTCTGGCATCTCCTAGTGTTCCAATGCTGGCCAAAAAAGAAAACGAGCAAGAACATGGCATCATCAATTTTACCTACTGTGAATTGATTTTCTCCAGAAAACTAATTTAAAGTTATTTATTACGTATACAGTTTTTACATACATGGATACAAGTAGATACTTTATTTATTCAATTTAAGAAGTACAAGAGTACACTAGCCAAGGACAACAAATCTACATTACGAAGTTATGAGAGGGATAATTCTTACTGTTTAAATCAAGAAGGCGGATCGCCCTGAAGGTTAGACAGCCTTGCTAAATGTAAGTATTCCCCCTTCAACTAAGTTTAAGGGAATACGAGGAAATAGCTGGGTTTCACAAACTCAGATTGTGAAACAGAAATGGCCCACGAGCTTTTTTGCACAGGAGTTCTAGAAATTATCTGCCTACAATACCTTTGTCACAATCTTGTCACAGCCGTGGAGGGATAATGACAGCCAGGGAAGCAGTAGGAAACATTTACCAAATCATTGATCAATATAAAGAACTATTAAACCACAAATTGGATGGATAATTTTAACGTTAACAATGATGACAGTGTAGCTAGAAACCGTTGATCAGAGAATAAATCAAAACAACTACAGTTTTTTCACACTAGATCATATAGGCAACTACTCTTACCGCATTTCTGAAAGCAAATCTTGTTTTTCACTTATATAGTCATCAATATTGGTCACAAAAGGGCCTGCCCAAAGTAAAAGAATATCAAAAACTTGGTCTTCAAGGTCCTGCAAAATCGAGATTGAAAAGATGTGGTGAGAGCAGTGGATAAAGAAAATAAGTAATGAAACACGATCCAGAGAGAGGGTACCTTTTTCGTCATGCTAGATATAAGAGAAGCCAAAAGTAACCATCCTGCTTCTTTCTCAACAGTAGCAGCAACAGGATTCCGACTACTTTCAGTCAGCATTTTCTTTGAAACTTCAAATACAGATTTTGGCAAACTGCAGACACGGAAAATTATTCCTTTTGTTATGAAAACACCTTTTAAATTGTATCGGCTGTTCCAGAAACTTCTAGAAGAGTAAGAAAGCATTATATTCTGATTTTATTTGTACATAGGAAAACGAACAGGGCAGGCAACCACGTCTAGAATTGGGAGTCCAAAAGAACAAAAAGGAAAAATCTGTTTGTCAACTACACATACGTTGTCTGCTGTAGTTATCAGACAAATAATATAAAGCCAGAGAACATTTGACATAAATAATATAATCCAAGTCGATTCTGAAAGGATGACATATATAGCATAACACAGCAGTCCTGACTCTCCAGAAAATTTGAAAATTTATCTCTCCATAAAATAAAAGCACATGTAGATAACTAAGATGCTACATCTTGCATCCATTTTTATCATTCCTTTTCCTTTAAGTTCTTCTTGTCTTAAATTATTCAAAATACTATGAAACTTGGCTTATCTACGAAGTAGAGCCATATTAGAGAAAGGTCCATAACGGTGGGTTCCAATGCATGAGATCTTGTAGCACTTATCAACAAGGCCCTATCAATTACTATTACACAGACGAAATCAATTATAGAATATATCTTGAAAATAACAAAGATATAAAACTTTTTCCACAGTTTTCAGGCTCAAAAAAAAAAAGTAGGATCAACTAATACGATCCATTAAAGCAAGACTTGTTAGCAACAAATCAGATCAATATGAACGTAAATCTAGCTCTAGAGATAGATAAAATCGCAAACTGCAGCGTGGGTGATGGTCATGCTCTGTCAATATCCTACTTCTCGACCCATTCTCATAGCTGTATTTCTCCCCAAGTTATGTCTCCATCACCCACAGTCTTTATGGCAAGTTGTGACACCACAAGAGCATCAGGATCAGCCAGCAGAAACAGTATTGACTGACGCCACTTGTTACGCAGAACAAGTTTTTTGCTATATTAGGCTTTCCTTCTATTTTTCCTTTCTTTCCTATTATTAGATGTATTTCCTTTTTCGTGTTTCTATTATTAGACCTTTCCATAATACTGGACAGGTTTATTAGACGCCAATATAAATACTGGCGTACTGCCCTGAGAAGGGCTAAGTCAGTTTTTCCTTTCCTGCTTCTGCTATATCTCGTAACACCACCTAAGGTCACCAGCTTCCTCAATTTCATCTTCTGCAATGTTATAACAGCTAGGCTCTGGTACCTTCAATAGCTGCAACAAATGGTGCCACTATGAATTGAGCTTGCATGCAAGGAAGCATGAGTTGCTTAAGACTCTGTACAGCTCGTACAGATCCAATTCCCTCTTTAAAACAGCTAGAATCCTTCTCCAGCTGACTTGATCACTGTGCCACCAACTGGGTCAACCCCAGGTGACTGAAGTCTGAAAACTGGCTCAGGAGTCTAGGGACGAGTCACCAAAACTGAAGTATTATTGCCCTCAGACAAATTCACATGTGTGCCTCAGGGCCACTGTCATAACCTGATCACAACAGCGACTTACAAAATATTCACTCAAAAGTGTCCTTTGCAAAGAACAAAGTTCTTCGTGCACCTACTAAGCAGTGGTAACCAGCCTTGCTAGAAAGACTATTGAATGTAGCATTAAAGATGATTACCACAAAATGTGTAGAGAGCAAGCTACAAGAGAACTGAAGAGAAATTACCATAAGAAAACTTTCCAAGGCATATCAGCTATTAAACTCTTAACAGATACATACCGTGCTGGATAACCAAGACGTAATCTAGGAGAGATTGAGACAAGTGCAGCTAACACAGTAGCTTGTCCATGCAGGGAATCAAGATCAAACTTCAAACGATGACCCTGCAAGGAGAACAATATTTGCAATGCATAAAATGGTTAGCGCAATTAATTATTTCTCAATGAAAAACATTGTGAGCAATTGACTCATTCGTCAATCAGATAATCCAAGGCATTTATTAGTTATCGGCTGACAATGTTTTACTGAGTAATTTCCTACCCATGAAACTGAGGAATTACCTTTAGCAAAGTCCATCAACAAAATAAGCACCGAGTTATTGTGATTGTGCATGCTTCTTAAATTTCTCAAGGGGCCTCAGCCATTCAGCAAAACTTCCTCAACAAGGTAATTTGTACCCTAATGCATCGAGCCTTCCACTCATCCCTTGTCCCCACAACCATTTTTCATGGGCATCACCTGGCTCTGTTCTTCCATGATTAAGGGATAAATGTCAACCTTTGGACTTGAAGAAAATTTTAAACATAAAAAAATCTTGCAGGTAACGTCTCTAATTCAAAACCAAACATGAATTTTGGTTTCATTCGGATCCTTTATGGAAATGTGTCCCAGAGTGCATTACGTCGAAAATACACAGTTATGTAACTTCTGACAAAATTTGTCAAATTCCCGATGTCCATCCACCAACAATTGTAGGATCCCCTCTTATCCATCTCTCTCTCTCTCTCTCTCTCCCTCCTTCTCCCTCTCCCCACACTCTCTCTCCCTCCCTCCTCTATCTCTTGCTGTGCCCTCTTAACACCAGGAAACACAGGTTTAAATGTTTCAGCACAATGTTCAAACCCCTCTAGGAATCAGCATCTAAGATGTGTTGCAGGTTTCAAGACCCCGAACACCCTCAACCCCTTACACAAGCCAAATTTTAAGGGTTATTGAATGTAGCATACGACGGCAATTACATTTGTATTGCCTGAATAGCTTGGTAAGATGTCATTTCCATCCCCAAGTCACAGTTATTAATCTGTTCACAATCATTTTCCTTCATCTGTTGACCAAATTACCGTTAAATTCTCCGTTCTCAAATGTCCTCACTGCCACTCTGCATGCCTGAGAGCAGAAGACTGGATGAAAATCCATGTGTGAAACTCTTCTCACAACTTGTAATTAAAGTGTACCTTGCTTCTGCTCACTTTCCATCAGACATCACAACAGAACTGTACAAATTGTCACCCAATTCACTCACTAAATAGGAACCACAGAGTCATGGTTATTTATAACGAATCTCAGCTGATTCCATCAAGTACGTATGCACAAATACTTTAGTCAGTAGATACAGATCACTACAGGCTGGCAATTTTTTTGCTGTATCAGATCACACTCAATATGTTCACAAGTAGATCAAGGATGCACCATTAAGTATAATGACTGATGCATAAATGGTTTACACCTCATGTATACTTAATCATGGTTAAACATCTCATGTGCCCAAATGAATGGTGTCTCACGAATCATAAATGAGATGAGCAACATGGTTTACACATATGAATCACGACCATTATCGTCAGAAGCATACCCACAATGTGCAGGTCACATAGGGGAAAATTCTAAACCATTCCTGATATATGGTGCCCACTTTATGCACTCTCCCATGGGCGAGCTAGTTCTCAAATGTCCTATTTTCTTCCCAAGAACGACTATAGGCTCCTAGCTGTCATTAAACTACATCCAAACTTTACACTTCATTCATCTGAAAAGCATCTAAAAGACAGCAGACTTTGTTCCCAAGAAAGACTATATGTTCCTTGTTGTCACTAAAACTAAGTCTCAACTTTACGCCTCATTTATCTGAAATAAAGACCCCTAACAGACAGCAACTTGCTACCATTAAATCTGATTTCCCCAGATCTACAGAAACTACATGCACAGTGTTTTCCATGTTTAAGTCTTTAAACTAAATGGGTGAAAATAAAATATAAAGAAACAACAAAAAAATCGCAAATTTACTAAGAGAAGATTAACCGTTACAGTAACAACCAAGATGCATATAATGATTAAGAAAGAGGCCTCTTAAAACTCTAACACCATACTACGAAAGATAAACTATCACATGAGAGACCATAAGGAGTTAAATTATGTGACAGTCACAAATGATTATCGGTACCCGCTAAAACATAAAATCCTTTTAAAAGGAGAAACACATGATCACCTTTTCGATTGATGCGCTTTCTCTCAAAGCATTCAATGTTGTCACACCATAGGAAATTAGACCACCAACACAAGTAGGATCCACCTCTGCCAATGTACGTAATGTCATAGAGGCTTCTACACGCATCTGATAAAGAATTTCACATGAAAGAGAATGAATCAGTGGAGAACATATTTACATTGAGCAATAGACGACCACCTAAAGCATTAAAAATAAATAAAAGCAATCATCAACTAGTCATGAATATCTAGGTTTTTCAATTCCTGTTAATTTAATGCCTGAAAAGGTTTAACAAAAGAATAATAAATATGTTATGAAACAACAAACACTATCATTGAATAATAAACATGAAAAGTATAAAATGTGAGTATTAAATTCTAGAAAAAGTTTGTGTTTCAAATGAATAGAATTAAAAATTGATATAAGTTACATAATATTTTAATAATCGTAGAAACAATGGTCACCATATGATCTGGAATATGGGTTAACTAATATGCTAATCAAAACTATTTGACATGATCAAAACGTACATGGATTGAGGAATGAGATAATGCAGCAACAACTGTGTTGTCAAGGATTTCCTTGAAGTCTTGTGGGACCTGTAAGTCGGACGGCAGAAATATTAGAAAGGGGGTGAAAATTCAGAGCATCGTATACAACTGTCACACAGCATCATCTACATTAAGCATCACAATTCAAACAATAATAAAAAAGTAATCACTAAACTACCATTGAAAATTTCATTAAAGTCAGAGGATGACATGACTGGGCTTTTGCAACTTTTACTTCACGAAGCTGCATATTGTTTTTCTTTATTTTAAGAAGGATGAAATTACTTATGGGATATCAACTAGAACAAAGTACGGCAAAGTTAGTTAGTGAGTTGATATCTTATTCACACGAGATTCCAAATAGAATTATATAAAATAAAAATAGAAATGATAAAGCAATGGCTTTTAGATTGGATATTGATACAAATAGAATCAACAGAGGGAGGGGATAGTTATTAAAAAAAAATTATCCATGCAATCCTAAAGGAAAATGAAGCAAGGGAACCACAGTTCTTTTGTTCTCAACCACAAGCCTTCTCGTGTCAACAAAATTATGGGAAGCAGATTCCTGTGCTTTCTTTTCCTCTCAGACACTATCTGGATACCCATGAGAAACAGAAGTCTCAATCACACAGTCTCAATTTTCCAGATCCTTCGAAAAGACAACCAACTTCAGAAGAGCAAGAAGAAACATGATTCCAAAAAATTTAAGAATTTATTTGTCATAGTCAAGATCCAACCAATTCCATTTGATCATGAAAAGGATAGCTCTAGTTGAAAACATGTATATGCGGATTAGATGCCATTTCATTTTTATTATGCATGTATAGCCTACTTGTGTACCATAAATAATTGACATCCTGCTGAAACTTGGCAACAGAGTAGTAGTTACAACCCTCATACCATTGAGCAACGGCACAACATGTGAATAATCACGCCAGTCAATAGTCACTTTCAGCCAATTTATGTTATGCGCCATGACAGCATTTTAAGTTAATAACAAATTTGCACTGACATTCTCTAGAGTATCTCACAGAAGATCCAATTCCTACGTAATTGTAAGCTTTAAGGAGAAATATTCTGCAGCAAGAACTCATACAGTACGATAGTCGTATTACAGTGTAAAGAGTATCCACTATCAATACGTGAGTGAAGACAAAAAAAATACATACGAAGGTTTGATGCCATCTCACCTGTCCCAGGGTTGTCAAAAGATATGAGAGCATACGCAATACAGCAACACCCACGGATGGGATAAGATCAGAAGATTCCAGCTGTAAAAAGTAGCAGAGTAATTAATTTCAGTCTATGCATAACGCACAGAGACAAATAGGAAGTGGATCAAGAAATATAACCTTTTAATTTCACAAATAAAAACAGTCCAATATATACAAAAATACAGAATATATAACCAACCTGTCTGCAGAGAAGAACCAAAAAGCTCCTCTGAGTTGGCTCTGTCATCTGGTCAGCCACACCAACACGGAGTATGTAGAGAACACATGCCTTCATACACATGAAAACAGTGTTCATTGGTTGAGTGGAAACATACAGCGTACAAGGACCTAAAATTAACTCATCACATAAGTATTATTTCAAGATTCAAGAGGGTGGCATACTGAGGGTAAAACATTTGTTTTCAAGTTACATCGGCTCATGAATCTAAGCAATAGTTAGAAACTTTTTCCTTTGGATGTCACAGGGGCAGGTAACAAGTTATCTGTGCTCATCAAATGTTGGTTCAGCCAATTGGTAAACAAGACCATTGCATAATCAACGAAACAAGTTGGACAAAACCAGGGGACACAACGAAGTGAAAATGATCAGGTGACATCACAATGTTAACAACCAAAATGAGGTTCAGATGACAATGGGGGTCTGCATCCATTCAGAACTAGTCAAAGACAGAACCAGTCGTAGAAACAGTTCACGCCAACCTTTTCCAATGCATTTCAATCAGTAATTAGTTACATGTTTTATTTCACATATGTCAGGCAGATGTGAACCATCCCATTAGACTTACATCAATGCCTTTCCTGAAGAATACAAGGATGACTAATTCTAGTCACTTCATTGATGAACAATATATTATCATAAAAGAACAAAAAGGAAAGAAAAAGGCAAAATTAAGAAATACTGTTACCAATCCATGTGCATTCACTGAAGAGTTAGGCTGAAGCATTTTTATTGCTTTCAATGCAAAATCCTGTAGCTCACTGTCTGGAAGGTGGTACTTGAGATGAATCACCTGCAGAATAACAATTATAACTTCAAAGATAATCCAACATTTGAAAACGTTAAAATGAAGAACCGGTGATTTACCTGTAGAAAGAATACCCATGACAATGTCAAACCAATACGCACATCCTTTGCCCGAGCTCCACTGGCTGCAGATGAAAGAATAGAAAACCTTGTCACAGCTAAGCAAAATATGCCAAGTGAAGGAAGAACTTACCAAATCATAGAGAAACACTAATCTCCTGGATTAAAAACTCATTTAAAGAAACATGCATCACTCAGTGTTACAGTTCTCATATCAGCCTAGACTAATGCTTTATTTTAAAATAGTAACTTCCATCTCACTTTCAAATCAACAGTGAGGAATACCATCTGCCTTCTGAAGGTAAAATCCAGTTACTGGCAGACACGGACCAACCTCACACAACAAGAGCCACAGGCATTCCCGATTCCACATACAGAAAGAAGTACGGAAGGCAAAGACGAGGAAGAGGGGGAGGGGGGGGAGGTATCCATCAGGCAGAAGAAGAAAGAGACTAACATCAGCAACAACTAGGCCTATATTACTGGGCATAATTTGTACGTTTCTTCTATACGATCACTGGACCTACTCACTCTTACTACCAACCTGATACAAATAAAATCATTACACTACTAATTTCACAACTAGGCAAAGGAAGGAACAGCTTCAGAGAAGGTTATGCACAGAGCCATGATCAGCTATCACAGAAATCAAATATTTTTCAGAGTCTTTGTCCCCATATCTAGACCCAAAGTTATGTCCAGAAACAAAATTCGTCAAAGAAAAGAAAGATCAATATACTGCAGATTTAAATTTGAAAGGAAGAAAGCTTTGTGTGCTCTCTTTGGATGCCTGGCATTGTCTACTAGAGAGTATATGATGTTTTGGTTTTCTTATAATTTCCATTCTGCTTGCCATGCGTGGATGATTAATATTTGAGAATACTTATAATCATGTTATTTTGAATTTTGGAAGGAAAGGTTAGTTTCAGCCAATCCATTTTTTTCTCCATTTGACCGAAACTTGACGAAGATGTGAGACAGTCTCCACGTGTGTGCCCCTCTCTCTGTTGCCTCTTCTTTTTGTCATTTATTTATAATGAAGCAATAGTAACAGGTTCTGTTTACTTTCCATCAACACAATCACACACATAATTAGCATTTCCTTCTTTATGCCTCTTTTTTTTCCCTTTTCTTCATGTTTTTCCGGCAACGGAGTCTATGTTTCATTCTCCTATGCAAACCACCATTTTACTGTCCTGTCTAATGTCTACAAGTAACCTGCACCATCAATCTTCTGCTTACCTAAACAAGCTGTTTAGATCACAAACAAGTCGTTAACTTCAAATGACATCAGGCTCCACATCAGAAAATATCACATGAACCTGTCTACGAAAACTTCTTTTTCCTCGAGGCCACAGCAGGACAAAGCCAATGAAATTTATTTATTTTTTTCTTAACCCACGTTGTCCCCATACCATAAGAAGCATCTTTCTAACGTCGGATATCAAGATTGCCAACTCAACAGCTAAAGCTTTGACTGAGAGGACCAAGGTTACTAAATTGGAAGCTGGGCAACTGAAAGTAATCTATTTTCACACTCCTCTAGAGCTGTTTCTCAATAATTAATCGAATACATATCCTCGTGCAGTCAAAGAACACAACTGAACATCCTAACAACACAGATTTGACCATAGATAGTAGGAGCCTTTGCTTAGGGCAGATCATACACAGCAGTAGGGTGAACCCAAAACCCTCTCTGCAATGCCTAGGGTGAACTCAAAACCCTCTCTGATCGTGCCATGATCAGAATATAGCGAAATGCAGTCAGGGAAAGGAACCTACAAGAACGTTGGAATGGCTACATGGAGGATCCAGCATTCCCCTCTTTGTGATGCACATTGGGTTGGTATGGCTTCTCAAGTTTTGGTCTCATAAGTTAAAACATACTCTGTACACGCACTAACTGTTGAACTCTCTAGGATTGTTTTTCCTTTCTATCTGTTTCTTTTCATTGTATTTTCGTCCTTCTCTGTCATTCCCTATGTTAAGTGGATCCATTAGACTGTTAACGGCTCCACTTAAAGACTAATGTAATGGGCCTGGCCCATTAACTCATGTAACCTGTACTTAAGCGGGAAACCAAGATAATTGATGTAAGATTTTGGGATTGCGAAAATTCTGCTCCAAGAAGTGGTGACTGATTCATTTTCCTGGAAGAGGAGCATCGTGAAATCAGATCCTTTCGTTCTCCAAGTTGTAAGAATCTCAATCAAGATCAATCCTCAACATGGTATCAGAGTAGTGCTGATTCTGGTAGGATCAGATAGTTCTTGTCTTTTGTTCCTTGAATCTTGTTTTTCTTGTTTTTGTGTTGGAGCAACACCAAGGAAGAAAGAAACCTTCTGCAAGCAGTGAACTAAAGCATTCTGAAAAGTATGAAGGAAAAAGAATTTCAGAATGCATTCAGACGAAGGCTCTTCATCATCCATAGAACTCATATCATCTCCAGTGACGACTGGAGAAAGGAAGAGACTATATTATATTCTCCCAAACATCTCAAAGAAACTTAGATTCAATGAGATAAATCTTCATTAATAGGAGTAATTTGTTGATCTAACGCTTCTTGGAAAAGGCTTAATGGATCACCTTATAGAAGAACTATTGAAGCAATCAGATCCAAAATATACAGAATGAAAATTAGAAGTGGTTATTATCCATACAAGGCTGCTAAGTACAATAACACTAGAGATGTATGAGAATTTCCTATTCATGCACTCGGTGAAGGAATTGTGGGATCAAATTCACAAAAGTTGTTCAAAGAAACATAATGATCGGAGGATTTACGGCCTGGTGTCTAGGGCAACACATTTAGTGCAAAGAAATAAATCAATTATGAAATATTCATGTGAATTAAAGGCTACATGAAGGGAGATTGACCATTATTGGCCAATAAAGAATCCTAATTCTGAGGAACGCATGTGTACATTGAAACATAGAATGTATACATTTTTAATGAGACTGAACTCTAATTATGAAAGCCTCAAAGGTCAATTCTCCATCATGAGAAGGTACCTGATCTGGATGAAGCTATCTAGATTATTATGGAAGAGGAGAGTAGATTAAGTCTAATCAATATTGGGAAGAATGAGTCAACAACCTTTGCCTCCAGTAAGCAAGATCAGGGGAATCAATTAGAGAAAAAGGAGGGAAATCAAAACCAAATCACTACATCACAAGGAATATACCAGAAGTGGGATAACAAAGAAAACCTTTGGTGTTGATAGTGCAAGAAGAAGCGTCATACAAGAGGAATACTCAATCAAGATCAATTCTCAATCACTAACAATAAGCAAAAAAAATAGTTCAAGCGTCCTGAAACGAAATTCATCAATCTATAACAATCTAACGCAACTTAATAATTCAGACATCCTGAAAGGAAATTAATAGATGAATCTCTACAGCAGAACAGATGATATACATATGCATACAAATTCATCACCTCTCACAAATGGCAACATTAAGTGTTTCTCCACGCCACCTTCCAACTTTCTTGTTGGACCAGAGCTCCCTTTTTGTTCCACCTAGTAGAATTAAAAATGAACAGGCTTTTAAAAGACCAATATACAAAGGTAATAGGAAGGCCTTCAAACCATTTCATTCATTTCTATAAAAGTGCATGCCTGTTCGTCGAGATTCATCCCTAGGGCTAAAAAAGCTCCCAGTGCTTCAGCAAAAGCATCTCTCACAGATGAAATGGGGTCATCCAGACCCTAACCAAATGCAATAATACAAGATTGTTAAGCGAAATAGAACATAGAAACACTCAAAATTTCAAAATCAAGAAATACAGACCTTGGTGCAGTAGACAGCCGCATTTTCCAGTTCTGGCACTCCCAGTCCAGGTCCCTGTATGTTCGCAAAGGTCTTTAAACATTTTGCCGCGGCTAGTCTAACATTATATGCTTTGTCACTACCAGCAACTCTTGTGAGTAGTCGGAAAGCTTCTGAAAAAGCCATAGGAGCACCAATACCACCAGATCCTTCCAGTGCATTCTGAAGCATTAATAATGCATCTTGCCTTACATAATCCTGCAATATTAATCACTATGATAATGAAATCAACACTATCTGATAAAATACGCAAAAAAAAAACTAAAAGCAAGGAAAAAAATTAACAGTCTACAGTAATTTAGTATAATGTAGGAAGAGTCACTTGATCAAGAAACCAGCCAATTACAGATAATCATGTGCTTGACTAAGAGTAGCAAAATTAATAGTGAAGGAACCAACTAACAAGTGAATCACAGTCAATAAAGATATATACACTCATAGTTGAAACCAAGACTAACTTCGTGCCATGATTCTTAAGATAAAGTCCAAGAAAAATCAAGAATGCTGTGATATTTGCCACCTTTGCAAATTTTTACACATTTGACCAAATGCAAATCTTAAAAACCAATCACATCACATTCCCTACTCACATAGCTTGAGAGCAGATGGGTTTCCTCATCAGTGAACACCCTTCTTACTGGTACTCACTCAACAGCAGCAACCAACATTGGACTCAACAGGATGAATTAGGAATAAATAATCAAAATTTCTGCAGGTAAATCATTCCGAAACTTTTATGGCATGTTTCTGGTAATTACTGCAGTGTAAACCTTTGGGTGCTCCTGATAGGGTGCTTCCCCTATACTTGTCTGTTCCCAATTACCTGATTATAGGGCCCGATAAATAGTCCCAGAAAATGAAAGCTTACCAAATGCCTAGTGGATGCCACTTATATGAATGGTTTCAAAATTGATTGGTTAAATCGGGGAACTGAACAAAATGTCTTCCACTGGATATCAGGAATACTTTCATATTTATGAACGTTAGATGCAGATTCTCATTTCAATCATCAGTCTCATTCCATATATGATGGAATTCAGGACATCTGATTCAACTCCTAGTTGTTTGAAGGTATCATATTCATACAACTTCAATGCTCAGCACAATAAGATTTTATGAACACTAATGCATTCCTGAACGACTAATATTTCCCTACTTTCTTGCAGTTTAAGAGTGACACCTTCAAGTCCACCAGTAGGCATAGTTCTTCTCAGAATGAATAGAAATGTTTATCTCAGGTTGATAACCAGTCATTAAAATTTTAAGATCACACGGTCTTCAATGGATACCACTTCTGAAGCCATTGATCAGATAAGGCTTACCATCAATTGCTTAATTTATTGATACATGCTGGTGTAACAATAATTCTGTCCAACATGAAGAGAGCATCACATTATGAATCGGTTAAGTGAATGATACATTATGTTTAGTAAGAATCCTGCACAACATGAAGAGAGCATCACGTTATCAACTCACCATAAAATCATGAATGTATAAAGAAAGAGGTTTGCAAAAATATTTAAGTTGGAAAACTCCTAACAAAGAATGGGTGACATGTCAATGTCTCCTGACAGTGGATCATCTAAGCACATGTTACCAAACTACCTGACAGAAGAATAGGTGTAGTACCACCTAGATTTGCAGAAAATTCACTTAGACATGTCCCTTAAAACTACCAAACCGTGACAAGAAGACCTTAAACAGATATCGAATGCTACAATGAAAAGCTGAAGTAAATAGAAGTTACGGAAACCATTTTTTATAACTAGGTTTGTGGCAAATATACCTCATGGAATCTCATCAATTTTGATGCAATGTTGGAAGTTTCTGTCAGACCTGAAGTTATTCTTCGGCCAAATACACGGTATAATTCTCCCAAGCACTGAGCAGCACCTGAAGATTACCATCAAATTAAGTAATTCAAAAAAAATGGGAGCAACAGATATACTATTTTAGGCAAAAATTAAATATTTGTACAATATTGACGGTTAATCACATTTTAAAAAAACCATAAATTTACAGAGGGATTTAAGTAGGCAGGAACTGTAAACATTTAGAGGTACTTGGCAACGAAAAAGTAATTCAATTTATTCAACAGGTTAAACTGTGCATGTCTAATTGGCATTTCTGCAAGCTTCGTTGAAGTGACCATGCAGATAGACATTATATTAAAACATGGAGCTACCATAAAAAATCAAATATGCTTATGTTCAATAAGCTAAAACATCTATTCTCAAAAATCATGTCCAAGGTTTTATAAAATTGAAGTATCTTCCACTACCCTCAAATAATGGAGTTCATATGATCTTCAAATTTATCCATGCATTCATGGGTTTAGTAAATATATATTCCATAAACAGTTAAATAAGACAACAGTGCGCAACAATTAAAAACTAAATTTTCTAGCGCACAACATTGTTTTTTTCAAATATTGATTACTTGAAGATTGGATATTTAACATGAGCATAGACATGAAGTAAGCACGAATAGATTTCACTTTGTCGAGAAGCTGCTAATTGGGAAGCTCATAGCTCAGTGTCACATCAAGAAATCGCAACTAGATCCTGATACCAAACTTGAGGAAGTACCTTCAAATATGAATCTCCAACGCAATATAAAATTTGTTAACCATATAAGATAGATACAATGTCAAGATAACTATCTTTATGACTAGAAGAATTCACTCATCAGGGAAAATAATCCTCTGTGCTCTCAGTACGAAGAAAAGACAACTACTAATAGATTATGTTCAACAAACAACTCTCGTCCCAGATCAGTAGTCAGTGGCTTAGATTCCCCATCTACAAAAACATCCATGAAGGATGGAAAGTCAAGTCTGAGAGTAGTTGGTAAGGACTGGACAGTTTTGAGAGTAGATGCATATTTGTGTCTCAGCGTGCCTCATTTGTGGACAAATATGCGGGATCTCTCTTGTTCTGGCCAGAATTTTTAACTCGAAAAAAAATGATGCAATTAAGATTCAACACTTCAACCTTAGGAATAGTGTGTTATAATTATAATGGAACGTCATTTTTAATAATGCATGGATGGGACATTTAGGTTCTGCAACACCGTAGTTGATAACTCATGCCAAGGAGCACTAAAACAAAGTGGGAGTGGTGAAAATAGTGCACCACCATCCATCAAACTTCTAAAAACAAAGTCAGATAGCCAGCACAGAGGCTAAAACAAGAGAGAAACCTTCTATTTAAGTGCTAAAGCACTCAAAATGTCTTCACGTAGAGATGAAATGACCAAAGGTTGATGGATCGAATGATGATCATTTCCAAGGTACACAAAAGCTAAAGCTGAATTCGAAATATAATATTGGGTCCTCATAGTGAGTTTTTCCTACAGCAACCTAAGTGCCCAATCCCCATAGGGCATTATTTCCCAACATGTATGTCACATCATTGATTGATTTTATTGTCACAGAGTTATAGTTTAAATCATGGAATGCACCAACTCGAATAGTTAAATGATAAAAAAATTCAAAGATTGACCTTTCTTATTTCCTTTCAAAAAACACTCCATCATTTCATTTATGTTTTCAAGGTTAATGAGTATTTGATTCGAAATAAAAATGATTCATATCGGTGTAATATAATCTATCATTCGTAATAAATCCTGAACCCACCTGAAGGTTCTTTTTCTGGTATAGAAAACAGGGCCCTTGGCTTTAACTCCATTAAAAGTTTAGTTCATGATAATGAGCCTTATTTCATTATTGTATCCTTATAGATGACAGAATCACCTGATTTCCATAACAGAATGCATTCTTTCAATGTACGTTCGAGATGATTGGCATCCAATGCACCAATGTTTACCTATGATATCTTTTTTTTCAACCCCTCACCTTTTTGCTCTGATCCCTCAAGCATGTCCGGCCCACAGCCTACAATATTTTGATTCGCCCTCAACCCAAAACTGACAATTAGTACCAACGCAATGTTTTCAATTTCTAAACACCCTCCTCTTCCTGATAGTTACTTTCGTGATGAATTTTTTCCAGTTCTACGAAAAGAAGACCCTACCAACATGCATACATCAAGTTGATTAGTTCTTCCGTTTCCATTATTGAAAAAAGATGAACCTTACAATCGTTCTGAAGCTCCTTCATTGATACAGAGAGCCAAAAAAAGATAAAATCCCACGACCTTGCAAGGGATCTCAAGAAATACAAAAATCTTCACAACGAGCTATAGACAGAAAATCTAGGTATGTGCAAACCTGCACAAGACAGTGGCTCGCTTCTCTTGCCCTCCGCCAGCCATCCCTGGAGGCTGCTCACCCTTGAGTATATAGAAATACTATCACCCTTAGCAATGACTCTTGCCATGGCCAATGATGCCAGACGCCTGACAGGTCGCCGAGCCCCCATAACCAGTAACGAATACAGAGCATCCTCACATTTCCGCTGCCACGGGACAATTGCCTCCTGCAACAGGGGTTGAGTTTCAGAATTGGAGCATTCAGAGTCTGAAAACTTTCGATACATATCACAACGATGCGGCAAGCAATCCAAAAAAGGGAAAATAAAGAAACGTTAAATCTTTCAAGGTCCTGACACCCAACTACTGCACTACAATTCACGACCACACAACACGCATCGAGGAGATAGAAACCATGCGCGAAGATCACCTCCCCCATTACGTACTCAAGGCATGTAGTAAACGAAGAACGCCGCAAACAGAATGCCAGATTTTAAGCAAGAAAGAACTACTAAGGGATGAAGGTGGGCAGATAGAGAGAGAGAAAGAGAGAGAGAGAGAGAGAGAGAGGAATGGCGAGGGTTTCGTGCCTTGGGCTCCTCCTCGATGGCGGACACGAGCTCGGACAGAAGATCAAAGCAGAGGAGGGCATCCGGGGGCTGCTGTCGCGCCGAGGCCGCAATCGACTCAAGCTGCGCCACCAGCACGCCGAAGCTGGAGAGCGGCACCTCTACAACGATCCCACCGCGCTTCGCCATGAAGCCGGCGAGAAAGAAGCCGGGGACTACCCCTCCGGCGACAGATTGGATCTGCCGGAATCGACTGTCACCCTCCTACTAACATCCACCCCCCTGCCCGGTGATTGTCAGCGAAAGATAGAGAGAGAGAGAGAGAGAGATTAAGAAATACAGGCATCAATCTCCGACATTCATGAGCAAGGTTCCAAGATTACTAATAAACCCAGGAAATATGCAGAAGAGCTGAATATCGAACAATTAAATCAAATTGTGCTATTTAGTAAGTGTCACCTAAGAGTTAGGGATTAAAGACTCATTCCTCAGAGCATTACATAGGTTATATATTGCAAACTCCTATGTGCTAGAACATAATATATTTATATGCTACAAGCTCATATTTTTAGTTTTTTTATTTCTTTTTTGCCCTTTTCGTTAGTTTACAAAAATTGAGTCAAAGGGAAAGAAATCGTGGAGCTGAAATAACTCACCAAGAACATCCTTTTAAAGGTTGCTTCAAAAAAGTCAAACCAATCAAGACCGAGGTAGCAAGTTAGCCTTGATGGGTTGACTTTGAGAGTGATAAGTAATGGGTGGAATTATAGATCCAATGCATTTTATGTTGAAATTCAAAGAATTGAGTTGACCTATAATGACTTTAGAGCATTAGGGATACTCAAGCACAAGTAAAGGGAGTATTTTGCTAAACTTAGTATGCCTCGTTTATTTCTGAGGTTTTTTAGTGGCGGGGTCTTATAAAAAATATTGTTCACACTTATGAGATCACTTTTCCTAATTAACACATTAATTAATATATAGAAATACAGTATTTAGAAATTGCTATCTAAATCAGTTGACAATAATGAGAGGGTGTATTGATAACGAGAACACTGAAAATAAAGAAGAAGAGAATAATATATTATAATTATGTATAATAATTCAAATATTAAAAAATAATTGAAGATATATTCAATTAACTAGATGGTTGGAATAAATTTTATGTAATCTTGCTAAACTTAGTATGCCCCTTTTATTTTTGAGGTTTTTTAGTGATTGGGTCTTAGAAAAAATATTGGTCACACTTATGAGATCACTTTTCCTAATTAACACACTAATTAATATATAGACGTATAGTATTTTTTTAAAAATCTATCTAAATAGAGACTCCATTGGTGAGGACGTTGAAGAAAGAAGAAGAGCATAATATATTATAATTATTATAATAAATTTAATATTAAAAAAATCAAAGATAAATTTAATTAACTCTGATTGAAATAAATTTTATGTAGTTTGAAATAATTAGACAGTTTAGTTTAACAACTTCATATTCTAGTAACAAAGAGCTTGACATGGGATTCCTTGAAAAAAAAGGATGGATGGGTCATTGAGGGTTTGACGTAAAAGGTCATACACTAAATTGACAAGTAATAATTTTGGGTAGAAGATACCGAAATATCCACAAAGCTCTTTATTAAGTCAAACCATGCTAGCTTTTTAAAAATAATCTATCATAAGAAAACCATATAGTGGAATATTATGTAATCCATGATTACTTTGGTAGCTATTATATTTGACTTTGCCAAATGACCTTTGACAATCTGGTGTGCATATTGACAAGTTGTTGAAGGCCACAAAGAAGAATGTCAACCGTGTGAAATATGTCAGTTCTGAAGGTTTTACTCCTCTTATATTATACTAAGATGAGTCTACGCTCTGATTTTAATCAAGATCAAACATGCTCTTGGGGATCAAGCCCGTGAATTGATCGTGAGACGTTTACTATTTACAGCTTTAATTATGTTTCCAATCTCTAATAAAGATCAAACTAGCCACCAAGGATGTAGAAAACTCGAGAGATTCGATCTATATGTTGTCATGAATTCAACATCTACATAGGAGCTCAGCCAGGCCTCTTGAATCCGGTTCATTGGCAACCCAATGTTCTTGGCGAAGATCTTTATCCTTCTTCCTGAAGCAGTGCCACCCAACAGAAGGATTCAGGTGTGGTTTTAGCTTCTTGTCCAATCTAGATTCCCTCTGATACTTGAGGTTTGCCCAATCAGTGAGACCGAAGAAGAACTGATCATCACTTGGAGCTTCCTTTTATTGGCACAAGACGAGCATGGATAGCTGCGGGGAAGATCCCAAATGGCTTCAGTATTCCCCCCCCAGAGCTGATCCTGATCAACATTCCAGTATTTCTTCGGATGAAGTTCTTCTCCCCCACATACGTTACCGGTGGAAGGTCCCCTGGAATCCCTCCATGCAGAATGTTGGTGGTAAGCTTGGGCTCCTTAACCCTAGTTTGATCAGGTAAGATGGGCATCTAGGGTTTCACGAAATGGTCATCTCTGCCCAGAGCTGATTCTGATGAACATTCAGTATTTCTTCGGATGAAGTTCTTCTCCCCCAGATACGTCACCGGTGGAAGGTCCCCAGGAATCTCTCCATGCAGGACTGTTACCAGTAAGCTCCGGCTCCTTAACCCTAGTTTGATCTGGTATGATGGACATCTAGGGTTTCATGAAATGGTCATCTCCACCCAGAGTTGATTCCGATGAACATCCAGTATTTCTTCGGATGAAGTTCTTCTCCCTCAGATAGGTTACTGGTGGAAGGTCCTCGGGAATCTCTCCATGAAGATTGTTGCCGGTAAGCTTGGACTCCTTAACCCTAGTTTGATCAGGTATGATGGACATCTAGGGTTTCATGCAATGGCCTCCTGTTGTTGTCCTGAAACGAGAACTGCATGAGAGCGTGGTTCTGCATCAGATAAGAAAGCATGGAGATGAAGTTTTAGGGCGAGGATCCGGTGTTTCTATTCATGAAAAGATCATGCAGAAGCTTTTTCTTCAGTCCCGCCTGCTCCTCCGGCTTGCAGCTGCTCAGGAGCAACCAGGAGGGCGGCGCCGCCGCCATGATAACGCCGGAGAAGTAGACACATCGGAGATCGCGCCGCTGCAAGTTCTCTCTGATGTGGCCGGTACCCATACTCTCAAGCTGTTTTTGTCAAGATCGAGCGTACCCAGCTGCTTTAGACCTCCCAGAGAATCGGAGATCCAGCATCTTGAGCTTCTTCAGGCCTGTTGATCTGTAGAGGTCAGTCTAAGAATCACCTGCAGATACAAGGAAAGACGGGAGAGGGGAGAATGGTGGAGGCGTTCACGCTCAGGGAAGGAGGAGAAGATGAACCAGTCGGGGAAGACGACGAGGTTCGACAGAGGCAGTAGGGCAGGCTTCACCACAAGCGGCGCCGTCTTCTCCTCGCCTGAGCTACTCGCCACTCAGCACAATAATTACCACCACTGCCGCCGCCGCCGCCTCCACTGCGGCGGAAATCGACGTAACTCGCCACCAGCTGCGTCCACATAGTGGTGAGTCTTCTATCCTCGATCACATGGCAGAGTCGTCCCCAGGGTGTAGACATGAATGAAGGCAGGAAGGTATAGTGTGACTGGGAAGACTTCGGTTGTCGGGGGAAATTTAGGAAAATAAGAGGAAGGAAATTTACCAAAAGTCAGCGCTCCATCCTTTTCCTCCATTGTCTTCTAATCTATCTCATCTATCAAAATTCTGAGAAATCAGAAGTAAATTTCCTTAATTTGAGCAGTTTGGCCTCCGATCCTTTGTTTTCTAGTCCCAAGTAAGAGCATATTATGTATTTAATTTGTTCAATATTATTTATTCGTGTTCAAGTCTTGTCTTTATGGTCAGAAAAATTAAATTTTCGAAATGCTTCATCAAATCCTTCTTCAAGCTCATTCATAAAATCAATAGGATTTTCAAAAGTCAACCTTGTTGATCTTGAGCCACATATTTGCCCGTTCTTCAATGAATGCAACCATCCACTTCTTCCTTATCTTCCACTTACAACCATGCTTGATATTGTTGATTTTCTTTCTAACAAAACAACTGCCTTCATCCATTTAAAGCATTTATTTTTTAAAAAAACGACTAAAAAGCTTTCTATTGACTTAGTCTGCTCTTGTTAAGAAATTGTTTAATTAGTTTAGATAAAGTAGCAATATCATTACTACCACTCTCGTGACTATCATAATCAAAAGGACAAGCCATTTTAAGTTGTTAATTTTTTTCTTGGGACCACTTTTCAATCATTATTTTCCAATAATTCATATGCTATGATGACTCTAACTGCTCATTAGGGGAAAGAGTGATATTGTCTCTTTCTACTTCCATTAAATGATTACTCTCATTAAATTAGAGCGTGAACATACCTTTTTTATGAGATTTGAATCCACTTGCAATATCAATGGGCATTATAATCATTTTGAATATTGTGATTACTTAGTTGAATCTGAAGAGATTTTGCACTTGTATCTTAGGAGATTTTCATGTCTATTTGATTTTATGGAGATTCTTCGAGTAAAAGCTCTTGCTCTAGGGCTAGGTAGATTTCACCAACATGGATCCAATTCTATTCTTTTTATTTTCTTCATTTTTTTTCCTCATGAATATTTCTTATTAGGTTCTTCCTTTGACTCATAAAAGGGTGGATATGTGCTTCGATCATCCATGAATTATCTTCTAGAGGGCACAAAAATGATCAAATCTCTAGCTTTTCTCTTTAGGAGTTTCATCTTTATTCACCCGTTGACTTCTCATGTTTGACCCTCATTGGAAGTCAAAGATGAGGTTAACACAATAAAAAGAACTTTACATAAATTACCTACTATGTAGAGTCTTCAAAAAAAGTGTAGAAAACTTTTGTCATAAAGGGTATTTTTTTATTAAATATAAAGAATTGATATTCTTTTACAAGATCATCTCCAAATCACTATCTTTAATTTTCTATAGCTCTGAAGATTTTTGGAAATTTATAGGCCATTGGAGTATCAAAATGCCCTACAAATGCCAAAGTCTAACAATTCATGCACTAATTCATCAAAATGTTGTTCCTTTCCAACCTCATATATGGAGGTATTTGTGACTGCCCAAATCACACACGACGAAGAATCTTGAATGTGAAAAGGGGTAAAAGTTACATCATCATACCAAAGATTCCAATAGATTTAGACATCCATTCTATCCATCTAGTAATCAACATTCAAGTCCTTTCATATTCCTCAAGAAAGTCAACTCTCATGTAATGTTCATCTTAATGCAGTAGAAGTACATGCACCCACCAACTGATTCTCTCCAAGCCGTATGCATCCCTTACCCAAGTAGCAAACATCAGAGCACCCCTCCACACATGAAGTGGTTGACCATGGAGCCAAAAGTCTTGACATTTATGATACTTAATGCTGACATCTATGTGCCAAAATAGCAAAGAGCTCTCTTATCCCTACCACTTTGGAACTAGAAGTGTTAACATTTTTCATAGTAAATGTCAACACCTACGCACAAAAATAGCAAAGAGCTTTCTTATGCCTACTGCTTTGGAACTAGAAGTGTTAACATTTTTTCATAGTAAATGTCAACACCTAGCACAAAAGTAGCAAAGAGCTCTCTTATGCCTCCACTTTGGAACTAGAAGTATTAACATTTTGGTCAACATTTATGGTAGTAAATGCCAAAACCTACACACAAGAATAGCAAAGAGCTCTCTTATGCCTACCATTTTGGAACTAGAAGTGTGAACATTTTGGTCAACACTTATAATAGTAAATGCCAAAACCTACACACAAAAATAGCAAATAACTCTGTGATTTTCACTAGCTTAGAAGTTAAGGTGTGAACATTTTTGGTTCTAAATGTCAACACCTATGCACAAAAAATAGTGAGTAGAGATGTAATGCCTAGCTCTCTTTGGACTTGGTGTGAGATACCCTCATTCCTTAGTTGATATTATTTGCTCCTTTCAATCTACTAATATTAGTGTAAATCCATGTCTCATTAATTCTTTGGTAGTCGAGTACAACCTTCTCACCACATCTCAAAATGAATGTCTTAAGGTTTTGAGCAACTGAACAAACCCATTTTAAAATAGCCCAATTCAATCATCGGTTCCTAGTTATGGCCCTTTTTGGGCCCTTTTTTTTTCTCTCTCTCTCTCTTTCTCTCTCTCTCTCTCTCTCCACCTCCCCTCAAGTATCAGGGCTTTTTTTATCGTATCCAGAGCCCAATTTTTCATCCTTTTTTTAGGGCCCAAAGTGGGCTGGGGCGAGATCAGCCAACCCAGCCAGGCCCATTAGCAGCCCTAAACGCGCGGTCTGTGTCTGGTCCACTTTAATTATGGGCCGGTCCCTGTTTAAAGCTTGTTAAGACCAAGAAGCTGCTAAACAGCGGACGGGTGTCGAAGATCGGACGGTCAGGATATAGTGAGCGAGAAAGAGAGAGAGAGAGGTGTAGTCGTCGTCGTCATGGAAGAGCAGTCGTCAACTCCCAGCATTGGAGAGAGGAGTGAGAGAGAGAGAGAGCGAGAGAGAGGCGGTGATCTCGAAGTCCTTAGAGAAGGAAGGAGGAGAAGAGGAAGGGCTTCCTGGTGGGTGAGGAGGAAGCCTGCGGATCTGCCGCCGGCGGGGCGATGGACTTGGGGCGGGGAGAGACGCTGGCTAGCGCTATGAAGCACGAGCGCCGATGGAAGCCACATTTAAGGGGCTCGGGCTCGAATTCCTCTTCATCTTCCTCCCTCTTGAACATCACCGCCGGCGGCGGGAGGGCGCCCCTAATTATGTGCTTTATCTCCTGCCTGGCATGGCTCTACGTGGTTGGCAGGTGCTTCAAACCACCCAATCAGGATCCCTTCGCCGCGGGATCTGTCTCATTTTTCTTCCAATTAGCGTGCAACTAGTGTTTTTTTTATCGTCATTCCATTCTCTGTAGGCTGTGGCAGGATGCTGAGAACCGTATGTTACTTTCGAACCTCCTCCATAAGAGTTATGGCCAGGTCCGTCTTTTGCCAATAATCAGATTATTTATCCGTGTCTTTCAAGCCTTATTTACCATTTTTTGTTTTTTTTCCTGCGGATATGTAGCGTCCGAAGGTCCTCTCGCTGGATGAAAAGTTGCTTGGATGCAAGTAGGTCTTTTGTGGTCGTTTACTTTTTAATTTTGACTGTTGTTGTCGATCTCTTCTAAGGAAATTAATACTGAGAATTTTCGGGTGATTGGATTTGGTATATGGAGGTTATGCTAATTTTGGAGTTGATTGCCATATTTTATCTGAAGTTAATTACCTAAATCAACTGTTATTTTGATCGTAGAGGATTGGGGAAGAGAATTGTGGATGCAGAGATGGATCTGACGCTTGCCAAGAGCCAAGGTTACCTGTGGCCGAAGCCATCTTCATCTGAGAAGAAGTTTCTTGCTGTTGTTGGGGTGTACACTGGATTTGGCAGCCGGCTGACTCGGAAGGTTTTCAGGGGATCTTGGATGCCCAGAGGTCATTACTTTCATTTTGCTTCTCTGTTTATGTCTTATGTAAATTATTTTTGAATTAGATAGATAACACTCTTTTTGTTCACGTTAGGAAAAAATTTAAGAACTATTTATTAAATATGGTCAATCTAATTCCGCACTAGTCCAGCAGTTATTGTTATCACTGCTTTTAATACCAGTGTTTTGACAGTCTTTCTGGCTAATGAAGGCCAGATTTGACCATCAGATTCATTCCATTTTTCTGGTTATATTAACATTTCTTGGTCCCATAACCTATATCACCTTTTTGAACTCCTTTCTCTTGCAGAAAAATAGATTTATTCTGTTGCGTGATCTCTATTTCTGTTTCATTCGGTAGTTATATTTTAGTGGGTGATGTTTGAGATGATACATATTTTTCTTGTTGTTGAGGTTGTTATTGGAAATAATGGGATCATTTAGCATGCTTATTATTACCATCTCGTGACCTTCTCTTATGATGATATTGTGGTAGCATTGGGAACTGGGTCAGCAATTTTGGTTAAAAATAATATCTATGATAGATAATACAGGCCTAAACTTATATTCAAAATCTCCAGACTGCAGAGTTACATGACAGTTAGATTCTAATTAGGCTTATGATTGCTTAGAGATATAGTCAGTTGTTTTTCCTCTCATTTGTCTCAGATGGTAGTATAGCTTTGTACATTTTCTTAACTCAATTCTCATTTCATGTTGTCTTAGACAAGCAACTTAGCACTCCAGCCTATGTATATGCAGATTACTTGTTTTCCTGGTTATTTATAACTGATTAACTTCGTTAGAGTTTGGGTTTCCGTGGAAATTCCCTCATCAAGAAACTCTTCTTCTCACCATAAATCGTTATTATTTGTATTGGGATCAGCAGATCAGCCTGTACTCCATTGTATTTGATCAAAGACAAAGTCTCAGATAAAGACAAACTCTGGGTGTCTTTTCAACATGTGAATAACATAATCCTTCTAATGTAACAGAATGCCATTTTTTATTACAGGGATCAGTTGTGAATGTATTTATTTTACTAACAGTTAGTGCCCAACATTGCCTTCAGGGGATGCTTTAAGGAAGCTGGAAGAAAAAGGTGTCATCATTCGTTTTGTAATTGGTCGGAGGTTGTTTTTCCAACGACTGAAGGCTCTTAAATTTGTTTTCTCTTCTAGGAAATCTAATTGATATTGGTGGTCTGGAGTTTTTCCTCTGAAAATTGTCAGAGTTCTCACATGACAATTTAATTGGCAGTCCTAATCGAGGTGATAGCTTAGATCGAGCAATAGATGAAGAGAATCGTCAGACAAATGATTTTTTGATACTTGTAAGTAATATTTTTTATTTTCTTTTTCTCCTTTGTGCCAGAAGAAGAGTGTTTTGCCATGCCATTTTCATCCTTGCTACCTTGTTTTTCCTAATATTTACAGCTTTCGTGTCCTTAGTGTGTTTTCCTGTAGTTATAGGTTTTCCCGATTTTATTTCGTTAGTTATTTTGCTTGTAGGGAAGTCACGAGGAGGCAGCAGATGAGTTGTCAAAGAAAGCGAAATTCTTTTTTAGTTCAGCAGTTGAGACGTGGGATGCAGAATTCTATGTTAAGGTTGATGATAATATTAGCATTGATGTGGGTAAGTAGTTATCCTTCTCAGTCATTGCTCGGTGATATTGGTATGTTTTAATTTATCTCCATTGCTGAATTGCGTACTATTCAATTAAATTTGAAAGTCTTGTTCTGTGGTTATTAGACGGATTGATTGAGATTCTTCAGAGCCATCGTGATAAAAATAGTACATATCTGGGATGCATGAAGTCTGGATCCGTGATAAATGAACTGTAAGTTTGCAGTTCTTTAATTTCCCCATAGTCCTTCCTCTTTGTATTCTCCTGTGTTATTTTCATTATGCGGGTATTTTTTCATGTGAACAATCAGATTTCCATTGATGCCTGCTCTGAGATATTGAGGCTGACGTCATATCAAAATTTTGTTGCCTTGGTTTTGTTCAGATTGAATCTCCAAATATTCCTTAGCTTCGAATTTGTTCGTGTTGTGGGTCTCCATGGCCACCACAAACACTTTGAATTATATATTTACTATAACTATTGTATTTTAGAATGATTACCATTCAGATATGTTAACCAATGCTCGGCGTTTTTGCTAAAATATGGAGGTATAAATTAGGGAGAGGTTGAGACTCTTCCATTTATGGTCACTTAATTTTGGTCTTTGCAGGGGAAAACAATGGTACGAACCTGATTGGTGGAAATTTGGAGACGAAAAGATGTAAGTTTCTTCAGATGGTTGTAATGACTTTTTGCTCAATTGAAGTATTTTTCTTTTATTACTCATCATCGTGTCACACCGTGCCTCTCCCCTCGTTCTGGCTTCTTGATATTTAGAACAGCATAAATCCTCGAGATGAAACTTTTGAAGCTTGGTTGTGTACTTCTGGGAAATGGTTGCAATGAAGCCTCCCTTTAAAATGAAGAGTATCATGGCCTTAATTACGCTATTCTCTGGTTTTTTGGCCAGGTTTTGATCTTCTAACTACTGCATGCCATTCATCTTCTCAATAAGCCCATGCACATTTTTCTTCATGACCTTTTCTACCATTGTGTATCAGCACACATAAGTCTGTCTCTGTCAACAATTATACAAAAAGCAGAAGAGAAACCTGATTTCTGTTCAAGATTTATGGGTTAGTTTCTGATCCCGTGTAAAGCATAGGTACAAGAGGATCGAGTTTTGTTAGCTTGTTTTGATGACTAGTGTCATGAGCTGGAATGCAGACTTAGATAGTCAACTCCAACGGAGTAAAAACTTTATTATGAACCATTGCTGTCCTAGCCCTATGTTCTAATCTGAATTGGGAGCTCCAATTTCCTGTAGTGAAGATCTTGGCAGCCTAAGAAGTGGCTTGTAGGTTATGGGAGCAGTTGATATGCGTGGATCTGGGTTAAGCTCTTATGGTCCGCTGGTGTGTATTAGTGGTCCCATGGGCCTTGATGAGTTATCTGGTATGTGTATAACCAGAACACTGTGGCTAACATTGGTCTATAATCATAAACTAGCACAGAGTTGCCTGCCTGGAACATGGATGGCTCTGGTGAATATAGGCACTTTTTGGCTTTTCTGCAAAATCACATAATTCCTGTCAGAGATGATAAAAATTTAAAATGATCTGTCTTTGTTGAACACGCTGCTGACGTTCTTTCGTTTAATCTCATATTCTTGCTATCAATTTCGAAATTTTTATTCTTTTATTGAACAAGCAGATTTTATTCCTTTACATGAAATGTACATGAGAAAGTATTCATTTTTAGTTCTATTCCCCAGATATTAAGCAGCTTCTTTTGTTGACCCTCACCCTCAGTTCAGTGGTTAAATTGTACTTCTCTTTGAATTATCAGGTTTATTCTCATTAATTATCTAACCAGATTAGTCCTTATCAAGATGTCTAACCAGATTATCTGTTTGGTTTTACCTTCTTTTTAATCTTCAGGTACTTTCGGCATGCCGCCAGCTCATTAATTATAGTATCCAAAAACTTGGCTTCGTACATTAATGTTAACAGGTTCTCATCTCTCTTTATTTTTTCTCCCCCTATTAGTGTGGCTTTTAATAAACCAACGCATAATATTTGCATTTCTACTTCAATTTTGATAATTACCTGCCAGCTGACCATGCACCATGATTAAAGCCCTGATTCAGTTTTATCTCTCAAATACCTACGTTTTGTGACCCTTCTTGAAGTTAGTTTGGCATCCGGCTCAAGACTAATTCACAGTGAGCAAAAAATTAATGTGGCCAGTCCTTGTAAGCATAAGTTTCCCTTCATAATAAGTAATATGTAGTTATTTTCAACACATTCCCTCGCATATAGACAATACCAATGGGGTTAGTGTAGCTCACTGGCGATCATCCACTCCAATACCATGCTAATGTTACGCGATCTCTACAATCGAATGCTTACTTTTGCAATCAAGATCTCTCAAGTGTGTTTCTTATTGAAACACTGTGCAGTGCATCTCTCAAGAGCTTTGCACATGACGATGTATCAGTGGGTTCATGGATGATAGGCCTTGAAGTGACCCATGTCGATGATAATCGCCTGTGTTGTGCCGGTACTAGACAAGGTAACCCATCCATCACCACCCTTAAATTTTTTGGCTTCTCTCTCTAGCTGAGACTCATGGCCCAACATTTAACACCGGAGTATTCTGTCTCCAGAGAGGGTGTGTTCTTTGGCTTGAAGGGGGAACGCCCGTAGAGTCTTGGTTGAGTAGAGGAATTCTAATCAGATTTTGGATGAGAATCTTCGGAGGGAATGGAATCACTGCTGGGCAAAGAGGCTCTTCTCTCTCCTCTGCAGCCCCTCTGATCATATGTTGCTGCTGACATGATCTTTGAGGGGATCTGGAGAGAGAAACGGTAGTCTGGAGAAACTGAAGAGAACTTGATATGCGGTGAAAATAATCTTGTAGTTGGATGTGGATTCCTCTGCGCGTTTGAATCTACCCATTGATTGATCTCTTCTTGTGAGGGTGCCCATTTAGCCCCCCCCTCCCCGCCCCCAAACTCTATCCCTTCTGCCAGCCAGCTTTTATGTAAACGGACTTTCTAAATGAGAACAGGCAGTTTCTATCAAAGCTCTGTGGTTCTTTCAGGCTCTGAATTCGGAGCGATCCCAATCAAGTTCCAAACATTGTTTTCTTAAATATTCATATTCTCATCTGCTGTAACCACAGAAATATGGGTCTTGTGTGCATCTGGACTAGACGAGGGTCAGCTGAAGAGAAAAGTGAGCAAATGTCATCTCATTCATCAGATTAGGGTCTCAGTTTGCTCAACAGAACGTAAGAAATGGGTCTGTTGTGGAGGAGGTGGAGCTAATCTCACGTTTCCGTCAATGACAGAAGATGAACAAGAAGAAAGCCTGATATTACCCTTGTGAGAGGGGTTACATGGGAGGTGCTTAAGGCTCCTCCTCAAGACGAATTGTGGATGTCTTTCATAGTTATCTTGGCCAATGAAGAATAGATGATTGGCGCATAGTGGTTTTATGAAGATATTTGTTAATTAGTGTTGTAATCTTATAGGCAGAAGTTTTATATGTCCAAAGGGCAATTTGTCATGAATAGAATGACATTGTTCTTGGTCTGTTTGATGCAGTCATGAAAGGGTGAGATTAGATGTAATATTAAAAATAGTTTGAGTATTGAAAAACATGAATGCTATAGGAGGTGCTATGATGCAAAAATCTTGTAATAGATGTTGCAACAAAATAGTTTCTACAATGGTAACAACTAATGCCTAGTATTCCACCTCAACAAAAGATTGAGATATGGTGAATTACTTTCTGGCATTCAACAAAATTAATTAGTCTCAAATAAACATACAATACACAGTGAATGATTTACAAGAATCACAATATGTCGCCTAATCAGCATAATGAAAACCCGAAGGTTATGAGTATGAAAGTGACATACTAATGTCAAATGAGGTTGTCTAAGTCATAAATTCACTTAGCATGTGAATTGCATAAGGTAAGATCAGGTTGTGATAGCATTAATATGAGAGTTTGTCAATCTATCTCTGATATATTATGAAGTATCATCTAGTACTCACATCAAGGTATAAACACATATTCATTAAGATAAGAGTAGGTTTGACATTAAGGAGTCATGTGTCTTCAACTAATTAAAGAATATAATGACACAGAGATAAGAACAATAAATGTTGTACATAATGTTGTACAACTAATTAAAGAATTGTATTAGGGATGGTCCAACTGATATGATGTTGTCCACACAAATGAGTAAAATCACAAACAAGTAGACATATCCTTTGGTAAATGATGAATAATTTGATTTTGTTTGAGTGAATCTATGCCAACTGAAGTAGAGAGCTTAGAGTACCATTGTCTAGCTGCCTATTAGAGTTTGTAAATTGACTCATGTAATGTAGAAACAATGTTATCTTGACAAGTAAGAGTCCCCCATTTCAATGTGATAAAATCCAAAGCAAGAAGACAAAGGAGATGAGAAAAATCAATTGAATCAGCATTTTAAATAAAAGGACAAATCAAAAATTCATGAGATAAGAGGAAATAGAAGCATAGTTTCTATCAAAAACCTTGGAATGTCACCCATGAAGATTGATTTGAAAGCATCCCCAACTCTCTAAGTTTACCACTCTCTAAAAATTTTCTCTAATTACTCTTCTAGCCCTCCTACAACTCCCTCTTGTCACATTACTATCAAACCCTCTAGTTGTTTACTCTTTCTTCTATGAAAGTGCCTTCTCTAGATATTGGACTTGATAGCAGGCTTGAGAATACTCCCTCTATTTCTTTAACCTTCTCTTCAAGGTAAAAGTTTGAAAACTCTTGTTGAATGACAATCAAATATTCCTATGTAGTTTCAAATTTTGGTTGTCTTCTCCATTTGATAAGGACCTATAAATCACTAGTGTGCTCAATAGAATACCTAACATTGCTTTGGCAAGTATCCACTGTAGTTATTTATAAAGAGTGAAAGAATAATTTTTCATTTCATTGGTGTGAGAGGGATTACACTTTGTGAGGCTTTAGTTTGAAATAAATTAAGTCATCCTCACTAAAGTCAACATCTTTCCAATGTTGATCTCCTTGGGTTTTTATCTTAGACTAAGCATGGGTCAATTATTGTTTTAGTTCTTCCCATATTGCATCCTATTAGCGTAACATATCATCAACTGATGTAAACAAAGTTATTTGAAAAATGGAACAAATGATAGTCAGTAGATCACATCTATAAGCCACTCAAAAGGGAGTGGCATTGGTGGAAAAGTGAAACATGGTGTTGTACTAGAGGAACCTCTATTGTCTTACTCAGCCCAAGATATCTAGTTATTCCAATGCATAGGTGCGTTAGATGGAAAACAATAGAGGTAAGTCTCAGGACACTAATTGACTACTAATAATTGATCTATTAGTTTGGGGAGTAACTTAGTGTTTCACATGAGATGGTAGTCATATAGTTTGAAGAGTTATATTCAATACAAACTAATAAAGGCTTGATCATATATGAGATGATAGATCATGAAATCTTGAAAAGTTTGACTACCTATTTGAGAAACTCTTCTACCACACTCTTTGTTGTGAAAGGATTGTACAAGGAGAATAGTTGCTTAACATGTCAACAAGCATTAAGATAGATTGGTCACTGTAAAATCAAGGAAATTGATTCAAAGGTTTGTCTATGAAATCTATAGTAATATCTTCCCAATTTGATTCAGAATTGAAAAGGTTTAAAATAGGCCAGCTAGAGTTATGGCTTCATATTTGTTCCATTGACAAATAGGATAGTATTGGAAATATTACTTGATAGCATGCTTCGTTCCTTATCAATATAAATCTTGAGAAATTTATTTATAAGTCTACAAAAACCCAAAATGGTCCATAACATCATTGTCCTGATATTTTTGAGTACAAAAGGGATCATACCAAAATTTTAGAGACTAGTATGTAGTCTTGATAAAGCATAATGCGTCAATGCAACTTGTATGTGGGCGTTCATTTGAACCTTGTGTTTATCTCTCTTTGATTTTAGAAATTTGGGCCTACATTTATTGTGGCCTACATTATTTTGGGGTTAGGCACTCTTGAAAGGACTTTGACTGACTTGTTTTTTACCCTAACCTTGTATTTGATGGTAAAGTAAAATTCAAAAATCTTAACTAGTCACATTTCATGCCCAAGGTGTACCAAATGTTGTTCAAAAAATATTTCATAATAATTTGACTAATGTACATTGCAATTGATAGCCCATCAAACATATTCATTTCACTTTAGGACTATCAAGATAATAACTATTAGTTCCCATTTTTAGACTAATTTCAAATGATTTTGTGTCAATAAGACTTGGTTGTACTACTTAAGTATGAAGCCCACCCAAAATTTAGATACATCTATAATTTAAAGGGTTGAGAACAATCAGAAAACACCAATGTTGAAATAATAATCATGTCTCATTTAAGCTTTTAGAACGCATTCTCCACCTCCTCACCCAAACTTTCATACATATTTTTTGAGTTGTATAAAAGGTCAACGGATGTCTCCATAATTAGCCATAAATTGTCTCTAGTAGCCTATCAAACCAAGAAAATCAATTATATTTGAGTTAAAAATTAGCCATACCTTAGAGATGATTTTAGTTGATCATCGTCCCTATTTTTCCATCATTGATTTCAATATTTTAGGCTAATAGTTAGATATTAAATGCCATTACTAGTAATAACATTTTTCAAATTTATATGCCTCTTATATTCTTCTAATAACTAGAATGCCTTAGTCAAAAATTGATCTTATGCCTCTACATTTTAGTTGTACTAACATTTCATTAGATAACACAATTTTTTTGAAGAAAATGACAGTGAAATCTATTTGTTAAGGTTTAAAATGTAGTAGGAGCATTTCTTGTGATGATCTTCATGAGTTTTAAAAGTAATTTTGTATAGATCCCCATTTTGCATGTGAATTTGATCATAACCCAACTTCAAATCAAGCTTCAAAAAAATTGTCATGTCATGTACTCATCAAAGAGTTCTTCCATATTGTGGCTCAAAAATCTATTTGGAAGTAAAAAATTCCAACAACCATTTTCCTTTTTGACCATAGATTGGATGGAGTAGACTCCTATAGACACTTGATTCAACCTTACACATCTACTTCAACTACTTTTCAATTTTATTTTATTTTTTAAAAATAGAGATAATGGTAAAGTTGCATGTTAATCAAAATCATATAATTCCAAAGTGATGTGATGGTCAATCTCCTACATCAATGGAAGTCTAGTACATGGAGCAAAAACCTAAAAGGTTTTAGTTAGTCATTGCCATCATAAACTACAAACTTGCAAAATAAGGGTAGGGTTGTGGAATACATATCAAATAATATAAAATAATGGTATTTGACAAATCAAATACATGTCATTATTAATTAATTGAGAATTTCTCATGATGACTTCATAAGTAGTGGCGGTTAATGATAACTCTCTAAATTCATACTAATTCATATTATATAAAGTTGTATTAGCCATACAATTAATTAGCATGATTGATTGGAATGAATTATGATTGACATAGAGAGTCTGAAATATAATTAAAATAAGTTTTGAGTATGGGTTCACCATCCTCACCTTGTATTTATGGGGCCACATTTGGTAGCAGGTGCTCCATCCCTCCACTAGAACACTTTTCTTTTTCATAAACTAGGAACAATTTGAGCTGTTTTCTACAAAAAAATTATAGGGTAATAGCTTTTGTTACAAGAGAACCATTCGCTCATCTTGTTATTCTAACTCTATGAGAGTCAACTGCTTCCTATTGTTGACATCCTCTTAATTGATTTTTATCCCCCTCAATATAACAACATTACTATACCAATTAATCACCTAATTTAGAAGAGGTCTATAATTTTAAAGCTTACTTTCTATATTGGGTGGACTAGTTTGCTCACATAAATTAATTTTTATTACATTTAATTTTTTTTCTTGACTCTTTAGTGGGTCTACCTTTTTCAATAATATTTAGTTTTATTCCCTTAATTAAAGTGTTCTCTATGACCTCTTCAAGAAGATTATGTATAACATTGAGCAATAGTTCAATTCTCACATATACTCAGCCACAATCCCCAATTATCTTATATCTAAGAATTACTCTTAAAATGTACTAATTAACCATGACTTGAAGTATTTCCATAGACAATGCTTCACATTCTCCCAATCTTTAAATGGCATTTAGGTATTCACCCATTTGAACCATGCTAGAGCTTCATTGGTGAAGCTGATTGATGATGTCTTCAACTGATCTTGATTGGTTATCCATTGTATCTCAAAATATAGCTTTAGCATGAAATATTCTTCTATCTAGATTCCTCCTGCTGAACATGGGCATCTCTACAAGAGTCTTCCCCAACTATTAGTTGTTTGTTCTTATATATATCTCACAAATTGGTCGCCCTCAAGTCACCATTCACTTGTGATCAAATCATTGTCTCTCTCACTTCTCCTTGTGGTGGAGTGCTTGATTCTTCCATTGTGATGACTCCATGTTCATTTCTTAATTAGTATCTCATTGATGTATGAGTTTTGCCCCTCTATATGTTAGTTCCTTAAACACATTCTCCAATGACACCATCATCTATAACTCTACCACTATCTTTAAAAAACCCTTCTTATATTTTTTTTGACTTCTTTCTCTAAAATTTTGTACCTCATGTAATGAGTTTTAGTTGTCACGGCTCTAATATTTAGTTGATATGAACCCAAACCAAGAAGACAAGGGGGGAGAGAGAAATCAACTGAACATCTACTTTGAATAAAAAGAAGACCAAAGATATCATGAGGTACGAGAAAATAGAGTACTCTATTTGCATTCAAAAAGACTATATTTGCATAATGTAAAGATCATCAATTCAATCACCCTTGTCAATCATTGTTTTGAATATGAATCTTAGATCGCCAAATGACTAAAAGAAAAATAAAATTTATTGTGTGAATTAATTATTAAGTCACTCACATATGATAAATTGAATTAGAATTTTGTAAAAACTAACATCATCAAATGAATTAACCAACACAATTTTAATGACATTAGATAAAATTATAGTTGAGTTCTATATTGATTTCAAATAAATAAATGTTTTTGCATCATTAATAGACATGCCTTGATGCACCATAATTAATCATCTGGATGTTTAAGGAGAAAGCATTAAGATTTCAGTAATAAAGAGACATGTATATGTAGTATAAGATATTATTGACATGTCATGTTGTTCACTCATGATAGCACATGAAATCAGAAGTTCTAGTAGCATAGTCATTAATTATTGATATTAGTTTGAAGTGAGATAGTTTAAAGAATTTCCAATTACACCTATAGGTTGTTCAATTATATATGTAGATTCAAGGCAATAAAAAGTTTTAGTTAATAATCATTCTTTAAAATAGTGGTCTTAGCTTGTAACCCAATAGACAGTTGTGGAATTTATAACACTTATCAATTTTGTGTCCATAAAAATTACCGTAATGCATTAAGAACCATTTTGTTTCTTGTCAGCATTCAAATTTTGCATATTTATGGAATTATTGGTATATTTTGGACAAACTGATTTGACAGTAAAAGTAGTGACACTAGAGGTATTAATACCTAAAGAAGATTAAATGTTGATTTGCTATTGACTTTCCTCTTGCAAAATCAATACAAATGTATTGTTGATAGGTTAAATGGAACCACAAAGTAAAAATTCAATTCAAATTTAGAAAAATAAATCATTTAATCTCATAAAAAATGGCATAACATACTCCAATTGAGAAAAATTAATGAGATCCTTTACTCTACCATAAGTGCATTTGCCACAAGAACAAGGTCTAAAATCATTGAATTATTTCCATGGGGTCTTGAATTTTGTAAACTAAGATAGAAAAATATCATGAACTTTTGTATGATTTATTAACTCACCATGTAATTAAAATAATCTAGGTGCATTATTGTGCTAAGTATGAGAAAATAATATTGGCAAATATATCTAGCCAAAGAGATTTTAGAATCCAACATAAGACAATATTGCTATCTTTTATCAGTGATGAGAGAAGGTTCATATCAGCCCTAGTGGATTTTGGTATTGATCCATAAATAAAGCAAAATTTGTCTTTACTAATAAGGGTTTCATCATGGCTCGATTTTAGGTATTATACATATCATTTATAGTGAGTGGTTGTGACACCAAATTTAAACCAAGTTCATTTCAATGCTGAAGGAAATAGGGACAACAAATCATCCACAATAAAGTAATTTATGCATGAACATGAAAAGCCATAGGTTTAGATGTCATGTAAAATAAAAAATTGATTCATGTACCTCTTACTTTAATTTTTTCGTCTCATCTACCGCCTATTATTATCAATGAAGGTTGTCGTAAAGATCATAATTTGAACAACTATGTTATTCTTGTGGCCAAAAAGATTGAGAATTAAAGGGGCAAAATAACATATAATAATGTAAAAGATAGACTGATCTACCTTCACCCTTTGATTCAAAAATCACAATTCTCCTAATGACATTTTTTTCTTGATGAATTGTGGCCAAAATAATGAAAGGCCTGAGCATGAATGATGAATCATTGATAGAATGATGTTATTGAAGTTTTGACCCTTCTTTTAGATTATTCTTTAGGAGATTGATAAGATCAACTTATCTTATCAAAACCTTAGCTGAGCAAACCCACTTTGATGATATATTATGGTTGGGGCAGAAAGTCTCAAAGTAGAGAGAGAAAGAGCGGAACAAAAGTAAACCTCTCAATGAGCCTAGGGCTCCCATGAAATATTTAAGCCCTCACTTCTGAAGTGCCTAAGGGATTAGGTCTCTCATCACTATCATCTGGTTGGCATGAAGTAATGAAATTAAGGTTTTCCTACAACAGGACTAAAAGAGTTCACAAAAAGAAGCTGGGATTGTGGTAATGAGGGAGAGAATAGCATCCCATTTAGTGAACTAGGGTTTCATCAGATTGACATGAAGAGATAAAATTAGGATTTTTCTATAATCGGTCAAAAAGCTTCCACAAAAAAGAGTTAATAAAGGTGGTGATGATATTGCTAATATCACATTCAACGAACTAAGTTTTCATTCGATTGACCCGAAGAGATGAAATTAGGGTTCTGTTGCCATGGATCAACAAGCCTTTGCAGAAAGAAGTTGGCAATGGTAGGGATCAGGGAGCTAATCTTATCATGTCTAGAGAATTAGGGCTTCATCTAGTTGACCACAAAAGATGAAATTATGGTTTTCTTCAATTCATCTAAAGCATTGATAGAAAGAAGTTCAATAATGGTCATGATGAGGGAGATAACATCATCACATTCAATGAATTAGTGGTTTTTTTCTACAGCAGATCTAAAGGCCTTCATAAGATTTAATGATGGTGGTGATGAGGGAACTAATATCATCCCGTTTATTTAATAAGAGCTTTATCTAGTTGATCCAAAGGTATGAAATTAGAGCTTTTGGACCTAAAAGCCTTGGTATAAAGAAGTTGACATTGGTGGTGATGAGGGACCTAATCACATATCATTAACTCTTTGCCAGAATTTTAGATTGGGCAGCAATCTCTCCAAGAATTTCTCAGGAAATGTGGGTAAGATAACCTGCAAGCAGAATTTTAGTGAAAAAATAATCAGAAAACCGAGCTGATTAATGTAAAAGCAGAAAATCCGCACAGAGAAACTGATAATATGCCAGATATAAATTCGTCCCACAGAAGATGGACCTCTTCATCCTCTCTCTCTCTCTCTCTCTCTCTCTCTAGGAACAAAAGTATTGGATAAACATTTACAAATCGATTCCATCAAAACACAGAGCCTTCAGAGTCTTCTTTCTTTCTCCTTTTCTTGTGGAAGGTTCCTATGCATCAGTAGGCGCATGATCTCAAGAATTAAATAATTTTCTCGCATGAATTCAAAGACTGAGGGTTTTTCTTACCTTTTCTGGCATAAATCGTACTTCCCATGACATTTCCAAGGAGCAGAACAGTGAGTCAATCGCATGCAAGCCTTCAGAACAACTCAAAGCAGGCCCATCCTCAAACGAAACTACCACTCCATTCTCTGGCGCTCCCTTATTTCTGAGGAAGAAAAGAGACCAATCAATCCAATCCGCCGATTATTTCCTGTACACATTCAACCTTCAGCTCACGGAAGTGCAGATGGACTGCTGAGCAATGAGACCATTCACGCTGCCGCTGAACTGCTGCTTGCTTCTCCTCTTCCTCGCGACCTTTGTGAATCCCTCCACATCCGCGCCCTTTTGCTGGTTTGTGGTCTCGTTCTTGATGGGCTCCTGAGCAGAGGACTGCAAAACCTGGGGGGGCCTTGTTCTTGCCTCACCGCCAAATGCCGGCAGGACCGGTTTGCCGTCTCCTCCTCCGATGGGCTTCAATGGGTCTCCAGCTTCAGTTGGCGGGGCAAAGTTATCTTGGACAGACTTCACGATGAAGCTCAGGAGGATCTGCCTGGCCATCTCGGACTTCTCTGAGCTCTGGCCAGTCTTCTTCCCTTTGCCACTTTTAGATCTTTCATCATCGGTGATTCTCTCTGAGACTGATTTCTCCTCCTCAGCTCTATTGAAGGATTCTTCTTTTCTGGGCTCCTCCCGCGGGCTCTGCCCCTCTGAGTCTGCATTATCAGAGCCCGTTCTCGGTGGAGCTTTCCCTGGAACAAACTCGGCAGCATGTGGGTTCATCACACGGGGGGGGCTCCCGCCAGCTCCAGAAATGACGGCGGCGCGGTGACCATTGGGGCCCTTTGGGTAGCCTTGCTTTCTGTAGGAGTGCCCGGTTCTGTAGAATAAAGAGGATCCGGGGCTGCCTGGGATTCTGCCTGAAATGGGTTGAGGAGGAATTCCCACTGTGTGAGGAGGAATCATATCCACAGAAGGAGGGTACACATGAGCTGGAGGGATCAGCAAGCCTGGACTGAATGGAGGAGCTGAAGCAGAGAGCTTGCTGTTGGCTCTGCTCGCTTCTGAAGGCTTCTTAGCATCAGAGGATTCTTGGCTCCCATCAGAATCAGTACCTTTATCTACCTTGGACAACGACAGCTGCTCTCCTTCTGTGAGCGATGATTCCTTCATGATGTCCTTCACAGCTCCGTTCTCCTGAGCTTCTCCTCCATCTCCTCTCTCATCCAGTTCTGTGACCTCCAATGGATCCGCACAGACCTTCGAGTTGACTGCTTCTTCCCTGGTTATCTCTTCTGGTTTCTCTACCGCAGATTTTAAGACTGACCCAGGAGGCGAAACAGCCACTTCCTTGTAGGATACGGACTTCAACGCCATTGTCGTGAGCCTTGCAATAAAAGTGGATTTAAGGCTCTGATCCGGTTTGGTCTCTGATTCAGGTGCCTTTGCCTGCACTTTGTTCGCATCATCTGTTGCCACCGCGTTCAATATCTTTGGATTCCTTCCAAAAGCAGAAACATCAGTGTATGGAGTTCTTATTGCAGAAGAGTTCGTCTTTAATGCTGATGACATGGGTTTTCGCTTGTATTCTGACTCTCTAGCATCCCCAGCGACGGACCCATTTATCTTGAGCCGTGGAAGAACTGGTCTTCTTGCTCCTATTTTCTTTTGTGCGACATGTCCCGACCGTCCTCTCGAAATTGCTTCCTGCCAACCTTCATCAGAATCAGCATCTAGAGTTTCCACAGTGGAAGAGTTAGCTTCACACGACGTGAGGGTAGCCGGCTTTGCAGATGCTTCGGACTGAAGCTTCTTGGGCTTTTCTTTGCCTTTATGCTCATCAATTCCATAATGAATGTCTGCAGAGGTCACTTCATAGAGCATCTCATCTGGGATTTGAATTTGATGTTCTGGGTTGCTTCTACTGCCGATCTGTGAACAAAAAGGCATTATAGAGGAATGTAGTGAGGACATCTGTGATTCCAAGGAGCCAAAATAACGTCAACAAAATCGAGTTACGAGAGAGAAACTGGAAGAATGTCAGAAGTCGAAGAATTGATTAGTCTGTAACATGGCAGGGATGGAGCAGGGATGGAGCAGGGATTTCGTCTCTAAATTTCCTCGGAGAGAGAAGCTGGAACAATCAGACGCGACTGAATGAACATTCGAGGATTAAGAGGCCAAGAGATTACAATGCCCAATACCTTAACACGCTGTTGCTTTTTCTGTGTGTCCCGATCCCTCATGTCTTGATCCGGGTTTATGAAATCAAGAAGATCTGATACACTGAAATAGTCAAGTGTTTAAATTGCGGTGAAATCAATTTAATTTAGAGAAAAAATGCAAGAAGCAATAGAATCAGTACCTGAGGTGGCCTTTGCTTGCTATGGAGGAATCGGGCTTGGGAATACCCTTCCGGGCAGCCTCCTGCTGCTCCAAGACCTTCGACTCAAAATAATCAAGCCATGCAGCAGCGTCCTGTGAAAGCAATTATCTGGATTAGTCTTCACGCTGGAGCCTCCAAAGAGATTTTTCACAGAAGATAATAAGTAGAGGTAGGCACAACCTGGGTTCGTAGGTCTTCTGGTCCAAGTTTAGCTTGGAGAATCTGCAACGTAGTTTGTTCATGTTGCATGCTCAGGGAGTAAGCATCCATCATAGAAAGAGCAATTGCGATCGCATGGTAGCTTGCAGCAGTCTGTGGTTCAAACACAAGGAATTGCTATCAATTTGATCTATTGGACATGGACCAGTAAATTGCTGAGAATGATGAAAACATGCAATCAAAGAGAAAAGTAAAGTATTCCATAAAGACACTGTTAAATATGATATGTGAGACTTTTCAGAAAGAATGGTGAATGTCCTTATACAGCGCTAAAAAATTGGGAAAAAAAACTTTAATAAATTTTTCATCACTCTGTATGGTTGGAAAATTCTACAACATTATAAATTGACAGCACCAGAGAAATTTGAAACAGGTGATGCATTTGAAAGCACTCCATATTGGCGAGAAGAAATGGGAGACTTTCATAAACCTTACATAATTTTAGTAAGTACTGTCATTTTTCGATAGTTTCCAGGAATTACAGATCTTATTTCTGGTTACAGCTTAATGGAATACCATTTCATGAAATGAGTAGCTTGAAAGCGAGAATGAAAAGGAAAGGAAAAATATCCCATTCTACTGTCGCATGTTAAGAAAAAAGCGCAAGAATAGGTGAAGGAAATATATACAGACCTGAATGTGGTCAGCTCCCAATAATCTCTTGTTGCACTTCAGGGCCTCATGCAAATAGCGGAGAGCCACATGAACATTCCCCATACCTTCTTCCATCATAGCAACATTTATGTATGTTGCTGCAGAATTAGGATGTGACAGTCCACAAGAGAATTGAAGAAGATAGAGTGCTCTGTTGGCATACCTGAAACGTGCAATGCAGCATTCTCATTCATCTAATCTGGTGATACTCGTTGTTAGTTTCATTAACAGTGGTTTGTATATTAGATCAAAAGTTACTGCATGAGAGTCTGTCAGGGAAACCCACAACTAAATTTTTGAGTCTTCAATTAGCTCGCTTCCCTACATTTTGTTCATCAACCAATGGGTCAGATAAACCCAGATGCCCAATCACTGAGGAGCCTACTGACCGGACCCGTCCATTTCCCTGGGAAGAACCACCCAATAACCTACAACCAACATCACTCCCCAGCCCTTTTACAGCAGGATGTTATTAACATGTAATAAAAGAGAAACTCGGGGATGACTAGACTACTGTGAACTCCTAGGGCATGTAAGCTGGTATTACATGGAATCAGCAATGTAATTGGAAAGAACTTACTTTAAAGCTAGTTCAATGTGTTGGAGGCGATAGTAAAAGACAGAGAGGTCGCCGTAGCTTTTCATTGTCTCAGGGTGATCAAGACCAAGCTCTCTTTCATTAATGTCTAGTGCTTTTTGTTGATATATGGTTGCCTACAAAAGAAATAAAAAACAATGTACACTTAGAAAAACTAAAACCACTTATTTAAGAAAAAAATGGACCTTAAGACATCAGAAAAAGCAATGTACATTATGACATTATGAACGAGTTATATTTCTTCAATGAATATAGAACAAAATGAGCTTTCTGATGGAACAAATGAATCAGGTACACATGAGAGTACTTTTGTTTATTCCAATGACCTCGAGTATTTTTTTCTATATATAATTTGCTATTTTTACAGTAACCACATAAAACAACTAAGAACGTCAAAACCTAAGTTACAAATGCCCATCTACGAGTCTAGGATAGTATTTCAACATTTACATGTGCTGCACATAAGAGCATATGTAAAAGGAAGTACCTGATTAAAGTCTCCAGTGTGATAAAGCACTACTGCCAGAAGACTATATGCACTAGCCGTCATTCGGTTGTAAGGACCACAGACTGCAATCAATTTTGATAGTGCCTTTAAAAGAAAAGATTCTGCTTAGTTGAGTTGATAAGATTCAAGAAGCTCCACGTCTTTCATTAGAAAAAAATTTATATAATATATAATGAATGGAATCGTGAAACAAGAATTGCACACCTTTGTTCCATAATTAACAGCATCCTCCAATTTTCCTTTGTCTAGTGCTGTTTTAGATGATTCTAATAAATTTCGACCATCCGCAGATGAGCATGCCACATGCTGTATAACAAATTGTAGTGACACCATAAGCATCATTAGTTGGGTGCATAGGAAAAAAAATTAATAATCAAACACAGAGCAATTAAAACCTTACTTTACAGACAGGAATGATGCTAATTATATCAGACTTATCAAATGGGTTAGGGCTGTCCATATCGTAGTCCCTGGGAGCTAATTCCAGCCCAACCTAAATGAAGAAAATAGAACAGTAAGACAAGAAGGGGAATATAAAAGGGTAAAAAAAAACTAGTCCAACAAAGGGGGTTAGATGATGAACCTTATGGCAGAGTCCTCTGAGAAGAACGAATTTTCTCAAGTATTGGAACTCATTTTTCAACTTCCAATGGTATCTCTTGGAAATGAAAGTTCGCAGCCATTTCATTCGAAGTGTATTATCTTTGTCATGGTCTTCGTGGTCATTATCTTCTTTTGAAGAACCAAAAAAGATGTTCAAAGCTGCAGCAATTACTGCAGAAAGATTTCTTCCATTACCTGCCACAGCAATAACCGCTAACACTATGTGCTTAAATGCTCGAGTGACCATCTCATGTATACAGAGTGACTGAATATGTGGGAGCTTCTCAGCAAGTTCAACCTGTTTTAGTTGTCAAAGTTAAGGGCAAAATCAACTTCTCTTCTTAAATTTACAAGCCAAGAATAACTGATTAGAACTAATTGTTGACGAATATTTATATCCTCACCACACGCCCTAAAGAAGAGATCTTTAGTCCCCTCATGTGCATAAAATCAGTAAGGGTACGACCATCAACGGGTGAAAGTTCAAGTGACGCAAAATCAGCAACCTGCAGAAATCAAAGGTTTGTCAGAATTGAAGACCGAAATGACCACATGGAACTAGCTTCAAATGTTTTCCGTTGATTAAAATTTCAAAAATACCAATTTAGGAAGAGCTATATCATGGTAATACTTGTGTGCCATCTTGATGAGCTCGTCTAATGACTGCAAAGTTCAAAAAATGAAAAGAGCATAGATTAAACATAGATTAAAAAGAAGAACGATAACTAAACATAGAATAGGATGATATTGAAGAATCAAAGAATCTAAGTACATTAGTTGCCTGATATTCAGCACAATAGTTGTTTAAAACCATCATACAGCTAACCTAAACTTCAGAAAAAATAACTTATAGAAAGAAAATATGTAAAAGACGTTAATCGCAAAACCTTCAGGTGTAGACCAGTTCCTGAATCTTTTAAACGCAGTAAAACTTCTTCAGGCAAAAGTTTCAGCAAGTCAGCTTCTTCATTTGATTCACTCGGTCTTGATTTTTCTACATCAACTGTTTTCCCCTCACAGTTTTCACTGGCATCCTTCTTTGGTGTAGCAGGATTTTTGCCAACAGGATCTGCCTTCTTTTTTATTTTCTTCAGTGGTTCGAATTGCTTACCAAGGCCTTTGACAGAAAGTTCTTCCGGCGCACCTTCTGAACCATTCTGAAGCACTTCATTAGTTGAACTATCCTGCTTCTGTAAATGTTGCATCCAGCTGGAGCCAAGTTCCCATCTGATGGGGCTCTCTGTTGCCTCAGCAGTCTTCTCCAGACTCATCAAGCTATCATGAAGCACTCTTTGTACCAATGAATGAGCAGCTTTACCTTCATCAGGCTCAGCAAAGCCCTGACTCTCCAGAGATGAGTCGGAGCTGAAAGTCTGGAGGAGAAGCCTTAAGCTGCACAGCAGTTTTGAAACTGAGTGAGCAAGTAATTGAAACCCAGGAACTATGCATTGAAGAAAATATGGAATGCTCAAGAGGGTTCCCGAAACAATACAAGAATAAAACCTGTTTAGATTCAAGGCATTGGCACCTCCATCTGGTTGGTCTTCAATCTCAATGTCTGATGCCGAATGCTTCCTTTTCACATCTTGAGGGACCTTCACAGTGGCTGTATACCCACAATGTCTGACAATAACAGCACCCAAAGTGGAAGTGTCCTGCAGTATAGAGTGGCATGACAATGAGTTAGTTGAATTTCTAAAGTTAAAAAGAAAAAGACCAGTTTTCACTGTTAGCTTTCTTTCTTTTCCTCTTACATGAAAGACGACATTCTCATCAGCTGTTATCCCTTTTAGAAGATTTCTCTGAGTGATCTCCTGAATGGACATGCCTGATGATTGTATCTCATCAATCTTCTCCACATGCTTGATGCCAGCATCTCCACCGTCTTTTTTTATTGCTACAACCAAGTCCCCTTGGCGCTCTTCATGCAAAATCGACCCTGTGGGAGCTTCTGATGGTGTGCTTGAGGAAATATCACCCTCTGCAAGATGCTGAATTGCGGAAACAGCTTTGATGATTGCTGTGTCGACGAATAGATTATGCAATAGGAAGGCCTTCCTATCGCGTGCCAGCCTCTCTTCTTCAGTTTTGCAAGGAATACTAGCTAAGACTTCAAAATCTGAAGCCCATTTCCTCCGACAATGCTTACTTTCTCTCCCTTGCCCTCCACCATTACTGCCCCAGGTCTCATCTTCCGCTGGCAGCGTTGGATTTTTTGACTGGGACTCGGCAAAAATTGGAGGAACCAGCCATGTATTGGCACGAAACCCATATGGAAGATTACCAAACTGAAAATTTATCAAAGATCAAATATTTCAGCAGAACTATCATGGATGGGAATATTTTAATTATTTTAGCATTTTGATACTAATTTTCTAGAAGTTCAGAGGGTATTGGCACCTTGTTATGGTCTTCAAAAGCCTTCATCAGCAATTCATAAGCCTGCATGCCATCAAGAAGTGATATTGAACAAAAACGGCTAGGATAAGAGGAAAGCACGATGGATAAAAAAAACCAAGGACGCCCAAGAAATATAAATGGGTGACTCAAGTACCCACATTGGCAAAGCCCCTGCTTAGTTGCCGCAAAAGGTCCACCAGGGCATGACTCTGGAGATGCTGTTTTGAACCTGTTACTCGAAAACCTTTGGTGGAAGCCATGACAGTGAGTAATTTCCCATTACAGACCTTAATCTGCATGGTACCGCACAAGTTAGAAATTTATAAAACAGGGAACTGCTAAGGTTGTCGGCAATCTAACAATAGGAGAATGGAAACAGGGTAAAAGGTCCATCCATCCATCGAAATTCGAAAACCAGTGATCCACTCCTCTTTCACATGGGGCACATTTCAAACATGTGGCGAGCATGTTAATCTTATCTACATGAGAAACGGATGCCTCTAGGATCTTCAATGAGTAATCGCAATTGATTTCCTGTGCGACCACGATTCATCAGGGAGGAACAGGGCTCACCTCCAATTCGAAGTAGTCCCCTGCCTGCCTATCCACACCATCAACCCCATTTTCACGTCTTCTAATATCTGCACCACAGTGAATAAGGAAGCTCTGGTTAGTTCCTTCTTCTCAAAACAAAAGTCTAAAGGTTTGTCGAATCTTACTCAGAGAGAGAGAGAGAGAGAGAGAGAGAGAACTCACATTGGATGGGAGAGCTGAGGTGAGAGAAGGAGAAGAATTCGTAGAAGTCGCCGAGCTTCGGAGTCGGCTGAATCGCCGCCATGTCGAACTTCTCCGAGATGGCTGGGATTGGAGCCTCCGGGGATGTGGGTCCCTTCCCATTTTCAGTAGCGGTGCCAGGGATTCCGGACACAGCAGGAGAAGAAGGAGAGGACCCAGGAGCCGATTTCCCATTCGTAGCGGTAGCAATCGCCGGATTCTGCTGCTTTCTGGCGGTCCTCTGCTGTGGCTTCCGAAAGCAGGTGGTACACGCCACGATATCCAGTAGCCGCCGAACGTGTTCTACGCCCTCCCCCTCAGTGGGGTAGTCCTCTGCATCCTCAGTGAACAAGGAAATTAATAGATATCTTCACCACTCATTGTCTAAGTGAAGCCCTCTAAAAGGAATTAATTAGGAAATTCAAGAATTAAAATAAAACCCTCCATTCCTAACCAGAAAGGTAATTTAAAATACAGAAAACGCATTTTTTGATAATTAATAGCACAATAATGAAAGAGATGCCATTTTGTGTTACACTGGTTGAACTTTCACAGCATTTTCATGAATATTTTACCATAAGTTTAATAAATATGATTATTGGTTTTTTTAAATATGGTATCTAATAAAAGCCATATTAGAGGTCGAAACCAAAGAAAATGAAGTGATCTAGGTTATATATCAGAGAATTTCAAATTATTTCATCCTACAATCATTCAAAATAGTCTCAAAATTTGCTAGAAAGGCCAATAATGGCATATTTCCAAACAGTCCCTTTGGGGAAAAAATGGCCATAAATGAAATATTAATAATGAAGGGGGGGTGCGTTAAGTGCAAAAGCCACAAACACACCAAACACTAATAAAGATGGTACTAGAAAACATGAATAGTTGTCCTTTCCAAACTATTTCCCCACGTGGAGAAAATAAAACCGACATAAATAAAATAGCAACTGCGAAGGAGGTTTTAAATGCAGATATTAGGGATACATCACAAATTAATAAAAATCGTTGTAAAAAAACACGGATGAAGGCGCCGTTCCAAGCAGGGGGGGGATTAAAACAAAATGGGCATAAATAAAATACAAAATATAAAGGAGGAGTGAAGTTCAACAATTATGGGTCATTTAATAGGCCCAACAACGGCCCAATAATTATAAATCACGTGGACATTAAGGCGTTCACCCGGCCGTACAACACGAGGTCATCGGACGGTCTTGACCGTCAGATGCCGAACGGACGGGCATCTCGAAGGCGGGGGCAGGATCAACAACGGACAACATCGGATTTTGTCCTTTTCTGCGAGGAGTCTCGACAGTGGGGCCCACAACTTTGGAAACCCGTCACCCTCCTCGGCGAGATTATGACGCAGAAAACCAGTAGGTTACCATTAAGGCATCAGTGGGCGGGCATGAGCTCACCTTCCACGATCTTCAGGACGCAGGGCTTGAGGGCGGAGATCTCTGCGCCATCGCCGAGCCTTCCTCCTCTCGTCTGCCCATGGAAGAGAGAGAAGAATAAGGAGGATTCTCAGAAGAGAGAGAGAGAGGGGGGGAGAATTGTGGGGAGAGGCAGTTTCTCTCTCTAGATTCCTCGCTGGAAATGGGGGGGAGGCGGGAGTACCGGATGGGAGAGTGAGAAGCTCGTGAGGTGGCAGGTCCCCACATGGGAGGCAATGAGCCTGCGCACATCGAGAATCCTATCGGTGGAAATCCCCTGCATTCATGTCGATCAAAGGAGTTAGACGCGGCAGGGGCGGAGAAATCGAGCGCGGAGGATGAGAGAGAGAGAGAGAGGAATCCTCCAGGGAAGGAAGGGGGACTACCTTGAGGGTGACCTGCGTCTCGTAGGGAGTCGTGACAATGATGTCCACGGCAGCGGGGACGACTGAAGAAGAAGAAGATGATGATGAAGATGAAGCAGAAGGTGCGCAAGGTGCGGAGACGGAGGGAATGGTGGATGAATGGATAGGATGCGGGAGGAGGGACGTGACTGACCTTTCTCTTCCTTTCTCTTCTTCTCTCCCTTCGCCTTGCCTCCCTTGCTGCGGCCGGCCTTGGGCGCCATTTTGCGCTCACCAGTCACGGCTCTTCTGGTTCATACCAGAGCCAACCTCCGTCTCTCCCCTTACAAATCTCTCTCTCTCTCTCTCTCTCTCTCTCTCTCTCTCTCTCGCTCTCTCTCTCTCTATCAAGGGAGACTCTGGGAGAGGAGAGACACAGGACCCTGCCGGAGAAGAAGAAGAAGAGGAAGAAGAAGGAGAAGCGGCCTAAAGGATAGGATAAGGCGCGGTTGAAGGTTTTGGGTTTTACCCTCTCATGGATTTCTGTTCATTCCTGGCCTCTCGTTCCTCTCTCCTCATGTGACCCCGCTCTCTCTCTCTCTCTCTCTCTCTCTCACTACTCTCCTTCTGATGATTCTCTCTCTCTCTAACTCTCTCTCATTCTCTCATGAGTGGGCCCATGTAAGAAGGGGCCGGTAGAAGGACGGCGTCTCCCGACGGGGCATGACATGCCAAAGCAGAAGGGGGGAGGCTCCGCCTGACTGGAGAGGACGGTCCTGAAGGAGGCACGTGGAGGCTCCCGAGGATCGGCTCCCCGGCCCGCAGCCGTCAGATCTCCCTGATCCGACGGTCTTCCCATCTCAGAATTTGTTTTTCTAAGTCCTCAAAACTATTCATGGATAACAAAACGGGCGTCGAATTTTGGGCCAGGGACTAGATCGAAATATGTGCATGAATGAAAATGGGGCCCGCACGTGGTGGTTACGGGCAATGATTGGGATCAATGAACCGCGACCCGATTAGATTTGGATAAAATCGACCGTCCACCCCTTTGAAAGGGAATTATTCGTTGGTTTTAGGAAAAAATATTCGATCGAGAGATTTACCGCATTTTTGTGGAGGGGAATTATAAATACAGGCTTATTTATTATTCCGCATCGAATATTAGAAATTGACCCACTTGCAGAGGTCAGTCGGCTCAAAATTGGGTTCTCTCTCTGTCATCTCCCTCTCTTCTCTCGAAATTGGTTGCACACACTCTCTCTAACTCTCCCTCTCTTCTCTCAAAATTGGGTGCTCAGTCTCTCTCTAACTCTCCCTCTCCTTCCTCGAAATTGGGTTCTCCAAATTCGGTGCTCACTCACTCTCACTCTCGTCTCTAAACTGGTTGCTAACTCACTGAGTCTTTCTCTTCTTGCTCTCTCTGTAACTCTCCCTCCCGTCTCACAAAATTGGGTGCTCTCTCTCTCTCTCTCTCTCTCTCTCTCTCTCTCTCTCTCTATCTATCTATCTATCTATCTCCATGTCTCTCACTCTCTTCTCTCTTTCTAAACTCCGGGGGGAGACCAGGAAGAGGAGAAAGACTGAGAAGTAACCTTTAGAATCTTTTCCCCCGAAATCTGATTCTACACGCCTTTTAGTCACAGGGGACAGCCGACCGTACATCCAAGAAGGTTCCCCCCCCCCCGCCCCCCCCCCAATGGGAGGAAGACGAGGAGGTAGAAGGCTGCCGGTCACCGCCTCTCTCCTCCTCGTCACCGGCGAAGGCGGGGGCCTGTCGGATTTAGAGAGAGAGAGAGATAGAGAGGTAAGGTTACCCGTAGTGTATTGTATTGACAGCGGCGAATCAGGCGGAGGCACCCCAGAGGACTTCGGCGATGATGGTGGCGGCGTCGGCTTCAGAGGCGGCGGCCTCCCTCACACGATCGAGGATCTCCCGCTTGGCGGCGGTCTTCTCCCGGTGCCTCATCCCCTCACCGACCTCCATCTGGATGGCCAGCCTGGCCACGCAGCTGGCGAAGGGCCGCCGTCGGAGCGGCGGCGCTCCGCCCCCGGCAGCGGCGGTGGATCCCTCGTCGTCCATCTCGATGAGGGCGCCGCCGTGTGGGGACTGCTGGAGCACTACCAGCCTCTTGACCACGTTGGCGGCTATCATGGCGTCCACGGCCTCCTTCCTCGCGTAGTAGGAAACCTTCAGCAGGAGCTCCAGCGCGGCCTCTGCCATGTCGAGTTCCGGCGAGGAGAGGAAGCCGACAAGGCAGGGGATCTGGCCATCGGCGTGGATCTCGTCGACGATGGCGGTCTTGATTGCGGCGACGAGGAAGAGAAGCACGCGCATCGACTGCGGGGTTCCCATCGTAGCCAGGGACCGGTGGACGGAGGACGACGAGAGGTCGCCGGCGGCGCCGCCGCCGCCCATCAGTACGTGGCCGACGAAGACGTCGCGGTTGAACCTGACCATGGCCGACACCGCGGCGGCGCAGCGCTCCCGGATCCGCAGCGGTATGGCGGCGACGGCGAGCACGGCGGCGACGGCGGGGAACGCGCCGGAGCGCAGCACGAGGTCCTGGAACTTGCGGTCGAATCCCCGTACGAGTCGCTCCTCGAAGGCTTTCAGGAGGTTCATGAGGGCGTCCTCCTCGTCCTTGCTCGAGAGAGACGAAGGAGAGGCGCCGATGGAGCGGAGGGAGGAGACGAGGCGGCCAAGGCTCTCCCGGTCGATCCACAACTGGATTTCCGATTCGATGGACTCTGCGACGCGGGAGATCTCGCCAGACTTGGATCTGCGACTGCTCCTCCGCCGCCGTCGCCGCTGCCACCGCCGGTTCCTCGTCTGGAGTAGCGCGGAGAGAAGTCCTCCCAGTCCGGCCCCGATGGTCACCATCAATCCGCCGCCGGCCTCGCTGCTGGTGCTCTCGCCGGAGGAGAAGCAGACTTCCTTGAGGCGGGAGAGGAGGGAGCAGAGTGTGGAGAGGGCGGGATCGCTGGAGAGAATCCCGCCGGCCTGCGTCTCCGTCTGCAGAACCAGTAGCGCCATCAAGGAGGGCGACTGCTGCAGAGCCGTCTTCTTTTCCCCCCGGCGCCCCTGCTCCTCTAGATCTGAGCCGCCGTCGTGGTCTTCCTCCTCTTGGCCGCCGGCCGCCATGCCCTGGAGGTCCTTGCACGCCCTCTTCAATACTTCTAGCGCTCGCAGCAGAAGGTTGTCCTCCATCCTCCTCTCCCCTCTCCTTCCTTCAAAATGTCCCCCTCAAGTACTCCCTCTTCCTATTTCTACAGTCAGCTCTCTCTCTCTCTCTCTCTCTCTTCTGGTGTGGAAGGGGAGCTACCAGTCGTACCGGAAAATCTCGCGGGAAGCACTTATCTTCTTTATCTTGTTCCGCGGAACAGCTGACGCACAGACAGTAGAGACGGCCCAGTAGCCGGTTTCCAGATGCATCCATGAGGAACGCCATTCCACGTGGGCATCGCTTTTGAATCCACGTGGAACGTGTGACTATCTCACAATCTAGATGGACGGCTAGGATAACATTTCGATCCTGTGGACGGCAATACCGAGACCCCAAGACAAAACATTGGGGGGCAAGCGTTAGGTGTGGGGTCCACCACAATCGACACATCAAACAGTTGTACTCGATTTTTTCCAAGTCAACTTCAATGAATGAGATCGACGACTTATTCACACGTCTTATTCACCAATTCTTTGCATCCCCCCTATCAGAGGGCGACAGGCGGACGATAACGCGACGTGGCTGATCGTGAATAGCCACATGGCAATTCAAAACCTGGTCTACACTCAACCCAGACTTTATGAAACTCAAATCCCACACATCTCAACATCCAAAATAATTGAAATAAATATTACGAAGAGAATAAATAAATAATAGCATGGGCTATTATTCATTCCATAAATCCGAAGACTACTTAATATAGCCACCTTTTAATAAAAAAAAAAAAAAACTATTTATAAGCAAATAATGCAGGAGATAAATCCAATCATTGGCTCTTAGCTAGGCGCATAGCTTCTTGGAGGCAACCCTCTTTCCTAGAAAAGCATGGAAAAATTGCAGGATATTCTTGATGAATTATATTATCCTGGCACATTTAAAATAATATAAATGAATTTATTTTTGTAATATTAGTTGACATGAATTTTCTGGAGGATTGGAGAAACTAATAATGGAAATCATGGATTAAGGCACCGAGGAGAGATGAATAATTTCATGAACTAATCTGTTTTATTTTCTGTTTAATAGGGGATATAACTGTGCTATATTTGATAATTAATATAAATAAATAAATAAATAAAGAGATTAAGAGACATTATTATCAGCTGAAGAATCGGATATTCATCCGCAGCACTCTTTCCCACCACTCAAAGACATCATCTTGGGAATCAAAGAAAGGAAATGGTGCCCGATTTATCACCCTTTTGAATTATATTAATCAAGAAACTCTAAGGGTTGATACAGCAGTCATACGCTGCAATGATGATAAGAAAAATGGAAGAACAGTAAAAAAAAAAAAAAAAAAAAAAACCGGAATTAGAAATTTCCGGCATTCAACATCCTATAAGTTCATTATTTTCTCAATATTTCCCTTGATATTTGTGTAAAAACCAACTAAAATTGGATTGTGCGCAAGAACATTAATATGTATTTTTTTCCTCAATATTTCTGTGGGCTTTGAAACTTAGGTCAATGCATGATTAGGATACTATGTATGGGCCTCCTGATCCACCATTAGAGATTAGCAACATAGCATACGGCAACTACTACATCAACAACTCCCTGGTATTCTGCGCAGAATTTCTCAGCTGCAAGATGAACTGAGCTGCTGTATGAATGAGCAGAACATGTTCAAACATGGACAGAGATAAATAAAGCAAACTTAACGAAAAAGGAACAATCAATGCTTAAAAGTAAGTGAACTACGTCTAGAATTTGCTTCTGTTCTTCTGGAGCGTTCAAAGCTCCATAAGGGGTTTGCTAAATATCGAGATCCACACTGAACTTATACTTCTCCACACAAGGATTGATATTGATTAGATATATATATATATATATATATATATATATATTGTTTCTTGTGGAAATAGGTGCAATTCTTGTGCTTTCTGGCGGACTCCTGATTGAACAAAAGCTTGAATCTCATTCAAACACTAGGACAATGGAGACACGTCTCTCAAGTCATGCATGAATGGGATGAATTGAGAACAATATCAAATCAGATGAAAACAAGATAACGACACAGAAACCATCAAATGCTTTCCAAAGAAGAGAGGAAAATGCTGCAAATGAAAGTGAAAAGCTAAAAATTTGGGCTCTAATCGTTCTTTAATGAGGAATTCCTGGTGATAAAAGCAATACTTCTATGAAATTGCCATGGAAAAAATTAGATTCCAAGAAAAAGGAAAGGTCCTGCATTTTTTAATAAAATTCTGAGAAAATTAAAAGAAAAATGCCACGCTGTCAACAGAGGTAATCAGAAGGGTGCCCAGCCTTGATACATGTTAAATCTACTAAAAAAAAAATTATCATAAAGAGAATAGAAAGAATACAGAAACTCTGTCAATAATGATCCAAATATTGCACATTCCAATGCTTACTTTTGACAGGTATGAAGAACTGAATCTTTCGGAAAGATAATTTTTTTTTTCCAAACTTACATTTTTATTATTATTTTAGTCCTGTATTTATAGATTTAGCACCACCCACACACTTTAGGGATGAGTGTAGAAGGATAATAAGAACACTCCATTACTCATCTACCAACAAAATCAGGTAAAATAATTATTAGGGGCTACATCACCCAGACCAACCTGATCAGTGTTGTCCGAATGCCTGAACAGACACGGTTTAATAAGGCTAAGATCGGCTCGCTACCCGATCTAATCCTCATAGATATCAGATCAAACCTGCAAAATCATGCCAACCAGTCTAACTCCAGCGAAAGAGGCATTCTTCAAGTCGCCAGAATTTACTCCCATCAGTAAATGGACAGAAGGCATACCTCAGTTAGGAAATTTCAAGTAGTTCTGACTAGAAAATGAGGGATATCTCATCCATTTGCAATGGATTTTTGTTTGTAGAGGATTGAAATGCTATTAGAACATTTCCCGATCAAGTAACAGAATTTTAATAACACGCTTGGGCAATGACACTAGAATTAATAAACTGAAAGCAAATGAATACGAGTATGAGAAAAATAAAAACCCTTTGGTACATGGACTAAAAAAATATTTCCCTTAATTTCCAGAAAAGGATTAGGCTAAAACTTTATTACACAAAATGGATTGGAAGCAAGAAATTTCCAGCAGTCATAAAATGCAACAAGTTGTATCAATTACGATATCTTTGAAGCAGGACGAGACCTGTTTTTTTATGTGTTCTTCATTGGACCTCTATGCATCATCTTGAAGAACGTCTCAAGGAGAGTGGCTTCCACTGAAGCTAATTGTTTGTGAAGATGAGGGTCTGATTTCTTCGATGGTCTCCCTTTGGAGGTTCTCCAACGTGGAACCCATTCCAATGAATCTTCCTCCAAGAATTGACCAACCTTTGCTGCTTCCAAAGCTTTCATGGCTTGGTACAAAAGCTCTAAAGCAGCACCAAATCTAAAATAGACAGCATATGTATCCCAAGCTAGAGGAAGAACGCATTTCCTAATGAAATCTAGCAATTCAGGAACTTCCAAAGAAATTACAACCGGATCCGAGCCAAAATTAAATAAGAGGAAGGATGCTGCCCATATGTGCTCGGAGTGATAACGTGGAGATCCATACTGCATAATAACATGAACCATAGAACGGGCAGTAGCAAAATTTCCTCGTTTTCTCATATACAGCTTGATTATGTCGTGAAAATAGATGAATCCACTTCTGGTGCTAACTCTAGCAACCCGAAGCCGAACCAGCATCTCTGTAGCCTTAGCTTCTAACTGCTCGTTATGAGATATTCTAACGCAAGGAATGGCACATAACCACCTCTTCCAACTGTAATTGTGATTGTCATTCTCACGAGAAATAGTTGAGGCAGCTGCAGCCAAGAGAGGAATCGGGATGGGTGAAGGAGAAAACCAACCACATGCTTGAACCATTCTGGATGCAAGATAGCCATGTTCACCAAAGAGATCAAATAAAGCTAAGCAAACATCGAAAAGTTGAACCATGCCCCGATTATACATCAATATTGGATCTTGTCGATCAACCCAGGTTAAGTTTCTATGAGGGATATGTTTAATGGCATCAAGGAGTTTTGTTGGGCTGATAGAAATCTCAGATAAGACAGCCCGAACAATTGCAAGTCCCATGGGCACTCTACCGACTTTCTCTTCAAGGAATCTGAGCGCAGAAATCTCTTCTACTGGCAAATCTCCTATGCTCCCCTTCATCAGTCCCAAGGCTTCAGCAGCAGATAAATACAATAGTCTGATGGGATTAATATTCATTACATGCGGCATTCGAGTGGAGATGATTACATGTGTCGCACCGCCAAGAGGAGGGAGAATATCAATTATATTCCTCTCGTACCACCACTCCTTATCACTTTCCAAGTTATCAATGATAAGTAGGTAGGGGATATCTCTCATGAGCTCCTTGCGAACTCTGGAAATAGATTGTTCTTCAAGATTCTCAAGACTCGTTGATTCATTATCTTCGAAGAGAATTGAATTATCGATCCCCAAAAAGGAAAGTAGATTCAAATAATTCTGACAAAGATATCTTGCCTCACCCCCTACCCAGAGGACCATCTTGTACCTCTGTGCGAATCTGTATGCAAATTCCAGTGCCAACTCAGTCTTGCCAATGCCTGACTCCCCACTGATACAGGCAATCCCCTTCTCAGAAAGCTCACATCTGGATGTTATCTTCAGACTTGGGTCATCAGCTTTCTTTCCCCTCGAAGGAAAAAATATGGTATCTGCATTTGTGTCTTCCATTTCCGTATCATCATTAGATTTCTCTGCAAGAATACGCCCCCTATCCTTTGACTTTGAATCTACAGACGGCCTGCCACCGTTAAACGTCGCTGTAAAACTCCTTCTGGACCTCGTTTCTAAATATTCGTTACCTTCAATATTTCCGAACAAAGCTAGCTCAAGCTCCAAAAGCTCTTTCTCCCTACCAACAAAACTCTCATTCCGAGGGAATGGATACTCAACACCCACCACAGATTCCTTCCAGCTCCTCACTTTCTCCGTGATTTCGCTCTTCCCAAGCCTCTTCCCAACTAGGGCAACAGAATCCAAGATACAATCCCTCCAATTGTTCTTCTGAGCAAAAAGCCTGAATTCAACGGTTGAGAGCTTGTTCACTGTTTCCTTCCAATCTTGCTCCAGTCCTCCATAGCTTTGCCAGAGAAACCCACCATCATTCTGCCAAAGATCCCCTCTCCTCTCAATGATGTCCCTCGCCAGGCACTCTTCCTGGCTCAACCCAAAGAGGATAGCTACCAAATTACCCCTCCCTAGGAATACTTTGAGCTCCTCCATGCCGTAAGGGCTGGAGAAGGTCTTTGGGGTGACCAAGACGATTCCGAGGGTTGCAGAATCCATAACATCCTTGGCCAAGCAGTGAGCATGGGCATCTCTGTAGCTGCTTCTATCTGAGATGAAGCAGATTACCCCATGAAGCTGCAGCTCTGCCTGGAGCCAGTTCACGAACCGGAGAAGAGAGGGGTCATCCTCACAAAGGCCAATGTAGGCATCACAGCTCTTAACTTCGGCCGAAACAGAGGACAACAAGCATGGAGGATCACACTCATTAATCAAAACGTCACTTTCACGTTGAAGCATCAAAGAAACCTGAACCAAAAAAATAATTTTAGGAAAATCGCAGTCATTTTCCACAATCAATTCAATCAAGGATGGCAACAAAAATCACAGAAGCAAAAGATATCATTACTGCACCTGTACTTTTTGTGCATTTCAGAAGAATTACCTCATTATCTGCAATTTGTTCCTCTATAACCTCATCAACATATTCAACAGCCAAGGAATGGAATGCTTCCTCTCCTTTCATATCAGAAAGTACCGTCTCCTGAACATAATCAACACTGATAATTGGAAAATGGATCTTGGAAACTTTCAAAGTTCAAATGAAGAAAAAATAGAGGTTTGACCATCGATGTGGTATCAAAAGTTCATAAGCAATCCTACAATTCCAGAATAACAAGATAACCAATCCTTTATCGGGCATCGTTAATTTCAACTAGTACCAAATATTATATTGTTTTCAATAGGATGTTATGCATACATAAATAACTGAGTTCAAATTATACTCTTTTGAGTTTTAAGATAATTTTGAACATTTCATGTCTCACTAGCTGGTGTACTTGAATCTCGTAACTTGAGCAGAGAAGGCTGCTAGAGTTGAGAATGGTTAGAAACAGTTTATAGGCAATGATCTTACTCATAAGATATATATCTGGCAAGCACATTTGAAAGACATTTAATGTAGTTCCTTAACGAAGAGGATAAGTACTCTGAAAAGCACTGTTTGAAATACGGCTGAGATCGCAACAGCACAGAGCTAATAATACAGAGGTAAGAATTAACTATAATTAACATAAAATTTAACTCGAATGAGTAAAAAAAAGAATCAAAAAATGAGTTAAACGTAGCGTAACTGTTCAACATCTAACATCGTAAGAATGTTAACACGGATGTTCACTTCTCACGTCTTCAGAATTGTGGCACGAGCGTTAATGAATGTCACATCGATAAAGCCATCAACTAGCATGCAGGATATCCAAAAAATAAATGCTATACAGCTAGGAATTTATATCAATTAATTCGAATGATTCAACTAGATATTTGGTGATAGAAATAGATTCAAATGGCTACCAAAACACTACTTGCTACTGTACATTGGAGCATTGTGCAGGAAATAGGACAACATGATGTAATAAATATATACTACCTAGCAGGCAAAATTAAAAGATTCAAATTAAAATATATGAGAAAATACCACAATAGTAGGCTGGCTCTCACCACCATGACATACAGTTCACAACTGCAAACCACATAGATAGAGCTGAACTCCAGGGAAAAAAGCATTCAGTTAACCGAGGCACCAGATATCCCGGGGATTCATTCAGAATTTTACAGCTTTTCGTAAACTATACATTATCCACAATTAAATGAAAATTATAAAATTTCTAGAGACGATCTGGGGAGCCCTCGAATTTCATCATGCTTAGTCATGCTGACTCTGCCTGAAACACAGCAGTAATCTTCTTCTTCTGAGGAGAAACTAAATAGAAAAAAAAATTCAATAGGATTCGTATTTCCGTCAAAGACACCTAGATCTTTCTTCATGTCGCTCGAATTATGCCAGGACAATAGGGGATGCCTGAATACGGTAACACCAATCACATCCTTAACGTATCAAAGTTACTCGAGATATTCTAGAAGAATGCCTTCCCTTTTGTAACATCTGAAAGGGCAATGTTTTGCATTCAACATAGTACATTTATCATCTTCAATCGGTAGATTTATCAGAGCAAGGCTCCCGACGTCATTTGAAAATCGCTCAAAATAAATATGCCACAGGAACTAAAGACAGCTGAAAATACTTCAGGGTCGATCATCTACCAAACGATCGTGTTAACTGTCTAAATTTCCGACTTCGAACAAGTTGGGCATTTCGACGCATAAATCCTATCAACGAACAAGACGCAACTCCGAAACCAATACTATGGAAAGTGCACGGAACGAAGAGACTAATAATTTTGTACCAGATCAAATGAATGTCCCTGATCCCCATTACCTCGTCGAGGTCGCCTGGTCCGAGAGACGACTTCAGCATGTTTGCACAGACTGGCGCGTCACCATTGCTCCCAACAGCCCCCAGCAACAGGAGAAATAACGATCACATCGTTTGACAGAAGCGTGTAGAACTGGATGAGGACTCCAAAGAGAGAGAAATGAAGCCAGTAGAAAAAGCGGGCTGTTATTTTATGTGCCACAGAAAGAGAAAAGACAACGAGAGCGGACGAGAGGGTAGAGACAGAGAGACAGAAGACCGCGAGAGCGGACGAGAGGAGAGAGAAAAAGAGAGAGAGACAGACAGTCAAACAGAAACGGAAAGGAGAAGAGCGAACGAGAGGAGAGAGAGAGAGAGAGTGAACAGGAGCGGAGAGAGCGAAGCCAGAGCGAACGGGAGGAGAGAGAGAGAGTGAACAGGAGGTGGGAGAGAGAGAGAGATAGAGAGGGGAGAAGACGGAGCAGACGAGAGGGAAGGGGAGAGAGAGAGAGAGAGAAGAAAAGATAGAGAGCGAACGAGAGGGGAGAGAGGACAGAGAGAGCGAACAGGACGGGAGAGAGAGAGAGAGAGAGAGAGGACGGCGAGCGAGAACGAGATGGAGGAAAAGAAGGGTGCGCGGGAAACATCGGACAAGAGGGCAGAGGAAGACATTTGAACCCCATGAAGAGGTTTTTACTTTTATAACCCTATAAAAATGACAAATATTTGAAATTCTCTCTATATTCTAATTATTTCAGTATATGACCCTTCAAATTTAGTAAGGATATATATCAAGAGTCTTTAGGGCATGAAGCCAGAACATAATTTTCTCTACTTGTCCTTGCATTGAACTCCTCAACTGTTGTAAGATTAGAAAAGTAAGAGGGTTTTTATGCACTTGGCAATTTTACATGGGTTTGAAACAGGACATGGAACTAAATATCTTTTTGATACCTTGAACATATATTAATAATTTCAAGTTTCTTATCTCACATGGAAACTTTTAAACTATGAAATTATTATTGTCATAGTGTAAAAGACTATGATTTCTATGAATGGGGGGAGCAGGTATTATTCATTATTTTTCTCCATTTTTTGTCATAAATATAAAATATATAGTGTAATCACCCTGAAAATTATAATATAAATACAGATAAATAAATGATAATCGCTTATTGGATATTTTGTATCAATATTTAATTTAGTATTACAAGGTATGCCAAAAAGGTAGATAGCAAGATATACTTTAATTCATATATAGAATTTTAGCAATTTACCTTAAATATTTTTTTTTCTCGTTTTGACTATATAATCCATGAATTGGGGGAGAGGGTATTATTCATTAGTTTTTTCTCCAATTATCTTGTCCTAAATTAAAAATATATAGTATAATCACCCCTCAAATAAAATAATACAAATAACTAAATGATGGTCTCTTATTGGATATTTTGCAACAATACCCAATGTAGTATTATTTCCTAGAGCATAATTTAGTACAATTCATTTTTTTAGTAATTTACCTTTAATAAAGTTTTCTTGGGTTTTGACTTTGGGTATGTAAGCTCATCCAGCCCATTAACACTTCTAATTGGACCTGCCCATTGGCCCAATAGTACTCCACTAAGATCGTTGCTCGTTAATGGGCTTCCTTCTAGAGATGCTTCCATCACTTATTGCCCCCTTCGTAAGGGTTGAACATCTATTTTTTTGAGGATTTAAAATATAAATGAATGGTAACCTTTGGAATTGTTTACCTCAACCCCCCTACAAATTATTTAATTTACAGTTTTTTTAGGCTGTGGGCATTCCCACAATTTTCATTGCAAATATGGTGAAACGGCTTCTTGCTTCTCAAGATTCTTGAAGATAAGTTGGATTACTTGGGGAAAACGATGGAGGAATTCATTGTCCGTGTCCACAATTTAAATAAGTCGGAGGTCGGAGGGCTCAATTTTTGGAAGGTAAACGCTCAGACCAATTATCCAAATCCTCGTCACAAAAACACGAGCATTCAATGGCATAGCCACAATTAAAAGAAATACAGTGTACTAGCCGTAAACGTATATCCGCGAGGTATTCAGATCCTTTCAATGGCATATCCACTATTTCAGCAGTCAGAGGGGCCAGATCAATAAAACACATCACCTTCCAATTACTCAATATTCGTAGTATCCAAATTTTCAGAGAAATAATTTCAAATGGATGATGTAAAATCAGCAGATTGATGCAATCCAGATAATTAAATTATTTGTAGAAAATAAAATCGAGCGCCAGAAAATAAATAATTTGGATAAACCTTGAAAAGAACATAGAATGCCTGTCTGACTCAATCTTCTGGGTGGGGGTTTAAAGAACAGGATGAACTGCGCAATTATTTTTCTTCCATATTTAGTCATAATACCAAGCTCAGGTCAACTCCAGCCGGAATGATCTCATACAGAAAAGGAAATCCCACAGAACCGAGAAACAGATATGAAGAAGGAAGCATCAAGGACCCACTAAAAAACCAGAGCTTTCTGCATCCTGAAGTCAACCCCCCATTTTAATGGGTGGGAAGGAACGTCAACTTCCCATCTGCCCTCTTCAACAGCTCATTTAAGTAAGAGAGAGAGAGAGAGAGAGAGAGAGAGAGAGAGGGATGAAATCAGATTCTTTCCACTTAAAGTAAATCTGGAGATGGGTCGGCTGATGGAGTCTAAACCCAAACGAGCAAAAGCAGAAAAGAAACGCCGAAAATCCAGAGGCTATCACCAAAAATGATGGAGCTGCCAGACCCCATGGACCACCAAATATCAGAACACAATTTTTCAGTTAGTACGAGGGATAAGGGGCTTCTAATCCTCATCATTCTGGCTTTCATCCTTAACCAGCCTTATCATGTCGTCGATCCGAAGAATGGTTATGGCCGCCTCAGTAGCAAACTGTTCACAAAAAAAAAACCCAGAAAAGAATTATAACCTAGGGTTCATAGAGAAATGGCACATATTTCGCACATAATGAAATACAGAAGAAATCAACTATGAGAGAAGAATCCCAGAATTAACTCAAAAATAGTAAGAGCGGTGGTTAATGAATCTATAAAAAGATACTAACCCATCTGAAGCAATTATTCACATAATCAGCAAAGTATTGGAACCCATTGCCTCTAGTGCACAATAATATCTCATTACTATAGACATTAAAAGTCATATATATATATATACTCCGATGATAAATCAATGGGTTTATGTATCAGGGGATCCCAGGCAGCCTGATTTTTCTGGGTATTGGCCCAAAAACCATATATGCTAATGCATTTATGAATACATTTCAATGAGAAATCAGGGTTACCTATAGATGAAACTGGAGCAGCATGCTCTAGCTGGGCTTGGGTATCTAAACTATAGAGATATGTGTACATGTTTTGATGAGAATTGGAAGTACCAGTGGATACTGGACAAGCCTCATCTTTCTGGGCTTCGGTCACAAAACTGAGCCCAGAAGAAGAGATGGGCCCTGTCCAGCCCATTAACACCATAACGCCAAAAGAAGTAGCAAATTCATACAATAAATATCCAAGTTATCTACCTGTATTATCTTCACTTTACTCATCGCAGGTTCAATAACTCCAGCTTCAAGGTTATTACGTACAGTTCCCTTTAGAAGGTCCAACCCCATGCTGCAAGATGATGAATAAGATCATGAGTAGATAACCCTCAGAAAGAGCGAGAGAGAGAGAGAGAGAGAGAGAGGCTCATTCAAATGAAGAACCCTGCTTTAGTTTCAGCCAACAAAAAAAAAAGGAATAGAGTTGGGGGGTGGGATGGCTTCCAAAAAGATAGATCAACTGAAAGTCATGCCCTAGTTTTTCTTAGTTTTTGGATCCTCTTCAAAAACTGGTTATTTTATGATCCAGACAACTAAATTATATGATTGAAAGATATCTGGAGAGATCCTGCTCATATGCCGCAGTTTGAGCATCATGATGCTTTTCTTTTTTTATTATTGAATTTTCTTTAGAAAATCTCCATTTTCTGAAGATACCGAAGGACTATCAAATCAATCAAAACTTATTCCGAATGAAAAATACCTCGAGAGATGCTTCTCATCTGCTCATCTTATATGGTAAAGCTTGTTATTAGTGTTCCACTTTTTTACATGTTTGAATTTCCCTCTGAAAATGGTTATTTTAGCAAGTAGTCTACTAAGATTCAACAAACCTTGCTCTGATTGAAATATACCTTGAAAGATGCTGCTTATCTGCCTTGGTTTGAGCTGTATGGTGGTAGGCCCGAAGCTTGGCAACCAACTCCGTGGAGTCCTTGGCAGCGTTCACAGCGAGTACCTGGAAGATCTATTATTCAGAACGCATTCTTGGAAACGATCCTGGCCATAAAAAAATAATACAGGGTATCTACAAGTGTATTGTGATGACCTTGGGTATAATCAGAAGAGACTCCGCAAATTCAGCTATTGCCAACTGCTCTCTAGACCCTAGAGTGGTCGCGAGATTCTCCAGATACACAGATAAGGCTGCCTCCACTGCACCACCGCCAGCAACTACCTGCAACCAGGAGAAAGATGAGGGATTATATGGTATATTTCTCATCCTGGAAGCAATCTATATGAAGGTCAGATCATCGAAATAACCTGAACAGATTCAATAGTATATACAATCTAAACTGAGTATGCAGAGAGGGGGGTCTAAGTATGTAGATTCTTAATTAACAAACATTTACATTTTTAGGCATTTATATCTCACTACGTTACTAAATGGGTACCTAAGATCACACAGTGATAGTCAAGATTTTTACGAAAAAGAGCACTAATAACAAGCTTTACCATATTAGATTCGAGAGTTCTCTTCACAATACAAATTGCATCATGCAGAGCACGTTCCATCTCATCGAGCATGAAGTCATTTGCACCTCTAAGTATCAAGGAAACCTGAGATAAGAAAAAAATAGGCAAAAAGAAAGACGTTAGAAATGGAGGTTGTAAGTTTCTAAAATGAATCCGGTTAAGGAACCCGTAAAGAACACAGTGATAAAGAGGAGAGTTACTTACTGCACTGGTATTTTTTGTGCCTTTCAACAGAATCACATCATCATCGGAAATGCGTTCCTCTATCACCTCATCAGCATACCCAATGGATGAGGAATCAAATGTTTCTTCTCCTTCCATATCAGCAAATGTTGTCACCTGAACATAATCAGGAGAGGAGGCGATTAGGAAATCAGTAGCAAAGCAAAATCTACACACATTTACTCTAAGATCTCGGAGATAAGAAAAAAATAATTTAATGATTCAAAAAATAGCGAGAAAAAACAAGCCCTTTTAACCAACTGAATTAATTCCCACAAGTCCAATGTAGTGCATGGTTTCTTCAAAGGGCCATGTACGCATAAATAAGTGGGTTAAGCTCTGTATACTCTGACATTTAGTTAGGAAAATATTTTGGAGATGTCAAGTATCAGTTCTAAAATCTTTTTATTAGACCTGAGGATGTTTGCAAGCTTATAGATAGACTTGAGAAGCGTCTGACGGCAGTTATAGGAAAAAAAAATCTGCTGAAATCCATTAGGAAGAGATTTAACAATGTCACATGAAGAAGAGAATAAAGATCCAGGATACGGCTCTTGAAAAACTGCCGTCTTGAAAACAGCAAGTTATTAAGGAAGGACAGGATAATACATAGAAAAAAAATATACATGCGGACTAAATTGACGCAGATAAAATAAAGAAGGGTCATAGCCATTTCTAGGAAAGGAATTTAGCAGTAGAAAACAAATGCTTGGCTGCTACGGCTTGTAACTGTTCTCATGGACCAAAACCATGAAACTCGCAAGAGAATAGATCCATCCCGTCAGTCCATGACTGGGAATCCAAGGAATGACGGTAACACACAATAAAATCATAATGAGAACACAAACAGGGACAAGAACTAAATGCAAAAGTTGATTGGGAATGTAAGGAATAATGGTAACACACAATAAAATCACAACGAGAACACAGCCAGGGACAAGAACAAGATGGAGAATTTGAACAAATAAGCGTACCACAGTGGCACCAGTAGCCTTGGCAACATGTCGCAAATCCTCCTTCCGTACACGCCTCACAGCAATAGCCCCAGCCTCGACGAAGTACTGAAAATAAATTCAGAGATGTTAACCATGCACAGAATAGTAAGCATGTGAAAGGTGGAAGAGAAAAATATCTGGTTCATATTTAGCCAGAGTCAATTATGAGGAAACTCAAGCAGAGAAAGTCATGCCATAACCCAAGCCTCAATAGGAGCATTAAATATTTTCCCTGCCATAATACAAATAGTAAAAACCATGCCAGTCAATCATGGAATGCATCATCATCGTCGCCATCACTGTCATGCTTCCAAAGTCTCCAAGAAATATGCAATATGTAAAAAACCCAAAGTAAAATATTGCCAATTGTTTTCTACTGAAAACGGGGTAAGGTTTGGACTGATTGTCACAGTAAACCCATGGTCAATATTTCCTGAGCTATGTAACAAACGTAATCATTGAGGATAAAGGCCCTACCTTCAAAGCCATGTCATCTATTCCCTTGCTTGTTAGGATGACATTTGCTCCAGTTTTAAAAATCTTCTCAATTCGTTCCTTCGTCATGTCAGCTTCTCTGTCAGAAGAATAAGGAGAAACCAGCAATCTCATACACCAAAGAAAATAATGTGAAAGAACGTAAAGTGAAAACCCTTTTGTTTCCAGATCATGGCACCCTGGGAGTTAGTCTACTTTCTTCAAAAAACAGCACATAAGGATAGCTTTTAAGTGGCTTCAAGCACAATACAAGATGAATAAGTCACAGATATGCAAAGAAAAAAGTAGACAGGAATATCCCTGATGTCAAAGCCTGATCAAATTGAAGTAGTGCACATCTGACAACAACAAGGTGTGCTTCTGGAAGAAATGTAAACTTGCATAGTTAACTAGTTTAACTTTGGTTGACAAACCCTGTTTCCAAATCACAAATTTCCCTGATCAAGATGGTATAACAATTTTATGTTTCTCTTTTTCGGAACTATTATAATTTCATAAAACAGCATATCTCAAAGAAACCAGACTGCTCATTGAACACACTAAAAAAGTAATTTAATGACATTGAGAGCATAATACGTAACCTGGAAACTTAACCGGGGTTAAGGATTTGCAGATTTTGGAAATTTACGCACAGAAGTTCATTGCAAGTAAGAAGAGAGAAATAGCTCCAAATGTCTATGGATGAGAACAACCTTTGACGGATTTTTTCAAGTTCCCTGGGGTCTGTGACAAGGACTTGTACACCCATCTGCATTTTTGTCTTCTGAAGATTAAAATCAAGGCATGCGATTTTTGCAGGTGCAACTCTGCTAGGCATTCCTTGTGCAGCCCGACCTGTATTTAACGCATAGCCATTGAGCAAGTAGCTATCTTTTGCGCTTTTTCCATGAGCTTTCAGAATATTAATGCCCTGAAAAAAATATTTAACATAAGAAACAGAGGTAATACAGGGGCCAAATGGGCATCAAATGTATATATACGAGTGGGAGTCTCAAGATGTGAAAAGTGCACAATTGCGATTTATCTCAGCAGTGGAATGCCCTTTACTTTCCATTAGAGAGAGGAAGAGGAACTCGGTTTTATGAGTGGCAATGTTATTTTCTTAAAGGGAAAAACCAAAAAGGACTGCCAGAAATTACTAGCAGTATCCAGAGATACCCTCAACTAAATAAAATATTAAAAGACAGCTAGTAAAAAAACCTTGATCGGATATTTGACTTCTCCTCTCGAATTTGTAGTCTTTACTGATTGGACAGCGTCTACAACCTGAAGAAGATGAAGAACAGTTCAAACGATTGAGATAACCAGATGAACATGAACAATAACATGCCACATTTATTGGTTGACGGGAGACTAAGAAACATGCAGCACTGAGCAGATCTATTGACGAAACTCTACCAAACTTCTCTTGTCAGTCATAATGCATAGCTTGATCACGATGGTCAGAAAATCCAGTGATCAAGCACAAGATCCACTTTCCAGCTAAATGTTCTCAATAATTACTTGCAGAGATAAATAGAATGTATCACACAAATTTCAACACAACCTTTTAATAAGATAACCAAGGAATAATGATGCTTAGGGGCAGCATTATGAATGCAGTGGGTCACATGAATAGTATAGTTGCTTCACTTGAATGAAGCAGCTGTATCCAATTTACCAGATTTGCAAAAAAATCACTGTCACTGCTGATCAACTTTGATGACATGCTTGTCTTCGCACAATTTATAAGGGACTCTCTACCCAGCTTTTCCACCTGAAAACACACAAGTATCGATTGTAGGTAAAATAAAAAAAGATGATGACAAAGTGAACTCTAAGAGAGTAATATGACTGACAATGAGAAGTCAAGCATTCTTCAGCAACGCATTACTTACCTTTACAGAAAGTTTCTCATCAACAAACTTGCAAGCTTCCCTCATCGCCAACTGTTCACAAGAAACGTTACACAAAACATCAACCCAAAGAGAACCATGGGCAACATGGAGCTGTGCTCCCCTTTTCTTTTTTTTTTTAGTTGGGAAACAACAACAGGGCATGAGTAACAGGCGAAATGATCCGCAAAAAAATTTACAAAGTAACTACTTCAATAGTCCCAAACTCACCCTGTATCCACTGATGATCGATGTGGGGTGAATCTTGTTCCTCACCAGATCATTTGCTCTCTGTCACCATGGAAATCAGAAAATCATTCTCTGATACCAAATTATAATGGATGACATCGAGAAAAAGAGAACTGCAGCCTAAGCCGAAAAGCTCTAAGGCTACAATTGTATTAGACCTTAAGGAACTCCGCTGCAATGATAACAACTGAGGTTGTGCCATCACCAACTTCTCGATCTTGAAGTTCAGCCAGCTCTACTAGGACCTAAAATTACAAAAAGAGAAAGCCAAACTATAGAGGAGCAAGAGAGATAAGAGAGGTGTAACATAAGCAAGAGAAATGTTTTCAGATTATCAACCTTCGCAGCAGGATGTTCAACTTCTAGCATCTTAAGAATCGTGGCCCCATCATTGGTGATTGTGACATCACCAATGTCATCAACTAACATCTAATAGATTCAAAAAATACCAAATTAAGCCAGCTTACATAAATAGTCATACATTAGAATGATTTAATAGGAAATAAGAAATAACCCATTGACATTACGTTATCAAACATAAAGGTACACTAACACATAAAGGTGCACAGTAGCAAGAAAATAACAGTGAAACATAATAGAAACTAGCAAGAGGAGACAGATGCTCAGCAAAATAATGATACAAGTTTTACAAAAATAACATAGAAATGCGCACATGACATAACAATGAACCCACAATCCTCACAAAGTATAAAGTTCTTGATCATGACCCCCGCAGGTACGTTTTGATTCTGTCTTCCCCGTTTGTACCCCGGACAATCTACCATCTTTCTTCTTACAATCAAGAAGCTCACCAATCCAAAAACAATAGGTGAAGACCTTACATAAATTTTACTGCAGTCCAGGGCATTAAATCAGCCTCTTTTTTCACTCGCTCCACTCAATTTGTGTGACTCATGGTGCATAAAAAGGTGATTACAGGATTCTGGGTCCGACCCCTCAAGCAACTCTCTGGGATGCTTAAATGGAAAGAGGAGCATTTTTGAGAGGAAAGTGGCCCGCCATGATTGGGTTCTCATTTCGGATGAGTCATAGGATCAAAGAAGGGGAAAGATTTTTCTGTAGGATGGAACGAGCGGATTTTCTTATTTTATTTTGGGGGAGTCTAGACCAGAAGTGATCTACAGGGGTTCTCCAGACTAATATTCTGGCTCAGCTTGTACATTTTCTCCCTTAAATGAATGGTTATGGTACCATCCACCTTCCAAAATACATTCCCCAATACAGAATCGGTATTCTAGGGAATCCTTGGCTTAAGCTTTGTAGTGTTATGACTTCAAACAAGTCAAAGGCATTTTGAAGCACATGTGGACCAACGAACCAGAAAAATCTCTGAAAGTCGGAAATGAATTACCACACACGAAATCTTCTGACCAACACACGAAACAGATCAGACAAACGGCAGTAGAAGCAGAAGCGAGACTCGGTGATCCCATTACCTTGTCAAGGCCGACCGGTCCAAGAGATGACTTCACAATGTTTGCCACAGACTGACAGGCCACCACTGCTCACAGAAGCTCCCGAAAAAGGAGAAGAAAAACGATCAGAATGCCGGCTATTAACAAGCATAATCAAAGTAAGAAAACAAAACAGCCACTTGTAGACGTTCACATTCATTCTGCTAGGGTTTTCATCTCAGAAGTGAGCTGCGCCTGACAGTGAGACAACTCCGAATGGGAAACTACAGTGAAAGCAGGGTTTTACGAAGAAGAAGAAGAAGATGACGATGGTGATGAAGAGGAGGAAGAGGAAGAGGAAGAGGAAGGGGAAGAAGAATAAGAGGTTCACCATTCTGGGTGCGAACATCCTGGCCGGACTGGCGGTCCCCAAGGATATCGGGGGTCTGTGCTGCGATCGCCATTGCGGAAACTTGAAGTATACCTCCCTCCGCCACACAACTCGGCGCCGGGGCGAGCGAGCAACTTGGAAGAGAGAAGGGAAAGCAGAAGTCGGAGAACCGAAGAAGGCGGCAGCAAGAAGCGAGCCCTTGTTCTGACTGCTTCCGGAGTTCTCTCTCTGTTCTCTCTACCTTTCTCTCTCTACCTCTCTCCCTCTCCCTCCCCAAGCGAGGGAGCAAAGCAAGGGTTTTTCATTGGCGCCGCGATACACTGGGCCACGTGCGGAGCTCGTCCACAAGGGGGGGGGATCCCACGTGTGGAATCAAGGGCTAAGATTCGACGAGCATTGTGGGCTCACCAAGATGTGATCAAATCTCCACCGCGGGGTTTCGATCCAACGGACGTGATAAGAATCCATAATTATCAGACGAGACGACAAAAGATTTGTCGTAATACCATTAGAAAATAAGTTATATTTATTTTAATAAAAAAACCAAGGAGAGATTAAGACGTCAGATCGGAAACCTGGACCGGTCTTGGCCACCCGATCAGCCAAATGATTTACGATAATACCCTGATTAATTTAAAGACAATCAGAAATACAATTTACGTAAACTGGAAAATATATTTTCAGTCAAATTATTCAATAAAGATATAAAAAATCGAATCAACCGACATGTCAACGTCAAAGCCCGAAAAATATACACCGGCCCGCTCCTCGCAGAGCCCGTGTTTGGCCCGAAGTTTTATCACCTCCGGTGGGACCCGAGTGTCACATTGCATTCCCAGACAGGCTCAGTCAGAATCTGAGCCCCACCATTTGGGTATAAATGGGCCGGGCCGGGCCGGAGTAAACGGGCCCGAACAGTTCTTGTTCACACCTCGCAGCAAACGGGCATATATACTGCCTGAAGAGCTTAAACTAACATCAAAAGTTGTACAGAAGAGAGAGAGAGAGAGAGAGAGAGAGAGCACAACAGAGTAATTCCCAAACTGAGACCACAAGGTCTAAGAGGCCCCAGAGGAGGACACCCTTCTCTCTCTCTCTCTCTCTATAATCCTGAAGCCGGCCCAGATAAAAGCCCAGGTGAACCACCCATCTAGACATGAAACCCTGATCTCCTCTTCCAACACAAGAGAGAGAGAGAGAGAGAGAGAGAGAGAGAGAGAGAGAGAGAGAGAGAGAGAGAGAGATGTTACAGAGGGCCTGAAATGGTTGGGTCTAGATGATCTTATTTCGGATGTCCTCGAGCTTCTTGAGGATCTCACCGGGAGTTCTGTCCAGTTCATCGGCGATCTTCCTCTGCAAGTCCGGGGTCAGGGAGGGGAACTGCTCACAGAGATCCCCGTCGATCACATCCTGCACAGCAACCATTCCCCACCTTCAGATCACCCTCATAATAAGGAATAACGCAGGAAAATTCACTGACCAGAGCATTTCAAGAATAATTCCTCAGAGATGCAGAAAAAAAAAATGACTGCTCACAGAGATTAGAAAATTTTCGGAGAACTTTGGAAAAATCATTCATTAGAGATGCAGATGCAGCAAAAAAAATGACTGCTCACAGAGATTGGAAATATTTTTGGAGAACTTTGGAAAAATGTCTGCCCACAGAGATTGAAAATATTTCTGGAGAACTTTGGAAAAATGACTAACCAGATGCAGGAAAAATGTCTGCTCAAAGAGATTGGAAAAATTGTTTGTCCAACAGTTACCTACCCTTACATATTTTATAGCAATTTTATTCAAATAAAGGCTTGAAAATAGTTCTTGTGGGCCAGAAATTAGCCTATTTTTTACCTTTAATAGAAAAAAATATAATTAAGCTAGCACGCCATTCAAGCAGGCATGAATGAAGGATGAGAGTGTAGAACCCTAAAAGAAACAGCTGCTGGAAGAATTTTTGAGTTTTCCAATACGAATTCCTAGCAATTGCCTCCCCCTCAACATTTTACAAAAAACTTTATTCAGATAATAAAGTTAAGAAATAGCTCTGTTTCCATTAATCACCAACCTTCACAGCTTTTTGAAAACTTTGTTCATAACTAATCATGAAAATAGCTGTTTTTAGAGCAATTATCCTATCCCACATTGTGCGTTCTACAAAAAAAGAAATTATTCATATTGAAACTACCCAACCCCGTTGACTTATTCATATTCAAGCATAATGATTCAAGGATGAGAGTCAAACATAAGCGCCAATATCGGTATATCAAGTTATCCATCCAGGGAATAAATGGCAAACTAACACCGGAGAAGCACTCACCTTAACAGGGAAGTAGGCAGACCTATACGCCATGTGGTCCCTGCCACACAGTGGGGGGTGCTCCTGCCGTATGTGCATCTCCAGGTGAGAGAAAAAGTCAACGTCCTCCCTTGAGGTGAATGGAAGCATGGCCCCCAGGCTCCCCATCACCGTCCCATAGATCAAGCACTCACCGCCGCCAGGTATCAGTGAAGCCTTCTGAAGGCATGTGACCACATCCCCGATGTGGAACTGCACAATCTCCTCCACCTTATTGGGGGCCCCATTTAGCTTCCCTTGCTCCCACTTAATCTTGCCACCTGTCGGGTCCTCCTCGATCTCATCGGACACGTCCTGCGGTAGCCGGGCAAAGAAGATGTTTCCAAATTTGTCGGCACCAGCCACCGTGTCAAAGTCAATGTGGTGGGCTGCTGTGAGCCACCGTGGGACGGAGTCATCAGCAAAGACATAGAGCTGGTTCTCATCCCTCCGGTACTTGCAGTAGTGGAATGACTGCAAAGAAGCAGCAGGTTTCATTGGTCAACCCCATCTTGTAGACGACAATCGAGATCTAATCATTCAATAAAATAATGAAAAATCATAGTTTTGGAATGGTCTGCTGGCCCCCAAAAAAAAATAATTTTCTCATTGAACAGAAGGAAAATGTGCGCTTCACAGATAATAATTTTGCAGAGAAGATTGGGGAGATGGGAACTAATCTAGTGGCTTCCAACTTGTAATGACTTCTCCAAATATCTACGAGAAGTTGAAAATTATTCGGATTTTTAGGCCGTTTTTAGACCGTTCCCCCTTCAAAGAAATGAGTAATCTTTAAGAGGAAAATGTTCGGATTTCATTGAGTAGGTAAACTTTGCAATATCAGTGATACAACTTTGTAAATTCTTCCTTCATTGATGATGACTTTGGGATATCATAGTATGAATAACATAATTTTTTGAACATTTTACACGGCCAAAAAGAATTTAGAGAACCCTATTTCCAGAACAGACAGTCATCGTTGTTTACATCTATTTATAAATAATGTTCCATTGAAGTCCTCGCATTAGATCGTCTGGTTAATTTTGCAACATGAATCAAAAATTGGAAATGCAGAAATATATGTACTATACGTTTACCACAGAGACATCCTATGACTTACACATCTCACGCTTCAATGAAAAATCAAATATCTTTGAAAAATGGAAGAGATAAAAGATGTCCCAATGTAAGGAAATGCTTTGAAAACAGAAACCCTGCTGCCTTGCTGCCATGATACCAACAATGAAATAACTACAGAAAAACTAGTGTAGAGATAGATGATGTGTGGGCATCTTACAAAGCTTGAAGGAAACATATATCATATCTACCTTTATGTGAAACATTCACATCAAGATATTGAAAGTTTTAAGGGATCCCTTGGTTTTGAAAATTTATAGGACCAGAGGGAAACCAAACCACAGCAGGATTAGCTCGTTTGAGAGGTTTTCTGGCAAAGTTGTGGTGTACATGTGTTTGTAATTAATAATCGATAAATATAGGGATTATTGCATAATTCTAGGAGTTTCTTTTTAATAGATCATTTTGAAATAAATATATTACAATCATATCATCTTAAACTCTATAGTATAGTTAAGAAACTAAGAAAAATCATAAAGCACGACCAGAATTGTATTCCGCAGTCTTATACTACCAATTCCTTTCTTCCCTCTTATTTCAAACGGTTCCCGAACTGGGTTCATCCGTCATTCTCAAATACGTCGTTTGCAGCTTTTTGTCCACTTTCACAATTCGTGATTGACAATCTCATGAATCATTTTATGAAAATAATAAGTACAAGAAATCTAGCCTAAGTCAATCTGACTCTCCAACAGCAAAAAGGTCAATAACTGACAAAACAGGAGCCCAATACTGACCGTGCAGACAATTCAGATTTGCACATCCCCAAATGAATCTCATCTAAGCAAAGATACTGCATACACATCTGTAAATTCCAATCAAAACATGAAACAGTGATAATACTCCTAATAAGATCTAGATTTCATTCATTATCTCCAATAAACATCCACAGAGGTGCTTAAGCGAGGACTCCTAGAGAAATCTCTGCTGGCGCTATGTTCGAATTTCGAATTCTCTGAAGGTCCTAGCTCATGCACGAGAAATCATGTGCATCCACCTCCAACCTTGCACAGCAATTTTCATCAAAGGACCATGTATGACACGAGTTATGAGCATATTTTTCCTTTTCACAATGTGTAAATATTGAAATATGGCATAGAAAACAGAGCGACATCCCTTTAACATAAAAGCAATATATGCCAGTGAATCCAGCTCTTCAAAAGTGAATAGAATTTCCAGGCCACTAATCTCCTGACTGATTCAGGAGAAAACCTTGAACAGATTTCCATGGAGTGTAAAGAAAATAGACGATGAAAATGCAGGTTGGATATAGCTACTGCTATGAACCATCAACACATAAATGGCGTTCACCATCCCAATAAAGTCTCATAGAATGCGGTTATAGGAAAGCACAGTACATATTCTGAGAAGAATATGGGTATCCGTCCCATAGAAGGGTAGGAGTGGCACGTGGAGAGATCACTACGAAGAGCCAAACTAGCACTAGGCAGCCTACAGTCTGCTGAGTTGATTTCTAAAAAAATATAAATATGAACGGATATGCAATTAGCAAATCTGGTTAAGACTGACTGATCCTCGGTAACAAGTAACACAAAAAAATACTAACGATATTATAATGCTAAACCAAGAATTGAAGAATTATCGCATGTTCGGACACTGGCAGGCATCAAAGCATATGTACATAAATATCCTAATGTGAACATGTAGTTACCTCTTGAATATCACCAACGTAGATCCTGTCTCGATAGGTATGAATAGACATGATGGTATTTGGGAAAAGCTTGTTTTCACATTTCCTCAGTAATCGCTTCTTGCCAAGCTCATACAACCTAAGAACAGGCCCAATACCAGCAAGAAGCCTCCCTTGGAATTGGCAAAGGGCGAGAGGAACACCATCCACTTGTGTCTTATGCAACAGCTCAAGCCCCTTCCCGTCATCTATAAACCTATATATATGTATAAAGCCACCAATGAGACTCTTCCTGGGCAAAAACTGCAACCCTTTAGCTGTGCCAACAGCCAGGAGTGTCCCGTGTTCCTTATCATGGAAATTCACAGTGCAAACACTGAATGCTGCTTCATTATCCTGAAGTTCTAATATAGATGTTGTCTCACCTGTCCTCGGATCAAGAACCCTAATGCAGGACACCCACTTATCAGACACCGCCTTTGGGTAACCATACTGTTCATCCGAAAGAGGGTCTTTTTCTTCATCATTGTCCCCACCACCATTCTCCATCTGATCGCCATTGTTTGCAGTTCCATTTTCACCAATGCCAGTGGCTTCGAAAAACACCTTCTTGTTTTCCTCTCTCTCCTGTGCAGTGAAAGCCCCCTGGTCGCTTTCAATTATAACTAAGTGCTTCTTCTTGGGCACAAGGACAAATTTCCGGGGTGTATACCTCAGTGGGATGACTGTCTCATTAAATGTCTCTCCCAGGCGCTCAATTGTGAAAACTCTCAATGCTTCCCCAGCAACTGCAACTACACCTTCAGCGCACTGATCTGATGAGAACGAAGATGCATATTCGAGGGTCTCATAAGAGAGGGGCGTTAACAAAAAACGACCCTGGTGAATATATCCAAGCCAGGGCCGGCTAGACAAGCAGAGCATTGCTTGGCGTCCCCTGACCATAGCAGAAAAGAGCTTTGGCGGCTTTAAGCCGAGGAACCGAGACCGCGTGTCAGACAGTTGACCAGTGACCATATCTACCACAGTCCTGAAAAGCACACCATTTTGGAGACCAGCATTGAGGAAAACACTGGCAGGGTGGTCCGCACCATCTTCTCCCCCAGTTGAGGCCTTCACCTCCAGCAACAGCAGAGACTCAGGGGGTGAAGACACACTCTGCACGCTCAATATCTGCATGCAGTCATCGGGATCCAAAGACAGTATCCGGATGGTGTTGTCATATGACCCAACGGCTAGAAACCGAGATCTCTGCCTCCCTTCGGGAACTGGGGCAATATCTAGGCAAGCCACATCACCGGGCATCTCATGCTTCTCCACCTCCATCAGCTGACCTGTTATATCCATCTCAAAATAGATAAGCTCCCCACCGCTGAGGGCAATTACAACTTGCTGCCTATTCGAGCCGACTTTGACAATGGTTTTCTTTCCAGGTGTCTTCCACTCGTTGATACGGCCGTCCTCCCTGATATGCCGGATGCCATTGGGGTGAACCTGCATCAAAGAGTCCTCCCCAAGCAGGGACACTGCAAGGGAGGGTGTGGTGTCAAGGAATCCACTGTCACTAACTTCCTCAACAGTTTCACCAATGGAGAGCACAAGGGTGGCGTTGGTGAAGGACACAACGATATATGCATCAAACTCATCGTTCACATTCTTCTTGACTGTCCAGACAGCACTTGGTGTGCCCGGCAGCTGTGACACCGCCATCTCACTGATGGCCAGACCTGGGCGGAGTATGCGGAGCGAAGATCGAGGACCTCGTCCACAGAGCGTAAAGACCTGTGGAGTCTCCTCTTCAAACAGATTTGTAACCTTCATGTCCATGATGGGCATGAGGCTCTCAACCTGGTCGATTCGCAACAGGTTTTTCAGTGGGCGGGGCTGGAAGAAGACCGGCTGGAATCCCTCCTCCGTCTCCATGAGCGTGGTAGATGAGGCCTCCACGTCAGGCCCATCCCCAATGGACTGAAACTGGTAGAGGGCATGGTTACCAAACTCGGAGGCAGCGAAGAGGAATCCCGTCCTGAGAACACACATGGCCGAGGTAACTGGAATAGTATCGAAATACTTGATCTTCAGCTCTTTGACACGCTCCCCACCTTCATGGTCGAGTGTGACCTTGAAAATATCCCCGTACTCGGTCTGTAGAAGGAAGAAGAAGAGGCTCTTCTGGCGGTGGGTGGCAGCTGAGACCACCAGCACTCCCCTCTCAGCAGGCAGGTCATCACGGCGGGGTATGACGGCGCGTACATCGGGATGACCCTGGTTTTTGTAGATGACAAAATTTTCGGCGCAGACAAGAACCCCTCCAGGGCCATCGCCACCACCAGGCACAGTGACGAGCAAATTGGCCCCATTATCCACTGGCTCCGACCATTTCCGAGAGACGTGATTCAGTCCAAGGTCGAGCTCGTAGAAGGTGAGGTGCTTCTGAGCGTCCGCAGCCGCCTGGCCGGTGGGATCCAGGTCAGCCTCCGAGTAGTCAAGCTCCACAGCGGCGAAAATGGGGTTGTCGAAGCCGCAGTCTATACCCGTAACCGAGTAGCAGATAACGTGGCTCTTGTGGGCCTCTAGTGGAGAAGAAATGGTGAGGCGGGCGGCGGCATCGCGATTGAGGACGTAGACGAGCTTCTGCTTCTCGCAGGCGGCAACCATCACTGCCCGACCCTTCGGATCGACTGCCAAGTACTCCCCGGGGACGATACGGCGGCACCCTGATTTGCCGAAGGTTTCCTGATGGACCTTGTCGAAGCGGGCGGCGGCGACGTTATACTCGAGGATGACGAGGCGGCCAGAGTCCGACCCGACGACGAGGTAGTCCTTCTGGGAGCCGGTGAGGCGGAACTGAGCCAGTGACCTAATCGCACCGAAGACCTCGACGGAGTGGAGAATCTGGATCCGGCCAGCCTCATCAGGGCGGAGGAGCTCCAGCGTCTTGCCGCGGGCGACGACGATCTCCTGCGTCTTCCCCCCCACGAAACTACCATTGACGGCGCAGACCACGCCAGTGGCGCGCTGCAGGGTGAGGCTGTAGAGGTACATGGCAGCTCCTGCCGCCCTCCCTCCTACCTGCGGCCAGTAACTCCAGGAAGCACAGAAAAGCCACCGAAGACCGCAAACCTTCACACCCGACAACCTGCGAAGAAGGGAGAATGGAGGAGATCAGCTTCCTCCTCCCCTGCAGATCCTCGCTAGGGTTTCTCCCAGTTCGGTTTCCGCCAAGGTTTTGTAGACAAAACGACGGTTCTTTGAGAGAGAGAGAGAGAGAGAGAGAGAGAGAGAGATTTGGGCCTCTCATTCAAATATTTGTAAGGCCCTGATTATTTTGGACCGGCCCATTATCACTTCCAGATCGGCCCGTGCGAATAAACCCAACAAACTAATTGTATAACTCTTTAATGAACCTAAAGGAAGCTTTTTAATGAAGCTGTAAAATAAAAAATTGCATTCATATCCCTAAATGTTTGATATCTTTGCTTGGAAAATTGTCGGGCCCAAAAAAACACTTTGAGGAGAGAGAGAGAGAGAGAGAGAGAGAGAGATTGGGTCTGTTATTCAAATATCTTTAAAGGCCCTGATCAGCTCTGGCCGGCCCATTATCACCTCCAGACAGGTACAGCCAGACCGGCCCATAAGAATAAACCCAGAAAAGGGATTTTTATAACTTTTGTACCAACTATTTATCTTTATTCGTTGTCGTGTCTTGGGTCGGTTGTATAAAAGCTTTGGACGAAGTTATAAAAGAAACTTATGCACTCATATCCCTATAGGTTGTAGATATCTTGGCCTCTAAACTTGTTGGGCCCGAACTTTATCTCGAGCTATATTAGCCTCGGCCCGGCGGCCCACTAGTGCTTCTAGTTAGGCACAGCCAGGGCACAGTGGATAAATAAGTCCACTAAAGGTAAGGATATAACATTTTTAACCATAAATATTAGATTTCCAGTTTCGGATGGGGTCCACCTTTCAAACCTCCAAAGGCCCAAAGTCAGACCCAGACCATCCGTCAAGGTTAGGCTTGACCCAACCCGTTGACATTTCTATTAATGAACAAGCAAACATTGCCTCTTTCTACCGTGTAAGCAACATCTAATAGGCAATAAAAGTGGCTTATAAAATCATTAAAAAATGTTTTATGGTGAGAAATTGGTAGATTCATCAGGATAATAAAATTCTTATTAATTCGCGGTTTTTCTAATTATAATTATTCATAAAAAATCCCTTTAAATATGAAATATAATAGATAGATGCACATAATCCCGCAAGGTTTGTGGAGTAATTCTCATGAATTGTTTTCTTAATTTCCTGCATTAAAAGTAGTTGACTAATTATTTGATGATTATAAATAATTTTTAATATAATTTCCATGAATCATATGAGACATAAAAAATTAATGGTTCTAAAATGCTTGGGAATATTTGATTGATTTTAAGGTTTTATTTACTCCAAACTATTTCTTCCATAATACATCCTCTTCAAGTCCTAGAGATTTAGTCAAACAAGGTGTCCTAGTTGGCTCTCTCATTGCCTCACGGAGTGCCTTCGCATTAATCATTAAAGGGTTGCTAGATACCATCTTTTTACTATAAATGACAAGGTTTGACTTTATCAATATGGGATTAAATGAAACGAGAGAGTTGGTAAAAGTCAACAAATATATAATTTATAATTGAAAAAATAACATGATGTTAACAAATGATAAGACAATGGGGGAAGTGGGCTTTGGGTAATTTTGACCCATTTAAGCCCCTGCCACTGTCTATGGATAGCCATCAGATTCCCAACTTTGGGTCTGATACCATCAAATCGGACCTATTTTTCAAGCTTGCAATCATCTTCCTTGTCGGAATCTCATACACAACTCTCTCTCTATCTCTCACACACTCAGGGTAATTGGGTTGACTTGCATTTCGTCGAACAAGTGGCGGGCGGTATTGTCTGCCAGCTGCATTTGAATCGTAGACAAATGAGTGGTTGAAGTTACAACGTCGGCGAACCATCTACATGCAGTAGGCGGCGGTGCCGCCGTCCTTCATGAGGATGATGGCGGCGGCGTAGTGGGCCACTGCGCCGGCGACGACGAGGATGTGGAAGATCTGGTGGCTGTGTCCCGCAAGGTCAAAGCCCCCAGGCCGCCACCTCTCCGGGACCCTCGTGACGTAAAACAGCGTACCGGTGGCGTAGAACGCCGCCATGCAGGCCTCCCAGGCCAGCGCCGCCGGCCGGCGCGGGTCTTCCCAGTTGGCTACCGCGCCGTGGACGGCGGGGACCACGCCGGAGAAGGCGGTGGCGAAGAACAGCGTCGCCCGCAGTGACCGGAATTCGCCGCTGGACAGGCGTGGCGAGAAGAGCGTGAACACGGTGGCGGCGCCCATGGCGGTGACGGTGCCTAGATAGACGAACTGCCAGTGCGGCTCGCACTGGAAGACGTAGTAAATGGGCGGGAAGAAGGAGGCCACGATCATGACGGCGATCCCCACGTAGTCAACACGGAGGAGGAAGATGGTCAACCGTTGGGAGTGGCAGCAGAAGAGGTGGCAGCAGGTGCTCGACATCAGGCAGAACATCGCCCCCCCTAGGAAGACGAAGAACGGCCACCGCGCCGTCGCCTCAACGCCGCCGTCGCCGCTTTCCAGATTTGGCAAAGTCAACGCCTCCTGCAGAAACGCCCGTCAGATCCAGATCAACAATCTCTCTCTCTCTCTCTCTCTCTCTCTCTCTCTATAGAATATTTACTCACAGCGAAGATGGCGCCTTGAGTCAAGGTCACGTTGGAGCTTATCGTGGAGAAGGACCTGCGCCACCACGTGGTTAATGCTATTAGAATCAGTAATACTGTCTAGAGAGAGAGGGGGAGAGAGAGAGAGAGAGAGCGAGATCTTCCGCTGAAGATACGATTTGATGAGGGCCACATATATTCCAAGATTATGGGTAATATATATGGATATAAAACATATGAAAGAATTAATCAACAATCTTCGGCCACGCAGATAGATTTGACAGATTCGGAGGTTGGATCGGAGGGAGAGGTGGAGGGAATTCTTGGGGTCGTTGACTCACCATGAGAAGTTCTGGAGGAGGACCTCCACCTCCGGGACTTGGTGGAGATTCGTCGCCGTAAGCCACACGAACAGGGCGAACCCTACCAGGTGTCTGAAATAGAAAGATCCCAGAGATTAGACGAAGAACGGAGGACGGAGAAGGAGGAGGAAGAAGAAGAAGACGAGAAGGGGGGGGGGCTGAGAGAGGAGAAGAAAGAGGACGGAGAAGAAGGAGAAGACGGGGAGGAAGGGGTAGAGAGAGAAGGTGGACGGAGGAGAGAGAAGATGAAGAAGAAGGGGAAGACGGGGAAGAGGGGGTAGAGAGAGAAGATGATGAAGAAGAGAAGACGGGAAGGAGGGAGGGGGTAGAGAGAGAGAGAGGAGAAGGAGGAGAGAGAAGACGAAGAAGAAGGAGAACACGAGAAGGGAGGGGTTGGAGAGAGGAGGGAGGAGAGAGGAAGACGGGGGCTTACGTCCAGACGTTGAGGGTCTCGTTGTGCCATCTGAAGAGACTGAGGAGGGCGTGCTTGATCGACCATTCCATTCGGTAATGGCCGCGAATGAATTCGTTCTCCTTCATGTACTCCGGCAGCTCGTCGAAGGTCACCAGGCGGGGCTCCGCCTCTTCTCTCTCTTCGATCTTCATCGTCGTCCTCTTCTCCGCCAAGTCACCGGCGAGAGGAACACAATCGATACCTCCGTTGCACATCGTGATGGCCGCTTCCGCTTCCGCCGCCGCCGCCGCCGCCGCCTACTCTCCTGCTCCGCCTGTCTCCGCCTCTTCACTTCAATTACGACAATCCTCTCTCTATCTCTATTTCTCTCTCTGGATTTCTGTCTCTTTCGTTCTCTGACAGAAGTAGCAGGAATGCCGATCCCTCCACCACCCAATCTACTGACTCGTTCACGGAGCCGCTCCCCTCCCCTCCCCACCCACGAGCTGCACTGGCAGATCTCGAGAGAGAGCAAGCAAGGCCCCCTTTTTAAGCCACCTCGAAATGGTCATTAACTGCGCCTTCGGGTTTTCCAACTGCGTCATTCATATGCTCCCCCACCCCCTCTCTCTCTCTCTCTCTCTCTCTCCCCTCTGTGGTTCCTCTACAAGGAGACACGAAGACGACGAATGCTGGTCCAATTACTTCGTACACACTCTCTCTCCTCCTCATACTCTCTCTCCCTCTCTCTCTCTCTCTACCGCACAGAAGATGAATGCTGGCACAATTATTTCGTACAATGTTTAACCATTAAAAACAGCCCCAAAAACCGGGTCTTTTTTGTCATAATTTCCACGGGTGGGGGAGCAACCGTGAAATATGGCAGACCCATCTTGTAGACGGCAAACGCAAGGTAGATGACCCGTTCTTTGACGGGACGGACGCCTCGATCACGACGGGTTGAGCCATTGAGTGCAAGGAACTCCTCCCCACATCACACCCGTTCACATAAATCTCAACGGTGGAGATTCCTCCTCTTACTTCTCTCTCCCATAGATAGATCCTGCTGTGAATCAGTCAGATCTCGGTCAAGACCGCCCTCCCCCTCACTGATGGCTCGACATGGCTACGATCATGCCACGTGTCAATGGGACCCACTAGTCAAAGTTGGACCAGACCGGTAATCAGACGATGGATATTCAATGCGTCGTTCCATATGATGAGCTTGATGACAAGGATGATGGGGGTCACTACTTTCTCTCTCTTAGGGTTTTTCTATTAATGTGGAGGCGGCGTTGGGGAGACGGTCGACCATCAAGTCTTGGAGGAGAGGGGCGGCGGCCGACCCCAACGGCGGCGCCGTCCCCTCCTCTCTTTTGATGACGGCGTGTTCGATGAACACACGTAATTTTGCCCTTTTGGGGACGCAAAACAATACATTTACGTATTTCCATACTAAAACATTTATTTATGTTTATACACCTCCTTCTCTTAGACGTCCAACAACCACCACTTTCTTCCTCCGATGAAGACGTCTAAAGAGGCGGGTCCAAACGTTATTTTGCCTCAGCTTACGTGATGACCTTTATAAAGAGAGATTTATTTATGTGACCCTTTCAGTCTGTCTACCAAGGACTCCAATATTAGTGATAAATTACTTCAGGGCCCCTGATCTCAACGTGTTCCAATAACGTAGGACCCTGGGTGAGTATTCTTCCCTCTTAGTGAGCTACGCTTTCATGACAGAATTATCTTTATTATTGTTTTATATTTTAAATGCCCTCACTTAGGGCAACGAAGACACGCAAGGAAGGAGAGATCCATACGTAATTACCTTTTCAGGGGAGAAATTAAAATAAATTTCGAATTGACCTTGAAAGATATTTATTAGACTATTATATTTGTGTCTCTACTGGTCAATTTTTTTTAATTACATGATACGGTTTGGTGTTAATAAATGCACGGTCATTCTGTTTGGTGGCTTTTTCCAGGTTTGTTGAACCACCCCTGATGAGGAAAGGTAGGGAATGACGTAATTTTCGATTTTCAAATATTCATAACTTTTTCACTACGAAATTTCTAATAATATGCATATTATAATCTCCTACTAATTTCAAAATATTTAAATAAATTGATGTAATATTGCTTTTGCAACCTCGTATGAAAAATAAATAAAATTCAACATAGTTTACGATAAATGGGGTTAATTTTATAAATAAAGCGTATTTTTATAGGTGAGTATATAAATAAATATGATTTCAATTAAATGATGGTATATAATACGTTAAATTACTGAGATTTGAAGTGATTGAGAGGACATGATGAGGAAACTATGTCAACATTGCACAGGAGATTGACCCGTGCAACCGTTGAATTGAACCGATTTTTTTATTACACGTGGATATTTACGTGGATAATGTTGTCAGCTGAGGGATGCATGACAGCTGGCAGCCAACCCAGGCCAGTCAAGTACACTGGTGACTCAATTATTAGTGCTGACTGGGACCAGCTGCTGGAAGATTCCACGATAAAATTCTCCGGTCTTCTCGTACAACTTTCACGGGATGCCTCTGTGGGGTAGCGGGCATGGCGCAAGCCTCAAAAGGCCCCGCCAGGGATTGCACGTAGGAAACGGGCTTTGAGTCCAGATCTATTTATGGGTCGGGCTTTTGCACAGGTCCGGCCCGTTATCGCTCTTAATGCTACTAGCTGAGTAAGATGGAGGGTCAAGGGAATGATTTAGACTCGTTTTTATTTAATGATAAATACTATTTAAAATTAAGGTGATACATTAAATATGATGTGATGGTATTAGAAAAGAGGAGATTATTTGGTATTATGTTTATATAAAGGTTTGCATGCAATTGTCTAATTTCACTGGGGCTAATAATTATTTTCATTTTCGTGCTTCCCACTTGTTAGAAGCTGTACATCCCCCTCTACAGGGGGGCTGTCGGCCGCCGAGCCTGGCTTGTCATCATTGACTCGCCCGCCAACTCATCCACTCTGTGGGAAAACCTTCCTCAAATAGGTCAACCCTCGGTTGGGTTCGCAGAGGGTGGGTCAGCGCGTAACGTCCCATACCTGGTGCGTCCTCTCCCATCCAGATGCAGCTCCCAACAGCATGGCAGTGAAGTCATTCCCTGTGAGTCCACAAAGGAAAAGTCAAACCTATAATATGGTCAACACGCTTCAGTGTCTGCCAACTACTTGAAGAGAGTTGCTCTAAATGAAGACGGCCAACGGATAAGGATTGTCCGTTTAATAACAAACTTAGTCATTTAATGTCGGAATGGTCAGAGAGGCAGAACGAGAGAGTGGGTGGGGAGAGAGAGAGAGAGAGAGAGAGAGAGAGAGAGAGAGAGAGAGAGAGAGAGAGCACCCTTCCTGTTCTCTCTCTATGTACATATGCGTCGGGAGTTCGGGGAGGCCCAATTAGCCCTATATGTTTGGGGACTCAAAATAAAGCTTAGAGCGAGAAATAGGCCTGGAGTCACTCTATCTGATCTCATTCAGGGCTAGGCCATTTGCTCAAGCAACGCCTAGCCTTGAAGCTACGGCCCTAGCGTACTCATTTTCTAGGCTCCATAGAGGCAACCACTCATTTAATGGGACAGGCCATCTTTTTTCCTCAACCCTTCTCCCTCCCTCTCCTCCTATGAAGAATAATAGCTTTCTATGCGTCTATCAGTGTAATCAGTTTCAGACCCATTAAAGATGATATTAGACTATTTATTCCCCAATAATTAGTTATGAGCTGAATGGGATAGAGCTTCATACCTGATACAGGAGAGCTCAAGGCCGTTAGATTTGACTGTATTATAGTCAAACTACATTTAGTCTGATGTCCCAGTAATCTAACATAGTCAATATAATATTTTCTGAGGTATTAAAAATGCCCAAAGGACCTGGCATTAATTTTTTTGGTTAGGTTACTTGTCACTGCTCGAAAGTTGTTGGGTGTAAAGTTTTGGTGGGTTCTTTAAGAAAGTCAACTTATAGTGGAAATTATTCTTTTTAAGACCCTCCTATTTTATTTTTTAAATTATGTTTAAGTTTTGGAATATTTCTGAATGGGATTTGTAAACAAAATGAGCTTTATTGATCAATAATGAGATCATCTCACCTAACTAATTGATTTTTATAAGACTTGCATATATTTCTTTATTTAAGGACATGTGATGCTATAGATTGTCAAATGAAAATTTACCAACTAGAATGAGGATTATCTGCATTCAATTGAAAAACGCAATTGATGATAAATCATTGGCATTATGCCTGATCTCATAGGACGGTTCATCCCTAAAAGCATAGTGTTGAATGCCTAAGGAACTTCAATCAGCTCATCCTTCCTTTTTTATCCATCTTAAGTAAAAAAGAATTTGATAAATTATCTGCATTCGTGGATAGACTGGGACTATATATTTGGTGAGAAAAAACAAGTGCAGTCAACATTCTGACGGTGGTCAACTCAAAAAGGGATTTATAGGAATGATGGTAGAAATCCAACAAATTTATTTCGGTATTGATGCAAGTCAATGTAGCTGAAATGTCCTAAATGTCCAACTCGAGACTTCATATTGACTGATTTACTTCTAGTATTTTTCATTTATACAGGTTGGTGAGGCATTTCTGCTCATTTTCATAAACACATTATGATCATTAGTAATATCACTTCTCAACTAAAGTTGACAGATTTCATATTAACTTATTTTCACAATTCCTATGGATGATCCATCTTCAAAATGAAAGAGAAGATGGAAGATGTCAATGCTGTAATTATTAAATGAATGAGACTATAAACATTATGGGAAAATCCCAAAGGACAAGGAAAGACCTAGCTTTTATCATATGAATGAAAAATGGAAAATACTTCTTCCAAAAGAACTTAAATTTCAAGAAAAAATTGCTCATAAATAGATAAATGGACGAACACAAAATGCAGTCTCTATTGTTTTGTATATGAAAATTCTTTTTGAGTTGATTCTGATAGTAAAATAAAAGTTTACGAAATAAATACTATAGTTGGCAAGCCAAAATGAAGAGATAGTTAAGCTGAAGTAGGTGACTATATAGAGCATCAGATTTGTTCCTATATGATGAAATATTTTAGAACTTTGAGACTCATTTTAAGCCTTGATTATATCATTAATCTATAAAGTTATTTATAAAATATAAGATGACAAGAATAAATAATAGTGGCATAAAAGGAGCACACATTATAAAGGAGAACACAAGTTTTTATTGTTTGGTCAATGCTGAACTAATTCTGTTA